ACTATTCAATAAAGTTAAGAGCGAAACGCTCACTATATAAGAAGCAACGATGAGGCAATAAAAATAATTCACTGTTAGTTACTGTGATATATATATATATATATATATATATATATATATATATATATATATATATATATATATATATGAGGACAATCGACAGAAATCTAGTGATAAGCGAATTTCGGGGGTCAACATTGGCACTTGAAAACACCAAAGATTTATATGAATTCGGGCGCTTGAGACATGTGTTATACATGTCTAGTTACCATCTTTCTCGTTAGGCAATGTTAGCCAACGTAAGTTCAGGCTAGAAAACAGTTTAAAACGGCCCGATTAAAACGTATTATGTCTATATAGTCTCTGATTGTTGACCTGAGCGATGTAAGGAAACGTAGGCTTATATGCGACAACCAACATCGGTGTTAGGAGGTTTTAGATAATAAGGTTAAAAAATCAGTCTCATTGGCACAGATACATCAAAAAATCATTATCCTAATCGCTATATCTACTCTCTCCTTGTGATATTTCACGACTTATGCTTATATTTTCGTTCCGTATTTCTGTATCCTTCATCTTTCTGACTTGCATCTTGTTATGCTGATATGAGTTATGGCAGTGCAACTCGTTGTGTAGGTCCCATTTCGATGTTGGTGAGCAGACTGGGAGATTTGTATTTCATTTGAGATCCCCATAAAAGGTACTTAATGTCGTATGTGTTCTGGCTTCAATTATTACTGTGATGTAACATAACATGAACTAGACTAGTACTCAAACTATGAGTAAAGATGAGTTCTTTCACTTACATAGATTCCATCCCAGACCATCACCTATCAAACTGTCTTATTGAACAGCTACGTATTTCATTGGATCAGTTTTTCTACTGTCGTTTTATGTGTCTGAAATGCATACTACTAAGTGTCATGTATTTCGCTTCATTTGCCTTCTGTTTAATGGATGCATTACCACAAGCTACTATGTTGTAAGTTTTGTCGTAACGGTAATCAGTATACAATTCTGCTGCGTTTCTCCTTATCGCTCCTAAACTAGAACACATCTTCCTGTCCTACGATCTTCTGGTGCCAGAGAAATAGGTGTCTGCAGTCTGCATGAAAGATAATCCATATCATAAACTGGAAACTCCCGAAAAAGCAGGATGTAACTGGTCCCAAGTAAATGTGCTTTGGAACTTTCGGTCAAGCAAGACTATAACCCAATTTTTCTCTCCTGCACCTTAAGAAGAATCTTTCACAGTGTGAGCAACCAAGAAGTGTGAAGTACCGTCAAATCTCTGTCAGGACTCAAGTCACTTCTTATCACTATCAACTTCCCACATATTCGCCCTCCAACCTTTCTTCATATCTCTCTGTTGGCATTCCTATCTCCGTTTAAGACTTTTTCAGCTCTGCAACTCTTGGTAACGATTCAAGTTCACCAAATAGCATACTTAGTATCCTTGAATCAAGCTTCAAACTACACGTGAAAGCTTCCAATTTCCATACCCTCAATGTAATCGAACAAAAAGTCTCGATAGCCAAAGCTAAGGCATCTCAGGCCATAAATGTGTGCTGCGTTCGCGAAACATGCTTATAGGATCTAAGCCTGGTTATTCACTCAAATTCAACTGGCTGATATGGTGAATTTGCCGAATTAACCCGTTTATGGTCAGTCCGAGTTGAATGCAACCTAAAAACTAAGTCCTAATAAACTTCGAAGCAAATTACTGTATTTCATACGATCTACAGTAAAGACTTAAACACCTACAACCCCGCCAGGGATCGAACCCACGACCTTCAGGTTCCGTGGCCAGCACGTTATCACTGAGCCACTGGGTCGGCGGAATCCATTGGTCCATATTTTAAACTTCTGCCCTATACTAGGACGAAATAGCTGTTCAGTTCTCCCAGGTTCCCTTTGTTCCTCCAACTGATGTCAGTCCACATTATTATTATGTTTAGACAATGTGATGTGATTCGTCACCCTTTACTGCTTAAACTATCGATAACTTGACATTAGATATAGATTGTATTTGTGTAAGTCAAAGCGGGTTTGAAATCAAATTATTCCAACGTTTCGCATGGAAGTCTGGTCCGATCTTCTTCAGGTAAATAAATTAAAATATCAAATGTAAATGAATTTAAAAAACGTGTATTTAATCTCCTTGTCCAACCCTCTTCGTATAATCATTGTTTGTGTGCGGAAATAACACTTTCGATAAGGAAGTTGAATCCGATTTGTCGAAATTAAACTTTATGGACTGTATAGTGGCAAGACAGGATTACAACAAACTAAAGATTAAGATATTCAAAAAAGCTACACTTTCTGACAGATACCTCGATTATCAGTCTGCACATGCTTTGACTACTAAAGTAACTGCTGCACGGAATTTGATTAGCAGGGCTAACCGTCTTGTTACAACGGAAGAGGACAAAGAAGAGTTAAAGTTAGTTTGCCGCACACTCGAAGCCAACAATTATCCCAAAGGTTTCGTTAGACATATTTAAAAAAATGAAATTAAGGATGTACCGAAACTCCCTCCAAGGAATTGGACAAGCACGGTTATAATCCCATACCGAAAGGAGAATTCAGAAGAAATAAGAAGGATCCTCAACAAACACGACATAAGAGTTTACTTCCGTGCAACAAATACCCTACGTTCTAACTCAATGAAAGTTAAAGATTTAGCACCAAAAGAAAATCAACGGAACTGCGTCTATGAAATCAAATGCAGAGATTGTACTGCAGTATATGTAAGAAAAATAGCCAGAAAGGTAAATGTGTGAGTCAATGGGCATAAACTATGCTTAAAGCAGATCCCAAAAACCTCAACAGAGGTTAAGAAACTAGAAAACAAATCCGCGATCGAGCTAAACTCCATAGAAATGGGACACAAAATTGACTTTGACGAAACTAAGATTCTACAAAAAGGTTTTGGGTCATATCAAGAAAGACTGACAACCGAAGCCCTACATATATGGGGGAATCCAGACAGTTTGAACAGACAAGATGGAGTACAGCTAGCTGCCTCTTGGCAATTACTAATAAGTAAGCAGAAACAGTCTCAACTCCATTATTTCTTCATCAACAACAACATAACCTGGATTGATTTGATTCATTATTATTATCACCATCATTACTACAACTCATTTCCACTCTATTACGGTAAATCAATGCAGAAAAAAAATCCGCTAACATTATTCACAACTTTATTCCAACCGAAATTGTATATACATCCACCTTATCCTTTTCAATTTGTACTTATAAAGTTACCACATGACTATATCACCAGTGACCCTTTTAGTATAATTGTTTTTATATGATACCGTCGTTGCTTGGACCGAATTGATCAGACACTATTGGCATATGGGCTCCTATGCGGATGCCTCGATATTGTCTGCGTTCTAATTGTAGTATTGGTGGATCATGGCTAGCAGTGGAATCCACGATGTGCATTTCGTCCTATTTTGGACTCATCAGCTGGATGTACCTGCTTCCCAGTGAGTGATGTTGTTTGAAGTGATCGCTCCCGAGTCCGAATCCCGGTGGGAACAACATCACTGACTGGAAAGCAGGTACGTTCAGCTGACGAGTCCCGAATAGGAAGAAATGTGCATCCTGGATTCCACTGCTAGCCACGATCGATCATTAGTGACCCTTTTGTCTGAGATTTACAATTAAGGCGAATATGAATTGGAGTACATACATATGCCATTAAACAAAATACATACAAGTTCACACTGAATGATTAGTTATCGTAATTGAGAAAGACAATGACTATACGAAGAGGATTGGACAAGGAGATTAAATACACGTTTTTTAAATTCATTTACATTTGATATTTTTATTTTAATTATTTCCCTGAAGAAGCTCGGACCAGACTTCCATGCGAAACGTTGGAATAATTTGATTTCAAACCCGCTTCGACTTACACAAATACAATCTATATCTAATGTCAACCTTTTACTCAGCGCCAAATATTTGCCATACTATATAATCAAATCTTGACCATATTTTATATAAACTGATAACTTGTACAGGTTTTATTCTCTGAAGAAGCGATTTCCACGAAGTCACGAATAGTCAGAAAATTATTTTTCTACTTCATTGGGATTTTATGAATATATATATATATTGTCCACGCAGTAGGCAATAAATAACACGTATTGTGTGAAGGCTAATATTACTGCCTGATTGTCTACACCTCAGCAGAACCCGTGACGTAATGGTTGGAAGTCAAGTGTCTAAACCAATGAGCCACAGTTCCACCTATCCAAATATAAATAACCCAAAACAGTCAGTTATATCATTTCGATGTTTAATTATTCTGAGAAGAATTTATTTAGCCAGCTGAAATCTCCATTGGTGACAGATGAAACAACATAAAAAAGAAAATATGAAAAATTAACGCATAGGTTACGTGTAGGCAACTATCAAAATGGAATATAGTAACATATTCAAATCACAACACCGATCTGGCTTCATTGATAAGTTTACATAATCTGAAAAGTAGTCAATGATAATACTGAGGGCTATTACGTAATGCAATAGCAGGTCAAACTGTACAACGCTTAAATATATATATCATTGAGAACAACAATTTGAGTGGATAAAAACACGTCAAAAGTTTGAAAAGATTAGAAATGAAAATAGTAGAGAAATAAAGAAAATAAAAGAACCATCATTTCCCAAAAACTGAAGTAGCATAATCAATTATTAGATAACCAATAAATGATCAAGAAGGAATGAAACATATAAGTACAATGAAATATACCTGGATATGACAATAAGAAAGATGACATACCAATATCCATCATTTGTATGTGTGTGTGATGAGGAGATATATTTTCCAGCCTCGATGTGTCTTCTTTCTTTAATGAAACACCACAGAAGTCAATCCTCTAGCAAATGCGCTAATATTTTAATATAGTTAACAGTTAGAAAATCGGACTATTAATACACATAGAATGAAAGGAAAATATAGAACTGTGCAACAAGAGGAATCATAATAGTTTCGATTTACGATGCCTTCGTTTACTGCCTTGTTGTGGTTGCTAAAATAATAAAAAATAAAAACGTTTCACTAGCAACAAAAATTACTACTTATTTTGTAGTAGTATTGAGTAGTATATGGAAAAATACTAAAATAATGAAGGTCATAATGTCAATAATCACGACTATTTATTCAACAGCTCTTAAGTATACAACATTTAACTGTGGACTATTTTAAATAAAGGCAAAACACAAAAACTATATCAGTGTAAAAGTGTAGCATCAAAACGACTCATAAGCGAGTTTCTTCGGATTAAAAAGATAACCTCATCAGTATGATAAAAGATAAACACTATGAGATGAGTTCTAAAATTATATAGAAGTGACTTAGGGTGAAACTACTTTTGCAAATAAAAACTGGGTGGATAAGAATATTCCCAACAGTCCAGTTAAAATGACTAGAGAAAAACAACCGCAAAAGACATCACACTCTACTGTCTTCGCTTGCAATTGCTTTTCAAAGTACCTACTAAATTCATTATAAAGTGAGGCAGAAGTCAAGTCTAACCTCATGACATTCTCACAATTTTACGTCTAGCATGAAGCGAAGCGCTGTATAGCATTGCAAACTTGGTTGAAAAGTTAAAATGGGCACTAGAAACTTCACAAGAGTAAAATTGTGTGCATTGTGGTTGAATGTAATCCCATTCTTAATTGATTTATTAGATTTATCACACAGTGTGACCTTATTGTTTACTAAATTACGTTTCGGACATAGATTATTGTCTATAGTCAGATCAAGATAACTAAGAAAATTTGGGACAACCATTCTCCTCGCCTCCTTTGTGATATCGTTATTAAGATTTTCTATATATCCGGAACGGATGCTAAGTCATTCTCACTGCATATATCCGGTATTGGTTCGATAAACAGAGATTCAGTTATCAATCTCTCTCTCCCCCCTACGATGTCAGTTTCAAGGATTTTTACCCTGTCCCATCCTATTGTGTGCAATAGTATCCATCGCTATGATTAAGCTTTTTTCTAGATTCCTTACCTTACAAAGATCTACCGATTTTGACCTAGCTAGGTTTTTGCGTTCGGATAACTTTAATGACCTCAGAAAAATTGCCTTGATCTATGTACTTGAAATCACAATCCTTTCAATGTACTTGGTAAACTAAGTTAGTCGGCTTAATTGGATCAATAGGATCTTTTAACCCATTATGCTTATTTTAAAGTGAGTTTGTAGGTTTAAATGCCACTGAAATCCCAGCCAGCTTTATTCACAATCTTATATAATGTCTCTGAGGTGACTTCCATGTACGACAATGCTGTGAAGGTTTTGAATTCTCTCTTCACAGTATAGCCACTATTAATATGAACATAAATATTGCTACTACTACTACTACTACTACTACTACTACTACTACTACTACTACTACTACTACTACTACTACTACTACTACTACTACTACTATTGGTTATATTTTATGGACGGGTCATTGTTGATGAGTAAGATGGCTTTAATGTATCTATCTGGTTTCTTTTCTTAGATCTTCCGTCTTACTAGTGAGCTTTCTGGCCCTGTTACTTAGACATTTCACTAAGCCAACTTTAACTACCATTGGATGAGACAATCTGAAGTCTAAGTAATGACTTAAGTGTGAAGGTTTTCTGTAGACACTGATATCTAAACTCCCCTCTTGTTACTGTATTGTTCTGAAATCCAATATGGACAATAAATTACGTTCGAAATGTAGTCCAGTAAACAATACTGTTAAACTTTGTGATAAATCTAATAAATGAATAAAATTGAAACTCTACAGTTACATCGGTTTATCATTTAGTGTTGAATTCTTGTATAGTAAACATACATTCTCGTTTCTACGCTTCAATTATAAATTGTTTACAATAAAACTGTCTCAGTTGATCAAAGGAAATCGTCAGCAATCTTTATATGACTTAAGATACCCAATTGTCATACTTCTATTAGATAAAGCAAACAACAGTTACTATAAATTTATTTCGAGAAAAAATGCATTGTCAACATTTTCTCTCTATATCCATGAATAATGCATGACTGAAGTCAGTAAATACATTCTCACATATAATAATAATAATAATAATAATAATAATAATAATAATAAGTAATAATAATATGGGAGTAGTATTCATCGTGGACTGACATCAGTTGGGGAGCCATTGATAATCTGGGAGCACTGGACAGCTGTTTCATCCTAGTATGGGACTCCTCAGCAGTACGCAACCATGAGCCGGATAGGGATCGAATTCAGGACCCCGCTAACCCTTCAGCCACTGGGTCAGTTTCCAGTGGTTCACAATTTCCAACTTCTGTCGATTCATGACATGATAATAATAGTTAACTAGCTTTCACTTTTACGCTTGGTAAATATGAGAAAGCGAGTAGGGTATACACATATTAGTTTGATTATATTGTTGGCTGGGATACATTAAACAGTTAGTGAATAGTTCTAATAGATACCCTTCAATGCTTTTATATTCTTTGATGAAAGTAAAATGAAGATAGTCCTCTTGAATCACATACTTCAACAAGAAGATCAGACAATAACATGAAGAATTGACTATTGTCTTCAAGGCACATTTTTAGTTAACATCACTCAAAGTTATTCGTAACTACAGTATAGTTGTATTCACCATTTTTAAAAGTCCTAATTGAAATTTTTTAACGACCATACATTACTTCACTTTCCTTTCCTACTTTATTTGACTAAGCTTTCATTGTCTTCTTTGTACATTGATACTAATGATGATAATAATTTGAATCTATGTACTTTTTTGGTATTTCATGGTCAAAAACGTAAGTTATAATGGATAACACAGTGAACCATAATCCAATTAATTATTGAATAGTGAATGATGTCTACCGTTGCTACATTAACGATAAGACTCGATTCAACACGAAATCAAAACCCAACCAGCAATCACTTACATACTAATCCATTTATGCAGTCAGCCAAACCTAATCTGTGAAGGTTAAAATGACTCAATCTGGTTACATTTACACCTCAATAGGTGAAGTCGAGTTTGAAAGCATGACGCATGGGGTGGAAATTGAGAGCCTATAACAATGAGTCAAAGCTCCATTGTGTTTTCTGCTCACTTTTAAAGTTTCACTGGTATAACTAATATATTAGGACAAGGATCTTCAAGTTTTCCACAATACTTTTAGATAGACAATATGATTGTTGAATCTCTCTATACTTCAATTTACTTTTCTCGGATTTTGTGGATGCTATAAAACTTTTTATACTTTAAAATTTATTTTATTATTTTTTCCCTGGGTTCTTAGTGGAACATAGGACTTCAGTAGCACGTCTCCATTTCACTCTCTTCTCTGCAGTCTTTTCAACCTACCTCCACAACTGCTCAGAAGCTCTCATTTCTTCTTCACAACATCTCCTACACGTCAACCTCGCCTCAGATGCCCAACTCGCCGGTTTCCCATCTGGGTTTCACTCGACGGCCTGGCGCGTGATGTCCCCAATCGGTCTTCTTAGTGCATATCTAATCCAAACCATCTCCACTTTCTTCCACTGCACATTTGTTGCACAACAGCTTCCTGGTTGGTTCGTTCCTAGAGTTCCTTGTTGCTTATTCTGATTATTCTGGCCATCCGATCTTCAGTATCGAGGGAGCATAGGCGGCAGCTTTTGATGATCTATGTCTGAAGATTGTTGGAAATGCTTTCCATAACACGCCAAGTCTCTCAACTATCACATAGAAGCACTGGGTTACTTGACTGACATTAGTGTTGAAAATCCGATCTTGTTCACACTTTATGCTGAGTGCAGAAGATCACCACACTGGTTTCAAGTTAATGAACGTCCGTCTTGCTGTCTTTCCGATCCTGGCTTTGACATCCTCATCTGTGCCTGTGTCGTCGCCTGTAGTTGAAAAGATGCTGCCCTGCCTAGGTGGGTGTAGATGAAACAGACTACTTCCTTTCGATTTCTCTAATTCATGGTGATTGGTGCTTGTTGTTGTTGTGATTGTTGGTCGAGTATCTTCATTACCTTTTTCTTCTCTAAGTTAACCTTATGTCCTGTCTTCGCTGCCTCGTCCCGTCTCTTCTGCCAACTTGTTAGCTTTCATCTGTAGATCTTCGAGTTTGTGCTGCAAGACATTAGACATAAATCATCATCGGCAAAATCCAAATCATCTAAGGTCTTTTCATCAGTCCAGCATATACCCACCTTCTCGCTCTTCAGTTTGTTGCATGATCTACTCCAGTCGACCACAGTTAGGAAGATCATGGATGATAGTAGGCGGTAACCTTGTCTTACTCCTTCCTGCCTTCACTTCAAAAGGATCAATGAGCTTTCCATTGTCAATCACTGGGCATGTAGCAATATATAGGATATACCTGTTGAATGAGGTTGATAAGGGTTTGTGGCACTAAAACCGTAGTGTTGGAGCAGTTTCCAAATTACTTCTTGGTTGACGCTGTTGAAGGCATTTTCAAAATCAATGGAGTTGAGGTACAGAGTTGAGTGCCATTCTATGCTCTTTTCTATGATGATGCGTAACGTAGCGCCTCAATTGGATCCACACATGATTTGCTTTTCCTGAAGCTAACAGCCTGTTCCAGTTGTAATTTTGAATCCAGAGCATCTTACTGAGCAATGTATATACTCAAAAAACCTCTTATAAATGTTTCAGTTAGATGTTACATGGTTAACTAAGGGAGACAGTAAGTGCACACTATAATGATATCAAAGATGACTCACTTATTTTGGATAGTGGTAAATACTTATAGTTAGAATCCTAACATTCAGACTGAGTTGTTCTCCAAGGTAAGACTTTAACTGACAAACGTTCCAGTGTCATCATAGACATCACTGTCAGTGAAACTTCACTAATTAAGAAATAGGGAGCGGTGATAAAATAGCTATTTCATGTTATTACCGGTTTATCGCATCGACCTATATCTATAGATTACATTAATGAATGTCATATTTCATAGGGAACATTTAGATAAATCCGTAAACATGATAACAGTTATCACTTACAATTTGTGCATGACGACCAAGTATCATTTCTAATTCACGTTGAGCTTTTTCTTCTTGTGCTGCAGTTGAATCCATGTCAGTCATATCGACAGCTGACATAGTTGTCGATAATGAACCGAATCTGCCAACAGATGGAAGGATACTACTACTGCTACTTGATGGTTTCAATCCATGCGAACGTTGATCTCCACCACTATTGTTAGTACCTCCGAGACTACCAGTAACACGTAAAAATGGAACACGACGTCGTGGAGTGAATTTTTTCTTGATTACCTTATATTTTGAAAAAGGAATAATGACATGGAAATATTAGTGAGATAATAGAGAAGAAAGGTCAACTATAAACCAGTCTCCTAAGGATTGAAAACACTCTTAAGAACCAGAAGTGCAACAAAGTTATTTTTAATTCTAACTGTCAACAAGACACGACGAATAGCTTGAGTAAAGTAGGCAATATGTTTATTGAGCTATTTATATAACAGTACGAAAGTGGATGACAAGAAGTCATGGACGTTGGTACAGCATATAGCTGTATACGATCTTAGAAATTAAGAAGAGAACTCACATTTCCCCGAAATACCACATTTATGAAGCGCTGAAAGGGGCACCTTCGAAGTATTCACGCAGGATGGCTTTCCATCAGTTCGTAGATACACTTAGCTAATATAAAGCTTAACAGCATGTAAATAAGCTTCACAGAGTCTAGCTGTCTATTATAAAAACAAGTTGAGCAGTAAATAAGACAGAGTTTACTGTTGAGTACTTCCCCCTATGATGTGAGCACTACTCATCTAACTAACACCAACTTCATGACACGCTCTGAAAAGAAGTGGTAATAATAGTAATAACAGTAGTAGTATAACTAAGGATGTCACAATAACATTTTTTCGATAAAATATCCTTCCCAATATTTTAGCTGGGAACAGAGTCTGGTTGTTGTGTTGTATGAATTCGTACAGATCTTCAGGAGCGACTGTAACAGTTACTTTAAAGGCCATCCTTACAACTGTTTGGATAATCATTTACGTCCCATCCCAGCCGAAATGCTGAAACATGATTGGTTATTTTAGCAGCTGTTAGGATGGCCCCTGAAGGTCACTTACTTGAAAGGTCAACTAATCAGATAGCCAATTAGATTATTGCATTTTATGAGAAACTGACTTTCGAGCTGAAATAAAGGAACTTAATTGGTTATTTCAGTTGTTGCTAAAGTGGTCTTTAAAGTCACCCTGTAAGACCACTCAACTTTGAAGATTACCCAAGGAACGATTGAAATCACCAATTAAGTTCTTCTATTTCAGCTCGGAAGATAGATTTTGGCGAAATATGGAGGTTTGACTGGTTATTTCGGTCGATCCTAAGGTGATTTATACAGTCAATCCATTTTCATTAATATTTGAAGCTTAAACAGTGTAATGAGAAGACGAAGATTATCTGAAACATGTGGTGTATTAGAGCTATACATTTCGAACAATCTGATCACACATGAACTTGTCGAACTATTTCTATGAAAATTTATGAAAAGGGTTAGTGAAGTTGATAGGAAACATAGGAATGGGAAGTGTAGAGAAAAAAAACAAAGTCTTAATCACGATACTCTTGGTATGAAAATTAAAATCAATACTACCAAGGTAGGTTCAACGTGAGTACAAATTGTTTTTGTATACATAAAAGGGTTTGAATTTAGGGATGGCAAGAGCTTCAATAAATTTAAGCACTCGGCTCCGACCAATTTTATGTAGTACTTTAAAGGCTGTTTTCGTGTCTACCCTATGGTTAGTTTGTAGTATATGCTCAGCAATAGACGAAGATGGATGTTTGTCACCTGCACTTACAGGATCTGCTGTATATATATATATATATATATATATATATATATATATATATATATATATATATATATATATGAATGTTCGCACATACATGTAAATTGATAGACACAATGGGATGGGATGTAATCGTTTATATATTGTTTTGGTTTGTGCTGTAACATGGACTTTGTCGTTTCTACAATGATGACCTTGGCTGCATAATATGTTTTACAGATGACCGATCTAAGTCTTTTCGTTACAACAAAGCTATGCGAACCACCTTTGAATGGTAATGAGATGTAGACATTTATCTTAGCAACGGGACACTGTGTACTTTTCAATAATACATAACTTTTGCAACTGACGATAAATCTCAACGGGTAGCCATTCTGTATCAGTGTTGCTGTCAGTAGGTTGGTTTCTTCCTCCGAGGTGTCATCGGTGCAGATGCGATTTATCCTGTTGAATAAGCATCTGACTAAACCGTGTTTATATTGAACTGGGCAACAGATATGGAAATTAAGATATTGCCCTGTTCATGTAGGTTTCCTATAGACTGACCTGTCGATTAAGCAATATGTCTAGGAACGGTTGCTGGTTATTTCTGTTATTCATAGGTTAGAGTAATGTGATTTTGAGCCGTGTTCATCTTCTCTATCAGGCAGATAGCATCATCAGGCTTTTCATATATAGTGACTATATCATCGACAAACCCCTTATAGAGTGAAACCCTTTCGATGAGATCATCAGCCATGTTTTCAATATATGACATATATACATAGGCTTAAAACGGTACTAATGGAGTACCCATCGCGACGTCATCAACCTGCTGAAAGTGTTCACCCTCGAATGTGAATTCAGCTTTATCAGTACATAATAATAATAATAATAATAATGGTAAATCTTTTAAAGAATTAAGAGGGATAGGGAATATAAGGCCGTTAGAAGAAATAAAGTCATATAAAATATCAATTGTTTTTTTTTACCAGAGGTACATTAGTAAATAAAGAATTTACATCGAACGAGTACATAGTTTTATCCCCGATATTAATATCACTTAAACATAATCTTCGTCTTCTTGTCACGCTGTTTAAATTTATCAAAGGGAACAGTTGCTTTAAATAATTGAAACGTTAAACACTTATACTGAATACAACCTTTACTTCCTGACTCACTAACCGTTCAACTTACAAAAGCAAGAAAAAGCATAAAACGATTAAAGGCTTCACTAGAAGGAAGTATCATGCACACATATCTACCGAATTCATTCATTTTCAAATGACTACGTTTTGTGGAACTTCCTAGAAAGTTTATCGATCAATAATCTTGGAGAATATTTCAATTGAATAATTACACATACATAAACAAAGTGAGTTTCACAAATCTTTGAAATGATCTGATTGGTTATGAGTGTTTTCACTGATTTCTCAGTCTTCGAAGTAAGCTCTACACTCGTTCACACAAGATCAAGTTAACATCATTGAGTAAACCTATGTAAACACTACAAGAAACTGACTAACTATGTCAACTGTTAGGAGAAATTAGATACAACAAAATCTCATATAACAGAAGCGATGAGAAGACAAACTAAACAATGAAAGCGATGAAGGTTGTTTAAATTGAAGGTGACCAGCTGAAATTTAAATGTATTGTCTTCTTTGGAAGATTTTTGGTAGTGAAAAAAACAGGAATGGCAATAAATATCATTACAATCACCAACAAGAACAAAATTAAACCTATGTGAGTATAAAACAATGACTAAATACAATAGCGTATCATGCAGTATCATCATAGGCATATTCGATTCCATATGGCAGCCAAATACAACTTTATAGGATAGATTGAAGATGTATATCATTCAAGAGACTAGATAGAGTCAAGTTAATAATCCCATATGAGTGTTGTGTGCGAGTCCAAGAAACGCAACCCTGACAGTTATATCAGTTATTATTGTTATTATTTATTTATCCCTTGGGTTTCTAGTGGAACATAGGGCTTCAGTAGCACGTCTCCATTCCACTCTCTTCTCTGCAATCTTCTGAACCTGGCCCCACGACTCCCCAGAAGCTCTCAATTCTTCCTCACATGATCTCCTCCATGTCACCCTCGGCTCAGACGCCCAACTCGACGTTTCCCATCTGGGTTCCACTCGAGTACCTGGCCTGATGTGTGATGTCCATAGTCGGTCTTATCAGTGCATGCCCAATCCATCTTCACTTCTTTCTGCATATTTGTTGAGCGATAAGTTATACCAATAGATGACAGAATTCTAATTTATGAAGAAAGTTTATATTAACTGTGGTAATTTTTATAAAGAATCAAGGCAATTTTCACATTTACCTCACGAACAAGTTGTTTGCGTATACGCGTTTTCACTTCCATAGCAAAGTCTAACCATGTCCAAACACAATTATGATACTCCAATGTAGGTATAAATAACTCGAAACGCGTTACATCCGTGATATTCTTCTGTTTCTCACCCTGAGGTGATAAATAAACACTACATATTGAAAGGACTTTAATAATAATAATAATAATAATAATAATAATAATAATAATAATAATAATAATAATGCAATGCAACGAACATACGTTACTGAAAGATTATTATGCAATAATAAAAAACTATTGGAATTCATGTATAACTACATGAAAACATTAATTAGAATTCAGTGTAAAATACTATTTAGTAAAAGAAAACTCTGTGTTTATGTGCCATACGTTTTGGACGTGATAGAAACTGGTAGAATGAAAGCTAAATGAAAGTGAATAATCTAACGATATGAACTGATGTAACCGTTCAATTATTGAACAACATTTTTCATCTTCAAATCTAGGTGTTCAATGAACAATTTATTTTAGTGTTGTTTTCAATTATTATTTTTTCTATTTGTCCTTTGAGTTCCTAGCGAAACACAGGGCTTCAATAGCACGTCTCCATTCCACTCTCTTCTCTGCAGTCTTTTCAACCTGCCTCCACAACTCCCCAGAAGCTCTCATTTCTTCTTCACACCATCTCCTACATGTCAACCTCGCCTCAGATGCCCAACTCGTCGGTTTCCCATCTGCGTTTCACTCGACGGCCTGGCGCGTGATGTCCCCAATCGGTCTTCTTAGTGCATATCTAATCCAATCCATCTCCACTTCCTTCCGCATATTTGTTGCACAATAGGTTCCTGGTTGGTTCGTTGCCCGACCAGAGTTCCTTGTTGCTTATTCTGATTATTCTGGCCATCTGATCTTCAGTAACGAGTGAGAGTAGGCGGCAGCTGTTGATGAATGTCTGTAGTTTGTTGGAAATGCTCTTCGTAACACGCCGAGTCTCTGAACCACATAGAAGTACTGACTTGACTGGCATTAGTGTTGAAAATCCGGATGTTGTTCACACTTTTTGCTGAGTTCAGAAGATCTCCACACTGGTTTCAGGTTAATCAACGTCTGTCTTGCTGTCTTTCCAATCATGGCTTTGATGTCTTCGTCTGTGCCGCCACCACCTGTAGTTAAAACAGTGCTGCCTAGATAGGTGAAAGAGGCTACTTCCTTTAAGTTTCTCCCGTTGATGATGATTGGAGCTTGTTGTTATTGGTAGTGGTGGTGGCGTTGGTTGGGTATCATTATCACCTCTGTCTTCTCTACGTTCCAAGTTATTCAACTATTTGATAAACTGTTTATCATTGTAATAAAGCTATAAAAGTTGAAAACTTACTTGGAATCTGAATTTGAAAATGATCACTATATTAAATGTAACAACATCACGGTGAATCAACGACAGAATCATTAATACCTTAATGTATTAGGTATTCATGATTGTTTTCGATATAAAACTGGCGATAGTCAAAATTTTCGATGAGAATATCTCTCTGCTTAGATCATTGGACAATATATTAACAGTTCGTACGTGAACTTGTGAAGTTGCTCAATGCATATTACCCCACAAAGAAATATTATATTTTGTTTGGTGGTGGCTGCCAGTAGAGTCCAGGGCACATGTTTCCTCTTAACTAGGCCCCATCAATTGAACATACCTGCATCCCAGAGAGTGATGTTCTCATTGAGACTTGAACTCAGTAATCACCACATTGACCGCCTCAGAGTTTTTCAAAACAAGGTATTCAGTCATCTACTTCATTCCCCCTCCAATGCAATTTGTTATCGGGACGTTCAATAACTGTCTTAAAATAAGTATCAAAATCATCATTCCTTAGAAACACTTTGAGTCAGAGTAAGAATAATAGTTTGAAGTATATTGTACAGGTAGGTGCGGAGCGATTAACACCTTGATTCTTAGTTCTGCTCCACCAAGATCTTATTTCAAAGTCAACTACAAAGTAAAACAAAACATTTCGGAGTTGAGACTCGCCACCTTTGCAATTCATCAGTTCAAGCCTGATCCTGGGTTCAAAAGAGGTACGTCCAGGCATTAATTTTATCTCGGTCATAATCCCTATAAAACATTCTATTCATCAACATTATTATTTTTATCCCCTTCCTTTGCTCTTTAGTTCCGATAGAACTGTCCCACTTGTTTTGACATAACCTACCACTTCACAGATTATTATACAATCTAAAACAAGCAACAAACATAATTAAAGCAGGATTTACTGAATTCATAAATTGCAGTAGGACTCGTCAGTTTTTTACTCTACATACATGTTATGCAATAAAGGAATACATACGCACATAATACAGACTAAGACACTGACTTAGTCAAAACCCTATTTGATAATGCAAAGAAAATTCGCTCTAACGGTACTACTGATTATGAAATTAAAAAATTGAACCATATCCTAGCTAAAAATAGCTACCCTAAAGACTTTGTCAATAACTACTCAAAAAGCAGACAATGTGAAACATCAGTTCTCACGGCCTCAAAAAAGTCGGCATTTATGAAACTGCCTTTTAAAGAAGATGATGTCTTAAAGAGTAAAATGGAGGCTAGACAAGACCATCAAAAGAACTTATTATGCCGCTAAGCACCACCAGACGAGTGTTGCAGCAATCAGTAAAAGACACGACTCTAATCCTCAACACATCTAACTGTATATACCAATTCGAATGTATTTGTGTAAGTAAATACATAAATCGTATGAAAAGGCGTCTGTCTACTCACATGACTGGGCAATTACCTAAATGGTTAGGGCATGTCGAATAAAAAATCCCACGGAGTTCGATTACGAAACGCCTAATGGATTATTGAAATGACGTTGACGCCACTAAGGCCTTCTCGGTTGTCAGCAGACAGTGAAAATCCTTACAATCGTGGAGGCATGTGCGATTAGAGTTCGCAACCCGAGCCTGTGCGTACAGAAAGAGATGGTAGTCACCTTAATTCAACCATGGCAGATGTATCAAAGTATTTTAAACTTATTTATTTTCATTAGCGTCTTGTTTTTCCATTTTATTTCTTCCTCTACTTCGCACATTCACCCCTTCATTATCATTCTGTTGCATTACCATTTAATAGTCAAATGACTTACCTCCATCGCCATTATCATTGCTATTGTCCAACTATTGCTCTACTCTCCTTTAAATTTACACTGTTACCAAGATTCTTAATTGATGTTCATTTACCTTGTTCAAAATGACGTATTCTCAGTGTTATCATTACCATTATTATCACTCACTCGTATTATCACTATTACAATCAATATTTTTGTTTACCTAACACCTATGCTCCCTCAGTGTACATCTTTATCAAGTTATCTAGTTGACTATTAATTGTTCTGTTCAAGATGATGTAATCCATTAATATAGGTGTAAAACTTAAGCACTGTGGTAGAATTTAATTCCATATTAAATTTATTTATTTGATTTAAAACACAGCGATACAGTAAGTATTATTCGCTGGATGACATTTCGAGCATAAATTATCATTGCTCACAATCATATCAATGTAATCACACTACTTTCGACATCTGCTTCTTATAGTTCTGCAACCTCTTATTCTTTGTTTCTACTGTTAGCAAAATTTTCCATATCTCTGGTGTAGGTGTTGTATTATTCCTGTTATATGTTTTGGGTGTTGATTCGATGAACAAAGATTCAGTAATCGATCTCTGCCTCACTCTCCGCCTAATTATATTGGACTTAAGTACAGTGGTTTTATCCCACCCTATTATGTGGTTGTGTGTTAATGCATCAATTGTCATAGTCGAGTTTTTCCTAGATTATTGATCTTATTCAAGTCTGTCATTTAACTAAATATTCCTATGTTCGGCTATTCTAACTGACCCCGACCGACTAGTTTGACCTATGTACTTGATCTTGAAGTCATTACATGGAATTTGATAGATGAAATTATTTTGCTTAATTGGTTCTATCTGATCCTCAAGCCAGACGAAAAAGCTTATCTCTGAGTTTGTAGGTTTAAATGCCACCCTAATTCCAGCTTTGTTGAAGATCACACAAAGTTTATGACGTACCTTCCTCATAGGGTAACACAATGGAGGCTGTGAACCTCTTCCTACTTGTGTTGTCGTTATTATTCGTATTTGTGTGACTGTTATTTTTCCGTTTTTTGTGTGTCCGTAAGAATTTCTTAATAAACTGCGGAGGATAATAATTAACTATTAGCGCTTCTTTTACGTGTTTCAATTCCTTGTTTAGGTTCTTGCTCTGACTAGTCAGTTTTCTAGATCTATCATTTAGACGTTTGACTAATCCTACCTTAACTGACATTGGATGGGATGATCTGAAGTCTAGATACCTGTTGGAATGTGTCGGTTTCCTCACATATATATCCAGTGCGATTTAATGACTCACTATGTGTTGCTATGTCTCAGTCAATGTTTTAGTTTGTATTATATGTGTATGTATTACTTTGTTGCACAACATGTATGTAGAGTAGAAAGCTGAAGAGTCCTACTGAAATTCATGAATTCAATAAACCCTGTTTTAATTATGTTTTTCGCTTGTTTGAGATTTGTATTATACAATCACCTCATAACTACATTACGTTCATCTTTTAGACATTACCTTGCAATCATATAAACAACACTAATCATTACATCAAGTAGAGTAGTGTTTAGTCAAATGCGCAATTGCATATTTATCGAACGTCATAAGCAACGAAAACAGGATCAAGGATATTCCAGTGTGAGGCGGAATGTTAAACGCCGCCACCTGACAGTGGTCGAACTATATCATGACTTGACAGGATTCGGAAAATGTAGACAAGTAGATTCTGACCAAAAAGAGAACACGCTCTTCATGAGACCTGACGGATCTAAACTCCTTATCCCAAGGGTTCATGGGTATACACTAATGAGAAGTGGCATATCAGGATGACACAGTCGTCTGGTGTCGCCTGTTTATCTAGCTTATATCGAACTATCAACTTCAGTTAAATGAGTAGACTCAAGCTACCTTAAGAACTCTACTTTTAAACTTCAGTCACTCTGAGATAGTGCCGGCTACTTCAACTATTCAAAGCTCTGATCTGGCTGCTCCAGAGTACAGACTGAAATCAACCTTATTTATCTCGACTGCTTTTGTAACCATATAGTTGACTAGATATTAAAAAACCCTATTAAAATCACGGTTGAATGGTTGGAAAGTCACTCACACTAGCAAAAGATAAATCATCAGCAAATTGTTCGTCTAAATTATGTCAATGAATATCTTATCAACTGGTTTTGCATTTTCTCAGGAATTCCAAGGACAAACGATGAACTAAACTTTCAGTAAGCCAAAGTCAAATACTCGAATGATACGTAAAACCCCAGAACCGAATATATGATACTATGTTGAGAAATAACAATATTGAATGAATCAGATCACAACTCTGAAATCTCAAGTGAATTGTGTGCAAATTTATCAATGAGCAAAATAAATGACAAAAACCCGTGTCAAACTCAAGAGAAAGGTTAGAATAAAAGGTGTATGAATGATGGGAATAACCAGAAGGGATACAGATAAACGAAGATTCGAGGAACAACGTTATACATGAAAAGTAAGTGTAAAAAAAGTAAAATGTAGTCTTAAAACGGCAATAAAATCAACTGCAATAACTGTAGTCAACACTACATTGAACAAAGCGGCCGCCTTCTTCGCCTTCGTCTACATGAGCACCAATTAGCTATTAAATGTCACACACGACATTTCATCACTCATTTCAATGCATGTGGATAACAACTATGGACATGGTCAGCAATCAATAGATGTATAGACATAGACCCGATCTATCAACCAATAAGGAAAATGACAAACGACAGAAAGGTCAGAGGTCAAGCAGAGGAACAGCCAACAGGAAAGTCTATGCAATCAATGACACAACAATCAAAGGAAACAACCAATCACAGACCACTTCGTCAGGGCAAGCTACTAAATCACTCACGGAGAGATATTGACAACTCACTTCATACTGAAGTTAGTGCTGATGATATCGTCAAGCAAGACGGTGAAAGCTTCACGACTAAACAACCCAGCTCAGAGAACACAATACAACCAAGACAAATATAATATTCTGATGTTTCGAAACAACAGCATAAAAACTGAAAAATAACCATCACCATTATCATCACCAAAACAATAAAAATGAAATAGGATAAGAATGAAGCACTTACCTTATAGCTTAAACGAATAGGAAAGCCAGGAATTTTTATGTATAAAAATACATTGTTCTGACGAGCTCTCTCCTACAAATAATTATTAATAAGAAAGGACAAAATAAGTATTTTATTCAAATATAATAAGAATATTATTGTTATTATCGCTGTCCACAAAATAATAAAAACAAACAAGTGAACATTTATTCAGTAGGATCATTAATAAACAATGATTAAGAAATCATTCAAATAGACTTTCTACGAAGGACAGAGTTGGTCAAGATCAATAAACACAAAAAGACGAAGAAAAAGAAGATTCATGTTGATGGTGGCAAGGATGAAGCAAGAGAGGAATTCCCCAGTCAATACTTGCTATCTCTTTATCCACTTTGGAAGAGATAATGTATTCTTGATAATATTTGAAAAATAATTGGATAGATTTCAGGTCAAAGTCAAGTACACATACTTGATGATCGATGTTTCGTAAAACTTACTCCTGAAGAATCACAAGGTGAAGTCACTGATAGCTTTGAAAGTATAAAGAGTTCCCCTCAGATCTGCAATCGAAGAGACTCATTACAACACGACAATGATTGCTTGCAATGTATATCACCCTTTATTCAGCCTCTTTGGAATACGAGCTAGAGCCCTAGGAATTCCAGCTCACATAACATGTCCAGGGCAGTGAGGTAGTAACGACCGGTAGGTAGAAATTTTTGGATAAAGCAGTAGTTAAATATTGCATATGTCACATCAATGAAACCTAGTCGTAAGGAAGGCAGATAGATGACATCAATATAGAACCTGGTATTACTTTGCACAACGGTCCGAGTCACCGCATCATATATCAAGAGGAGAAGACAATCGATTTATCACTCTTTTCATATGATTCAATAACAACACAACAGTTTATAAGAAATTATGATAAATTGGTTGGTTGTGGCTAGCAGAAGAATCCAGAATGCGCGTTTCGTCCTATTTGGGACTCGTCAGCTGGATGTACCTGCACCCACCCAACCAACTTACTATAATTGACATTCAGGAAATATGAAGGCGTCCGCATAAAAGCCCATATGCCATCGGAGGTCGAACAATTCGATCCAACAAAACAATGGGGAATAACAAGTATGTCAATAAATAGTGAGTTTATGGGTAAGTTGGAGAGAGATATATAGGTTAGAAATGAAAGGTCGAATGAAAAGATGTACAAATAATCCACTATTCCCTTCAGCAATGTCACTTCTAATGCTATTCAGCTGTGAAGATTACCAGAGAGCCTAGGGTTCGATAAACACACTGATCTCATATACAACTATTGTCGGGACTCAAAGTACTTATTTTCAAGGCTTTTGATAACTAAAAGAGATCTTTAGAAAACGTCTGAAGAACCTTGTCGGCGGTACGAAGTGAACAAAATCTGAATCATATATTGAACGGTAGAAGATACGGTTGATCTAAACAACTCTCGTAGCTGAACAAATGACTCATATGCATATGTTATCATACAATCAGGCGAACTTCTTTATACATACTGGTTAAGTTAAGCGCAGTGGATTATTTCCAATAGAGAAGCACACCAACAGATTTGAGTCCAGCCGAATATGTTTCTAGATATGATACTGGGTGTATGTCATCATAGAAATCAGTTTTGCATTATGGTTATGTAAGTTCAACAGGAAGAGTTGAAATGATCAGGTTTTCCCAGCTAACAGTCACCAGTAACAATAGTTTCATAAAGATTCGATGGAAGGTGAAAAGTTGACATTAGATATAAGTTATAGTTGAATAAATCTCAGCATTTTTACAATAAATCTCGATAAAGCTATTAGAAGACGAAGATTATCTGAAAAATGTGATGTATTTGCGCAATACATTTCGAACAATCTGATCACACATTTACTTGTCAAGTCAATTTATATATGAAAATTAAAGGTCAAATATAGTGAAAATGAAAAGGTTGTGACACTAGTCTTGGCAATATAATCAGATAAGGATTACCAAGGTAAAGTAAGTGAAACAACAAATTGTTTTTGTACACACAGCGGGGGCTTAAGTTTACGAATGGTTAACGCTTCGGCAAACTTCATATGCGCCCGTGATTATTCCTGCATAATATCTTGAAAGCTGTTTTCGTATTAACCTTGTGATTTATTTCAATGATATGTTTTGCTGTAGATGACGATAGATGTCTGTCACCTACACCTATCAAAGTTTGTGTATTAAATTGTTTTTCTAGCCATTTGGGTATGTGTTCACCTACCCTAGTCTGCACTGAACGATTACTCCTCCCTATGTATGTGTGTCCACACATACATGTAAATTGGTTAACGCAGTGGGATGTGACGTAATTATTTATGCGAGGTTGAGGTTTATGGCGAAGCCGATGTTTTGTTGTCTCAACAATGGTAAGCTGAGCTGCACAGTATGTTTTACTGATAAGAGATTTTAATCTCTGCTTCAATATCATACTACTTGTTTCCCCTCTGTATGGTACTTTAGGAAATATGCTTTTTTTGGGACCGAGGAAACTATAGGCTTTGGGGTCAGCAAAACATATCATTGAAATAAATCACAAGGTTAATACGAAAACAGCTTTCAAGATATTATGCAGGAATAATCACGGGCGCATATGAAGTTTGCCGAAGCGTTAACCATTCGTAAACTTAAGCCCCCGCTGTGTGTACAAAAACAATTTGTTGTTTCACTTACTTTACCTTGGTAATCCTTATCTGATTATATTGCCAAGACTAGTGTCACAACCTTTTCATTTTCACTATATTTGACCTTTAATTTTCATATATAAATTGACTTGACAAGTAAATGTGTGATCAGATTGTTCGAAATGTATTGCGCAAATACATCACATTTTTCAGATAGTCTTCGTCTTCTGATAGCGTTATCGAAATTTATTAAAGGGACTAATTGTTTCAAGTCTTTACAATAAGTAATTTCAACATTGATTGATACTTCTTCAGGGAAATAAAAATAAATCTACTTTCGAACTTGAGAAAATGTATGCAGCCTCAATGACTTCAAATAAACATGACTGAGGATCATCGTCATACACACAATCCAACTTAGATGATGGAAACATTATCTCAAGTTCACTAAATCGTAACTCGATGAGTAGAATAATCAAGGTATCATCACCCCTAGTCTTGTGGCTGTCACTGAGTTACGTAATTCAATCACAAAGTGCACAATTATGTAGTAAATTTAATCGCACTGTTGTGCAGTATACTAGACCTTAAATAGGAATTCAGACACTCCATTGTGTGAGTTAGCAAAACGTAGTTATGCGTATCGCACCCACACCTTTGAGTTTGCTTAACAGGCTATCGGTACAGATATGTTTATAAACTAGTCTTATCAATAGTGGTTACAGGTTATTTGAACAATGCAAGAACAAAGACATTTACAGAATAAAATGAGCCCATTTAGTTTCATGGGTGGGGGGAGACAACATCATCATCATTAACTACTTACTGACTGTTAAGAATTACATAACCTATTAGCTCTTAACTAATCCCTGGTTTTACACCGATTTCCGCCTTTTTGTCCCCCCCCCCCCCTCCTTACTCCACAGCTCCAGAATTTTCTCTCATCAGATATAAATTGCCAAGGATTTCGACTAAGATTTTTAATTATTAATCCTGTCTTTCCTTGACTCACTAACCTATTGTTTATCCTGGATTACAAATCTCCATTTGTTTCTACATATTTAAAGTATATTACGTCATTATTGTTACTAATACTTCATTTCAATTGTAGGCTGCTTGCAGCTGATGAAAGACTGTGAAACAAAATGAGCCCACTTTATTCTGTAAATATCTAAGTTCTTGCATCGTTCGAATTTGTCAAGGGAACTAAATGTATGACGTTAAAGGTTATGTTTTTGTTTTGACTAACACAACGCCTAAATCACTTTACGCTTATGTCAGCTATTACAACAGGGATAAAAAGTTCACAGTGCGATCTCCGAAGACAATAGGCGTTTAGCTGAATGTAACTTCATGATAAGAACTACCATCAAACTGAACAATTGTGCGAGAATATCAAGTTGAATGCTGTTTATAAATCTTGCCCTTATAAGGAATAAAAAGCTTGCTGATTTTCAAGGTCTGTTAATAAACAAGAAAACAAACGCTTAGATGTTAGACGAAAATCTACACCTCACGCTCCTACTGAAATGAGTTTCTATTGAGATGACGGTAAGAATTAAAAGGAAGTCAGCCAGTCAATACAAACATGGGTCCTGGGATTATTCGCATAACGGTTCCATTGGTACATCTCACATCAGCACATCAAGGTGGAAGGCACTAAGATGAAAGATGAAAAAATAACAGACATCTTTTACACTCTATATCTGACTTCTGTTTCACTGACGTATCGTTTCCATAACATCAAATCGACATCATTCCGTCAAATAATCCCCTCAATAAACCATTATAACTCAACGCATTTTAAAATGAAGTCAATAACTAGAAAATGTGATGGGGTGGGAGTGAAGAAAGAGAAACCTAGCGTTCATCGTCTCAATGGCACCACTGTTAACCATAAAATACTAGAAGTTACTTTGAAAAGGCATCTGAAAAATGATTATCACAGTCTAGCTAAACACAAATGATATTGTATATAATTACACAAAAAAATGGACAGCATAAAAGCAAGTTGATTGGAATTTCTGTGGGAAAGGGAGGGGGAAAAAAAAGAAAACTTTACCCGCATCACATCGACTGGATTCAATGGGGTTGTGGCACTAATGTGGTCATTATTGCTCTGATGAACATTCGTTGAATTGCTAGTCTGTTCCAATCCGAAGTCCATTGGATTGTATGAGGTAATATGCAGTGGATACAGATGACCACAACTACCGGTGCCCCCACAACCACCATCACCATTAACACCGATCAAATGAGGTGGTCTACACCGTGTACACAAATTTATCTGTGATTGTGGTTGTGTAGGCGTTGTCATCGCCATCATCATCTTCATATCAGTATTAATATAACATCCCTTCATATAGCCAGATGATGTTGACGGTTCACCACCAGTAAAATAATCCATTTGAGTTCGTAATCGTTCTCTACAAAGAAGATCTTGAGGTAGTAAATTCGCTCTACCTTCAATTGAATTGACATACTTCAGTTCACTGAAATCAAGGCAGGTAAAGAAACGTTAGCAGTAACATAACCATAAAAACTTGTCAAAATGGTTTAAAACAGTATGTACGCGTATCAGTAAAATGCAGTTCAGACAAAGGATCTGGATAGTGAATGGATAAGACAATTCATCTAACGCAATACTTCCACTGCAATATTTCTCGTTTTCAATATGGTGGCAAATGCTGGAAGTTCAGTATGTGAATATTCTTTGAGTTTAAGTGCAGAAATTACTAAAACACACAGCGATGCACTTTCAAGATATGCAGAAACAGTCTGAAGAGAAGAGATGGACTCAGTAAACCCATGTACGTTCATGCAGTAGGCGATAAGCCACATATATTGCGTGAGAGCTACTGATACTAGCTTCATAAACCTTGGTAATCCGAACGAGGTTCGAACCCGTGAACCCCTCGATTCATGAGCCACAGTTCCACCCGGAAACGGTCTAGAAATTGGTCGATGATATTCTAATTATGTTTATACTCATAGCTGAAAACTGACAGTACATATTTGTGGGACTGCATGGATAGCGATGTCTAGTATAACACCAAAGCACTTATCCACTGAAAACCTAAATCGGAGAGCGTCATAATTCATAAAACCGTAATCCTAGTGATCGAATTAAGTAGGAATTAGATTACGTAAACATCCTACATATAGTCTTGATATGAAAATTTAGTTGAGCAGGTAGTTATGACAAACAGATGAACTAACTAAAAACTTCGAACAAAAACGCAGTGTTATTAAGGAAGGCACCAATCGAATGCATATTTTCAAGGTCATTTGATTTCCTATTCAAATGAATGAGCGTGACTACAATATTTTTGCACCGTTTACATGAATAACTATCCCGTGAATAGGTAAGAAGATTATTACGATACCAAGGCTATAAATTAGTAAATTAACATTATGTCTCTCTCTCTCGTATCGATGACCTATTCTTTGATTTGATGTCTGTATCTATCCTTCTCAATTTCAAACACCTCGAAAGTATATAGGAAGAGCAAGTGAGTAAAAATATTATATTAAACTGAACGAATATGATATAAATAACCAAAGGGAAAGTAAAGAAATTGAAATTACTGAACTCGTTCATCTTGTTGATATCAGAGATGGTGTAGGCTAGCGGTACATGCTAGATAAGCCTGTTTCCTTTATTTTAAGAGTTCACTAACAACCAGACAATTGAAACTGCTGAAATAAATGAAGTCATAAAAGCATTCAACCAATTTACTTCTTTTCTTGTAACTAGGCATCAGTGCACGACCAACGAATCATGCAGCCTCGTTTCGCAGTTGACAGGTGGGAAACACATGCCAAACATACTCAGGTGTTTGCCTAAGATGTTATAAAAACCCAACAGTATGTTAGAGTCTGAACATGACAGACAAACGTAGTCCGAATACTCTGGATACTCTTCAAGAAGTAAAACGATTCCTAATAGATCGTATGTCAGCAAAACCACCTCCATCATTACCGATATCACTAACATCCAGTAATAATAGTGACAATGGAAAAACCTGGCAAATACCAATGACTGGAAGGGATACACACCACTTTTACATACTATCACTGTTAATAAGTGATATATATTCATTCATAAGCTAATGTATTCCTTAGAAACAACTTTTTCTCTTTCTGTGAGTATCGGATCTTCGAGTGCTGAATGATTGTGTTAAGGATGCTATATCCTTTATATTACATACTTAAAGTTTGTATATATTTGAACTGATTTATTCGAGCTCTTTTCCCGCGCACGGGTCACATTTTGTATGACCCGCTACTGTTCCCATTGGCTACTGACTCTTTAAATGTGCTAATTATTCCTTGTTTTTCAAGGTTACTGTAAACTCTATAAATAGAGTCCGTTTTCACTCATAAACGTTTTCAGTCAAGATATTATAAATTCATCTCATCTCCAGTCTTTTCTCTTTGTAAATCACTTGGGTTGAATCATCTTAATCCTCAACCATCAGTTGTTAAATATTCCCGTTCATTCTCACAACTCTACATCATAACATTATGTTATTACTTTTTGATTCTTCAATAGTTATTCAATAAGAAGGGAATATCTGTATAATGTAAACCTATAGTAAAATTTAACGGAGTTTTTCAGTTTATTAAAACTATTATTCTCCTTGATTTTAATACACATCATTTCATTCTATTCGATATGTGTAAAGTAATCACTTGATGTTTGAAATTCACTTGAAGAACACTTAATGTAATCATATTTTGCTTCAAATTCCTTACTGATGGGAAATTGTCAATTAAGTTGGCTTTAAATACGTCATCAAGGTAACTTTATAGGACTATTTCAATGAGTCCTTTATTATACAAATAGTTTGTGTGATTCATCGGATATCTGAAGTCCTACATTTTGTTTGTCTTCGATATGATATTGAAGTCTATGAGTTACCGTCATATCTATCCTATTTATATGTATGTCTAATAAAAAAATATCACTATTATTATTTTTTTCTGATGTATACATGGATAAGTCATCCTAGTCTTCAAATATTGAATCTGAATTACATAGATGAAGAGATTTGAAGTGGCCACTAAGTTTCACGTTAAATAGTTGGAAGCAATCAGTGGGAAGCCCTGCTTGGAATCTTAAAACCTTTCAGCAAGATCATGGCCTGTATATCTCAAGGGTTTAGTCACTTACTACAGTGATAGAATTCAGTCAGCACTTAAACTAGACCACATGAAATTGATTACTCACCAATGACCAATCGATATATCTAATCCAGTCCTACGCGAGGTGAATAGCAACCCGAACACCTCAATGGTAATGTCTCTTCTGACAGAAGTACTAAATGATATAGGTTTGAATCTCTCAGACAGCATCAGCTCCCTCGAGGTTGTAGATATGCCTAGTGGACCAGTGATAACAAGTATAAAATCAATAGTCTCTAACCAACTAACATCAATTTTAGTGCACCGTGATAATGAGTTTCCTAGCTCGATGACCACATTACAAACTGATCGAAAGAATTCGGTTAACACTTAGGACTAGATAACTACTAAATTTAGATGAAATATAGCATTGGTGTTAGTTTTCTCAATCGAATAGAACGTTATTCAAAGTATTAGAATGTACATTAGTTGTGCGAAGGTTGTAGGTTAAATATGATGGAGAGTACGAACAAGCACAAAATGTAGATCAGTTAGGGTTCCTATTGAATAATCTCCAAAGCAGGCTAACAAAATAGATTGGACCCCAGTATCATTTCATTGGGCTTACTAGTCAAATTAAAAAATGGGACCTACTTGACCAATTTTTATAGATATAATCTATGAATGCAGTCCAACATAAAGAACTTCATAAGGTGAACAATTCTCTTCTTTTCAACAACCCATACAATATTCCACTTTAATAATAATAATAATAATAATAACAAACTGCTAGTGACCGATCAATTAGATCGAATCAATGATGGGATATTGTAAAAAAAAGTCATATAAACTATATCCGTTACACAAGAAGTGTCTATCGTGACTCAGTGGCCTAATGGATACGCTTTAGTGTTCGAAGCTATCTGCACCGACTTCAAGTCTTAGTGAGAACAACAACACTCACTGGAAAGCAATTATATACAGCTGACAAGCCCTAAATAAGACGAAAGCTGTGTCCTAAATTCCACTGCTTGAAATCATCTGTCTTCAATACCAAAACGGCAAATAAAGACAATATCGAGGCATCCGCACAGGAGCTCATATGAAAAAAGTGACCGATCTATTCGATCAAATCAACGATGGGATAATCCAGACAATGTCAAATAATAATTCATGTTTAACTAGCTTACCTTCGACTATGTGAATTAACAATAGGCAAATTATTTTCAAGAGGAAGTTTACGCCTTAAATTCATTTGTAATAATTTAGCAGGCGAGAAAGTAGATCTATTAACTGGTCCATTCCATTCATCATTTACACTACAATAATTACGTCCAGATATAGCTGCTTCAATCGTTAAATTACTTGGTGAAATCGATTTCATTGATTCTACTGTTGTTGATGAAGTAGAAGGTGGTGATGAAATGTAGTAGAGATAATATGTGACATTGATGATGATGCGGTATTGTCTACAACATCTGGTATAGGGTATTTTTGAGGAAAATTCAACTGTTGACATGTTTCATTCTCATTTAGGAGTGTAGTTGTCGGTTGACGATGTGGAAAATACCTGGATAAATAACGTCTAATCCGTTGTTTACGCGATAAGATATTGTCAGATGAATCTAGGAAACCTATAAGGAAAATATTTTTCCAACACAATAGTTTTTATCGTACTCATGTTAGTCTCATTGTATTCCGTCATATAACGGTACAGATTTTGATTAAACAAATAAATAAAACAACTATTCAGTGAGAAAATGATTATTTAAAAGACTCAATGCTGTTCAAAGTAAAAAGTAGTCAGATAGAATCAGCTGTTGGTCATATGATTACATTACTAAGACAGCAATCTTCATGGACTGATATTCAGTGGAAAACTGTTGAAAGCCTGGGAGCGCTGGATAGCCACTTCGTCCCAAGATGGGATTCCTCAGCAGTTCGCACCTACGACCCCGCCACGCCAGGGATCAAACTCAGGGTTTCCAGGTCTCAAAGAGACTATGCCGACCACTCAGTCATTCACGCAGAGTTCAGTGGTTCAAAAATTCTTACTTCTATCAATTCGTGATATGGTGAGACTATCATCCAAGGTTTTCAGGTGGTATCTGTTTCACTTCCGATTGGTTGACCCCACAAGTGGCGGCTTCTCATTAGAACTTCGAGATATCCATTCGGAAGCATGTCACTAATGAGCACTACGCAGTAATGTATTTTAAAGTTGGTGAGAATTTATTATTTTGTTTAAAGTAGCATTCATCACTCATGATCAAAGTCTTATAATCTTGATTTTCAAATTGTATGTTGTTATCTTTGCTATAGTTTTATCGCTGTCATTGCTATCATAACTGCGCACCATATTCACTTGGCATTTTCGTATAATGAAGTCAATAACTCTTAACATTCATCTCATCAATTTCAGAATATTCATCTACTTTTTAATCTTGTCATTTTCTTAATGTCTGAGTTCAACACAAAAATGTCAACTCAGTTCCAAATGACAAAGCATAAAGATATAGTTACAATATGCTTTGTCCCAAGTGTATTAGTAAGATCACAGGTTTACCAGAGAAATAATGATGCATGCTAGTATTATATGCAGAAAGTGTGGTGAGAATAGATGTAGAAAATCATTTGGCGTTTAGAGCGATAGGTCCCGAGTTCGAATCCAGTGGGAACAACATCGCTTAATGGGAGGCAGGTATATCCAATTGAGTTTCAACGAGGGGGAACGCACGTCCTCGATTCCGCTTTTAGTCACTATCCGTCATTATTATAAATTGAGACACAGGCAATATCGAGGCAGCATCACAAGAGCCCATATGCCAATCGAGACCGGTCAATTCGATCCAACTAATGATGGGGTAATACTGGTAACAGCACTAAAATGATGCCCGTCACATGTGAAGTGGTTATCATAACTCGGTAACCTAGTGGATAACGCTCTGGCATTTGAAGCGGTCGGTTTCGAGTTCAAGTCCTAGTGGGAATAACGTAGCTAACTGACAGACAGGTTCATTTAGCTGATGAGTTCTAAACAGGATGAAACGCGCACCCTGGATTCTACTGGTACCCATCATCCATCATTAGTATTCATCTCCTTCTTCGATAAATATATATATCTAGTTTAATTCTATATTTGACTGGATTATTTTGATACAGAAAACACTGAGGCAGAGCTATTTAAAATAGATGGTTCAAATACAACTTACTGCTCACAGTAATGATAATAATAATAATCTTCGATATGAATTGTAAACTAATCTAGTAAGAAATTAACCTGACCTCGGTATTCAAGTTCCAATCCTACATGTATTTTGACTGGATATATGTATGTGAGTCTTCGTTCTTCCAAAAATTCTTACATCTTCAAAACATGCTCAAAATATCATAGAAAAATACATGAATACTTAAATTCGTAAGCGTTGATTACTTATCAAGATGTAAGCAGATGATGAGGATCGTATTTATCGAAACTAATAATTTACGTTTCCCGTGTTTTTATATGAAGATTATTCATACAGGTTGTTAGCACGAAAGCAGACAAGCGTAATTCATTCTAGTTGTTTGCTTTCAAATGGAACTTTTCACACCATAGAGACTACTAATATTGATTGTGGCACTAGCTGATCAAATTTGCTTGATGGCGGCTAGCAGTGGGATCCATGACGCGCGTTCCGTTCTTTTTAGGGCTCATCAGCCGGAATTACCAGTATTTTGGTGGGTAATATTTTCACTAAGACTGAGCACTCATCACTTTAAACGCCAAAGTACTATCCACCAGGCTACTGAGTCACGGGGACCATCTCATGTGTAGAGGATACCAGTTTTATCCATTGAAACTCGAAGTTTTCCCCCTGTATTACTGGATTGGATTGGTCGATTAGTGTTGGTATATAAGCTTATGTGCGGATCCTTCAATATTCACCTGAAGACTCATTATGTTATAAGTTGGTTGCTCAAGCATCTACACAGGAACCCTTAAGTCAAGAAAGACCGATCAGTTGGATCTAGTAAAACAGCGGTATAAAGATTAGTACCAATAAATAACTAATCCAAGCATTCAGCAGAGAAGAAGACAAATAACCAACGTATTCTACAAGTAAAAACATGGCTAAATCGTTAATAACATGGACAAAAGTTTGATCACAATGTGACAATCACAGTTATGAATCCAGAGAGTTGAACCCTTACAAAAGACAACATTCCGAAATAATCAAGCTCATATAAAGTATTGTATGCCTATTTTTATCAGTAACGCCTGACATAAAAATGATAACACTTTTATAGCTAATACCATTTATCCTACCTAGTGTTTGTTTACATTTGATTCCGTATACATTGCGTAAAAACAGTGACACAACGGCATTCAGAATTCTGAAAATCATGTTTCCAATGAGTTCGATTCTAGACTTTAGATCAATCAACAGTTTTAACAATGAGTTAACTTGCTGATTAAAATGATCAAAAGGGTTAATTTTCGTAAGTGAATATCTTCTAATATCAATTCAGTAGATGAGATCAATCATTACTAATAAACTGATATTATTAGTAGTATCGAGGCGTAAATCTAAGAGCCTATACACTAATAGTGTTCGACCAATTCGATCCAATCAACGATAGGAGATTAAGAAATATAATATCAAAACTACAAGCGTCGCACAAATAGTAGCTATGGTGACTCAGAAGCCTAGTAGATAATGCCACTGGCAGAGAGGCAGGTACATTCAACTGACGAATCCCAAGTAGGACGAAACGTGCATGTATCCTAGGTTCCGCTGCTAAACACTTTTCATCATTAACATGAAAATGATATTACTTGCAATACTAATACATGTGTACAGGAGCCAATACGTCAATAAAGGTAGATCGATCCAGTCCAATCAACAGCAGGAAATTACAAGCTATAACATCAAAAATTTTCATTGGTCGAAGTAATCAACACCTATATCTACATACTTCTTTTTCCTTTCCAACAAACCTTCGTGATCCCCTTTGTTATTTTTTTTTCAAGTAGTTTTCTCCTTCTTCGTCTTAATAAAGCGAAAATTGGGTGAATGAAATGTAGATTGAGAATCTATATTCTCTTCTTGGTAACTGATAGTATATCAATAATAATAATTAGGGTTAACAGTCTTTTCATAAAAAATTTACTTACGCTGATTATCAGGATTTGATTCCAAGTGATGAAATGGAACAATACCATCACCATCATATGATGTAAATGCATTTGAATTGATACATTCCAAGTGTAGGGAATTCAGTTGATGTAAATTAGCTGAATTGATCAAATTATTATTGGTCATTAAGCCTTGGAAAAGAAAATCATGTATTACGTCATGGTGAACAGCGGAGGGAAACTATAACGAGGTTGTAATTAGATTTAGACAAGGTGAAAATACCAATGAAAGTATAACTTTTGGAGATGAAGATTAAAAGAATGCCAATTAAGGAATTCATATCTAATGGAAATGATCAAACAATCCGGTTATCTGAGTATATTGTGAACATGTAAATACGCACATATGATTAAACGTTAACAGCCAAATTTATGATAACTGGAAGATAAACGTTAACCACCAAATCTCAAGTTGAAGAATCTAGGGATTTTATACTGAATTCCAAATATCAATCAACCATTTACTGAGGAAACTAATCAATGAGAATTGTCGAAAATCTCCAGTACCCAAACTATCTGCTCACATCATCTCAAATCATACAGTCTTAAGATATGTTCAGTTAGAGGAGGAAAGTGGTACATGATAGGCGGTATTATTCTGTTGCTGAGGAATTCATTCGCTTATAATTTGATTCATTCAACAGTGACTGACTGACTGATAGGATCGACGTAGAACCTCATACGAAAATTCATCGGCTTAAGTTGCCACATTTCACAGAAGTATACAAAAAAGAAATGGATGAAAAAGGAGTGATATCAAAGTAGACAGTTTTGTGATAGAGTAACCAATTTGAAGGTAAAGGTTAGTGGGAATGCTCAAGTTTTAGAAGATGTCAAGGAGTGAGTACATCTACGCCAATGGAACGTATTCCCGGCTATGTCACCAATAATCCTCAACTACTGATTCCTTTCATCGTAGGAACCTCAACAAGGTAGTCTCCCCACACGGCTCAAGCCAACTGTGCTCTCAGCGTGATAGAATTAATCAATTAATAATAAGACCATTCAAGTCACCCTAATCGACAGATTTTTCAGTTCTATTAATGCTATGGGATCACTAGTTACTTCGAAAGTGTAAACCGTGTGAAAATAAATAAGTAGTCCATCTAAAGCTCTTGAGCTGACTGAACTATGTAGTAGTACTATAGAATAAGTTATGAGAAAGAAGTAGAGTAACCTGATGAATTATACTTGTGTAGTGTTCCTATTTTCTTTTTTGATTGCTATTACAACTGCTATGTTCTGACTTATAAAAAAAACGAATTCAATAGGCTACATCAAGCCTAAAAGCTTCCACATTACCACCAACCTAATGAAAACAAGTACCATCGTTGACCAGGTTAATGAAGTAATAAACCGGTAATTTTCCCTCAAGCTACTGAAATACAATTAGGAGACATACTTTCTATCATTTAACAATGACAGGTCATAAGTTCAACTCTCCGCCCCCCCCCTAACCGACGAGGCTGCATCATCAGTGACCATAAAATAGGTGCGTGTGCTTGTAGACATATATACTAGTACATATATAAAGAATAGGATGACTCCATGGATCAAAAGCTATTTATCCCAATTAGACCAATGACCTAGCTGGCTACTTTCATCGGTCATACTCCAGACTTCATCAGCAGAAACTGTTCATTACACTGAGGACAAGAAAATATGACATTACTCATTGCCTTATGCAGAGATGTAGCTCACTGACTTGTGAACTGTACCATCAAAGAATGGATCCCGAGTTCGAACCTAAAGACCTCTACTTGGGCTTGGGTGGAATCACAGCCTATCACACAAGTATGGCCCATAACATAGCACGTAAACGTGTAGTGCATTTAGTTAGATTATTTTATTATATCCATATGATTCGTCATTATATGAAACAAACTGAGTTCCCGATAACTCATTTCTGACAACAAGATTTACCGTGTCGTTGAATGAAATAGGTGTGAGTTTTTGACTAGAGTAACAAGCTAAAATAAACTTAGATCTAGAAGTTTCTCTTCAACTGGTCAGTAATGAAATATTTCAAGTTGTTGTTCATCGTTAACTGACATCAGTTGGAGGAACAAAGGAGACCTGGGAGCACTGGACAGTTGTTTCGTCCTAGTATGGGACTCCTCAGCAGTGCGCACCCACGACCCCACCAGCAGGGATCGAACCCGCGACCTTCAGGTTCCGCGACCAGCGCGTTACCATTAAGCCACTGGGTCAGAATCCAATGCTCCATATTTCCAACTTCTGTTAGCTCACGATATAGCGCAAACCACCACCCAATGTCATCGTTGAGTATCTGTCCTCACGGCCATCAGGATTTGACTCCACCGGTCACGACTTCTCACTGATGTCAGTCTCCGATGAATAACAACTTGAAATAATTCCAAATCTCCACAACTCCCTCAGTAATGAGATGTTTAGATGAACACACTAATTTAAGAATGAATAGTTTTGTAAAAAATTTAATAGGTTGTGTACACAAACTTCTATTCACAAAGGGAGGAAGAGAATCTAAATCCATACAGTAGAGTGATTAATTTCGGAAAGGAAATCACAGAAAACTACATGACTGACAGAGTAATTTGAAATATGAAGAGTAAATCTAAAGAATAAACAATAGTTACTGAGTAGAATAAAAAGTAATACAGCGCACCCAACCAATATATATGAACATAAGTCGATCAACTTGATTACGTTAGAATCTCCTACATATATCAGTCACCGACGAAGATATTCGTGCCACTCATTAGTCTAATGGATAGTATTCTAGTAATCGAAACTGTACGTACTGAGTAGACTTTTCAATGGAAATACTAACATAAATTCAAGAGCATCGAAGTAACGACGTCTGCTTAGGAGGTAACGACGTCATCCTAGGACAGGAAACTTCATGGGTTAGCAGAAAGAAATGTTTTGTTTAGGGATAACTGTCGTAATGGATATGAAATCAACCTTAACCTTATTACCTGCTTACTGATCTATTCTGTTATCCTTGATTGACTACTGGTCATATGATTTGTATTCTAAAGTTGCGCCACCTTAGATACATCATTCGCACATAAGCGATTTTTATTCATTAACTGTCCTGGTTCTTGAGTCTGGACTCCTATAGAATGATATACGCGCAGTCTGCCGACCAGCAGTTTAGTACTCACTAGTTTCACAGTCATTTAACATAATCACTATGTTGGGATTTGAGAGCGGAGGGTAGTCATCTTCCGGTCATTCAGTAAATCAGCTATTCACAAAAATGTCAGCCAATGTATCGGGTTCGGTCACCAAGTTCGATGGGCAGTTACTTCCATATACTCAACTAATAGTCAGTTTATTTTGTTAGCTTTATTCTAAAGTCTTTTATAGACAACCATAGAACCGTCGTTTTCTCACAAGAAATATTAAATCCGCCTTCACAGGTAGCTAACTGATAAACGACCGACCTTGACAAAGTTGCACCTGATGATGTGTAAATTGCAATAAATATACAGCAAAATGTGAAAAATATCCTTCAACTGACCAGCAATTTGATTGGACACAGTTGTACAGTTGTTAGTAGTTGAATTAGTAGTGGCAACCGTTGTCGTTACTACAGAGGTCGTGTGAGTTTCTTCAGATTTTTCAGGAAAGAAGAAAGGCATCATGATACGATAAAACTGTTTACTCATCTAAAAATTAGGAGACAAGGGGGTGAGGAAAAAGGGAAAAGTAGAAAAGAATGGATAGGTTATACTATTAAAAAAAATACCATCAATACAAACACAGAAGCGAAAGTTAACTTGAATATTGTCCTTCACGGTATAAGCCAGCGGGGTGCATACAAACATGTGTTTGTTGAAACGTGTCAACTAGGCGCATCTTTTTATCTCACCGATGCAAATCAAGTATAGAGAAAAACAAACTGGTAAATTTTTGATTCATCTACTCCTCACAATAATTACATTTCAATAAGATTATCTTTCAGGTTTGGTTCGCACCGAATCTTGGTTTAAAGATAAAGAGTGAGTGTGTAGAGTTGCATCGGTTAAAATGGTTTCTAAAAACATCTTGGGTTGGATTTAAAAGGTCTATTTTTGGCATTCATCAACTTACGTTCTCATTGATGCCAACGAGATATCCCGTTGCTTACTAAAAGACGTATATACTGTGCAACACTGTGCTCCAACCTATTACATAACTGCAAGAAATAGTGGTCGAAAGTAGAGGATACGATGTGGTTACGGGTTCTTAACCCCAGGTGTCTTCGTAGTATTGTTTGTATGTGGTAGAATCACTGTGTGAACAATATATAGGTCAGGTATAGGGTACTAGGCAAGGAACGCAATTCAGTAGAAGACTTTGTGAAATTTCACTAACTGACGTGTCTTGAAAATATGTTGCGAATGCTCATCCATAGCCCATCTTGATATGCTATGTTCGTCGAAGTAGGTTCAAAGAAAGCTAAAGGTGGCCAGAAAGGTGATCAAAACAAATAAATCAACCATTCAGAATACAGTCGATTAACATCAAAAATTCAAAGGAGGAAAGGTTGTTCAAGTCAAAGAATACAATATTGAACAACTGAGTCCCATACTAGGATGATTCAGCGGTCCAGTGCTCTCAGGTTTTCAATCGTACTACAATTGATGTCAGTCCCCTGTGTTGAATACTACTTTAAAAACACATTGTTATTCTGTTATAAGCATAGTGAAAGACGTTTTGCCGTGTAAAAATTTACTGACCTGAAGTACAATTGGTGCAACACTGATCTCCATAGCTTCCTTCACAGAAATCCCACCAACCGGTGCTAAATCAGAACAAGCTATTCGTAGAATAGGTCCACCAGCATACCGACCGCCAGAAACATCAGGAGCTAAGACCTCCTATCAATATAATATTTTATTTGTAAATAAATATCAGTTAGTGGAGAAGTGGAATATAGGTATATAGATGAGATCAAGTAGAAAAATTGATATAAATGAATAAATAGCCTGAAAGGAGAGTTGTTAAGTATTTCTCGGTAGTCAATGTAATATGGACAAAAGACCGAATACTGAATACAAATCGATGTTTCTGTCAAATTCTAAGTGCTGATTGAAGTCTCTCAATCAGTTTCAAGATGTTGTCAATAACCAAAATGACATTTTAAAAGTTAATCTGCAGGGCTTTATCTTGATCCATCCAGATTTTATGCTTGTCGGCGCTTGGCAACAAGGCGTCTCGGAAAAAAGGATGACAGGAAACTTATGTTTACTCAGTGATTAGAATTTGTACTATTCAATATGGAAGTCAGAGGATTTACCATTAATTTATTTCAACCCAAAAATTTTACTATAGAATTGGACTAAACACATGAATCGATCACTACATGATCACTACCGATAGATCTATCAAGTTCTCTAGTGCTCAGTGCTAATTTTGCCATATTCAAGTAAAAAAACTTTTCATACATGTTCAGTCACCTTAAAACTTTATACATATGAAAGGAAAACAGTAAAAAAAATCATTTTAAAATCCTCAGAGAACAATGTCTCCAAAATATATTATTGAAAAGGATGAGTAGTTCGAAACCAATCAGGTTGGTTAGTAGATTTCACCAACCAGATCAGAATGATTTACGCACTGGATAATAGTTTTGCTGATCTGAGCTCATCAGCCTCGTATCCGAACAAATCTAGATCATAAAACAAAATTGTTCAGACCACCTAAATCTGGTCAGCTGACTCCCATGTAAAAATATTACTGTTAACTATATTTCAAATATAAATTGCTTATTGTAACTAAAAGGGTTAGTTGGCTACACTAACTCAGTAAAGAGACTCAAAAGGAATCATTCACAGATCATTTCAGAAGTTATCACACCTAATTCCGTTTCCATTAATCCTTCCCATCTTCTTTCCGCCACAGAAAAAATGATCACACTGAAGTTAAATAATCGAACAGTAAATATGTGCAGAGTTCTGTAACGTCACAACTTCTGACATGTGTTGAATGGGGAATACGTAAAACTTTTATAGTTTCAACCACGAAAGTCTTCCTAGTTATTATGCCTAACTATAACCTATTAAGCACCACACCGCTCAAATAACTCTCGTATTCAGTAGTGAACTGTCATATTGGTTAGTTACTGAGTAGGCTACTAATAACACCACGTATCAGAACATCTTCAATCTAACTGTTCCCCGTTCCCAGTTTCAATTTAGAGATTTGTGGGGATTTATTTACTAACTGAAATTACTGTTTAGTGCTACGATATGAGATTCCCGAAGTTCTAACGAGAGAAGTAGTGACCGGTAGAGCCAAAGAAGTCCGAAGTGAAGACAGTTACTCAACGACGCATTGGATGACGGTAGCACTACATCGTGATCTAACAGAAGTAGGAAACTATAGACCAAAGAATTCCAACAAAAGAGCTCAATGACGACATGCGGACCACAGGACCTGGAAGTCCTGGTTCCAATCCCTTGGAAGGTGCGTCCACTGCTGACCAGTTCAATACTAGGGCGGAACAGCTGTCTGGCGCTCCAGGGTTTTCAATGCTGTCAATCCGTCTAGTAAACTAATTTGAAATTCATTCCCAGTTTGTTTGTCAAAACAAATAGAGAAAAATTTCAAACAAGTTAGGCACATATCCAACACAGCTACTGAGATTAGGAAATAAGCAAATTAACCATCACTCTATGACCTTGAAGGAGATAGTACAGTTAAGTTAATGACCAAAAAAGGATGCGAAAACTACCAAAAGAATAATACCATGAATACTTGTGTGAGGAAGGCAGTCCTCAATACAATCCCCATCAGACATAATTCATGAAATGCTGTCTGACACTTGTGTCCCAGTGGCCCAATGGATAACGCTTTGACGTTTGAAGCAATGGGCATCGGATTGGAGTCTCAGTGGAAACAACATCACTTATTAGGATGCAGGCACATCCAGCTAACGAGTTCCAAAAAAGACAAAACGCCCGTCCTGGATTCCACTGCGAGTAATCAAGATGAATAAAACATAATTTGTCAATTGGTTAATTTTCATGTCTTCCTCTGCCTAACCGCTGTTACTCTATGCTTACACAAAACTGTCCATGTATGCTAGCAAAGCAGGGGAGCAATTATTTCGCGGTTAACCGTATTATCTTATTGTGCAAGATGAAGTGTATTCGACAGACAGATAAACCGTTGAAAATTGCGCAAAAGTACAATAGTTCAAGATGCCAAACTGTGCAACAGAACAGATATTTAGAATAATATCAAGATAAAAACAAAAAGGATACGTCGAACAGAGAAGACAGAAGGCAGGGAGGAACTGAAAACGTAAACAAAGAAATCAAAAAGGAGAAAAAGAAGTGAATCAAGAAATAATTGAACAGAGTCTTGTAAGGCATGTGCACACATGTATAATATAACAAAGTTCTAAGCTTTTTCACAATCAGAATAGTCTACAACCACTAACATCAGTATAATTTTTAGTGTAAATGTTTCAACTGTATCCCAGTTACCTAATTCTAAATCACAAAGAATTAAGTAGTTTTTGCACTCAATTGAATAGTACTACTTTCGCATGATAAAATGGTATTGGAATGCTTACGATCTTGAAAATATAAGATTGATTCACTAGGTCCTAACACGTTAATTTGGTTTTGGGTCTAATGCGAAACATCAATTGCAAACAGTATCACCTAAATTTACTGAAAAACTCGATAGTTATCACACTAATAGTTAAATGGTGACAGAAATGCTAGAAATGAAAATCAGCTTCCATTAAAGAAGAAACCATCATCTTCGCGTCCCGCCCCACCCATTGAACATTTAGTAATGGACTCACTTTATAGAATGAATTAGGCGCCAGGCTAGAAACTCGTATCCAGCCTAATTCTAAACGATGAGAACCGGAATCATCTTGACGATTGGTTTTTGTGTAAATAAAACCACGTAATTCTACATCAGCTAAACCGATTTGTCCATCATGTTCAGTCATACGCCATCTAGCATGTTCAAAGCAAACCTATATAGTAAATGAGGTAAAAAGAATGGGAAAAGGAATTAATTCATACTATTTTGCCTTCAGTGTTATTTTTCTTATCTCACGAGAGTTAAAGTTAATCACTGAGAATATCAAACACAAAATGATTGATAAATGACATGATTATACACACTCTGTACATCATTAGGCAAAGGGTAAACCTATTGTGCGAGGATTAATGGCATGAAGTAACTAGCAGAATCCCAACAATGAAGCGAAATCCCAACTCTTGATCCACTGGTTATTGGATATATATATATATATATATATATATATATATATATATATATATATGATTCTGAATACACTAAAATAGAAGTTCATCTTGGCTATAAGAAAAAGCACTCATAGAATTTTGCACAGTTCTATAATAAAAATCAGATTTTAGCTAAATTAAACTTTGTATACAAAAAACTGCGCGTAAATCAACTCAGATGATAAGACAGTTTGATGATATTATCACTCTTTAGGTGGACAACATAATAATAATGATAAGAAGAAGAAAAAGAAAAAGAAGAAAGTAGTCCTCTAATCAGTTAAAAATAGGATCATAGAAATGGACAATTGTTGTCAAGTCCAACACTAGGACAGAATATGTGCCTAAGCTCCACAGAATTCCAGGAGTTCTCTAACTGACATGAATTCTGAAAACGAAGAGACTTTAGTGAACACATGCATCAAATGTTATGATGAAAAACAATAAGGCAGAACTCAACAGTCACTAGCACTTTTTCTTAGATGAAAAGTGTGGACTCTTTTTTCCAGTAGAACCGTAAGTTTGTCAGAAGTTGACAGTAACGTAGACTAGACAATAGATATGCTTGGAAAATTTGACCGGATTTTGTCGTTACGCTTAGAGTTTCTATGAAGTGAGACTAATTCACGTCGAAATTTCCAAACATACTTTTAAACTACTCACAAGTAGACAAACATATTTCATAAATTTAAGTAGTGCTCATCAGTTGGTTACCGCTAAACAGTGCAAAGGAACATATGTATATACGTAAATACAATTCGACTGAGACGTCGATTTAAGTGTAGCAACATAGAAATGAACAAGTTTTTATAGGTCAAGCGGTAATACAAAGAGTGGGGGTGGATGATACAAATGAACAGCTGTAACATAGGTTACAACATAATTAATATGCTTTTGGATAGTGGTGCAGTCTAAATAAAATAATGATAATAACAATAATGTTGACAATGGGGTGAGAAGTGAGTTGGTTATGGGTGGGGGGGAGATTAAGTCACTCAGAACAGGATAGTCATTAGTCGTGTAGGGTGACATAATACAAAAACCAGGTGTGCAGTGAAACGAAAACTCATGATGATAATAATGATAGTCTTAGTAATAGGAATAAGGTTAATTGAACGAAACGGATCAGCAACAGAAAACCACAACATAAGCTACGGACAATAAATGACGGCTTAGACGAAGTTACAATTCCTACCACAATAGATTCAAGCTAACTACCATTTCCTTCTGAATACAAAGGTTTGGTTTGACAACTCGAATCGCACAAGCTTCCGGAATTGCAGGTAACTTGTTATTCTGCTGTCTTCTGATAGTCATAAATGACTCAATGGTATCAATATCATGACCATAGTCCATTGAAAGTCTCTTTATCAAGGGGTCTTCCTTCCAGCACGCTTTAGTCATATAGGTAGGTGCTCAAGCATCCCAGTAGACAAACTCTCAGACACATTCAAATTGATACATGCATTCAGATGAGTAGAGGTGATGATGTGTTGGAAGTAATTCGGCAAAGACTGAAAAGGTCTATGCTCCAAACTCATGCTCCTCAGCACCACGAAAGGGCTATTGCTTGTTTTAAACTTAAACCAGGAAACAAGCGTTTTCAAAAATACTTCAGTAACGTATTACAAAAATTAGAAATATGTACAATTACCTCGCTTCGTCTAACAACTTCAGCAGGCTTACTTCCACTGTCAGTTGACTTGCGTGAACTATCAGATAAAACAGCTTCTGCTACTGATTGATTCTGACTGACATTATTACGACTATTGCAGACATTCGCGTGAAGTAAATAGTCTATCGAGGATGACCGACGCAAATTTCCTTGAGCAGATAACCCACAAGTTACAGGGGACTCGGAATCATTACCTAACTGAGAGATTCGATTAAAATCCTCTACAGCTTAAAAAAAATAGTAAACAAAAGAGATGTAGACAATAAGTAAGTGGAAAGCATGGAAAGTGTAGTTTCAATAACCGCATTTGTTGATAAACTATCGCTTACGTTAGAAGTTACTATAGTAATACGGGAAAAATCGACGAAATTGCATAATGGGGAGTGAATTTAAGTCTTAGTAAATTATGAAAACCTATTTGAAATAAAGTTTATGCGTACAGTTTCTGCATTCTACATTCGAAATGTGTTGGTTTTCAATTTCTGCTGGTTCTTCACTTCACTTCTGTATTTCTTCCCTATGTTTCTCATTTTCTCCTTTACAACACCCACCGACTGGATGATAACTCTACTTGCATTTCCCAAGAACTTCACGTAATATAGTACTCACACCTGTTCGTATAAGTAGTGTAGTGGCTAATAGCTTAGAGTTCGACGAAATTCAACATTGATGCCAATCTTCATGCTTTAAACAGAATTGCTAAGCTGAAGACACATGGTCAAGTATCCACGCCATTTGGCAGGTTGCTGTGTTACTTTGCGTTGTACGTACACGATCCTCTAACCAGTTAGTCGAAACACATCGGCATTTTGGCACGGTTCATCGTATATACTATTCCCGACTGGCTACCTTATTGTACTTTTCCTTCATCTCATACATATAGATATATTACAAGAACAAAGAACTAGTGATTGGCCTCTGCATCGTTCTGTCAAGTTCGCGCAAGATCAAATCCTAAAGTAGCACGTATCACATAACTTCTTATAGTATACAAGCATAATCAAACCAAAGAAAATTTTCTGAAAAAAAGACTGTGGTCAAAAAGAAAGGAAGAAACAAATCATTAGAAATTATGCTGATATACATTAAAAGTTGTTCTTGCTAGATACCAAAACTATTACATATTCTAAACAAGCCGATGGTGTCAGGTAGTAAAGACGAAAATGATAAACAAAAAAATAACATGCACTGTGTAATCTAAGATCTTGAAATTTTCAAAATTCCCAGACAACAAATCTGCATTCTTCTATTTAGTTCAAATCAATAAACAGTCACTGATTACATGAAGTAGTAGAATGGTCAACTTGCAGATGATTTGCAAATTATACGCTTCACCTTGATAATTCATAGAGCTGAGTAATTTTCCATTTGCTCAACTGTGGTGCCAATCAAAAGACTTTCTGTTGAAAACCATCCGATCAAGATCATAAGGTGGTGTCTGACACAGCTAGGGAAATATACTACAACTGAATATGTAAACCATTTGTAAATTAACCAGTCCATTTTACGCGTATTGATCCCCACAAGTCAATTAGCGAGATCCAGGTTATGTGAACCATATCAGTTCTATCAGGTGACTTTATCCGAGTACACCCTGAAGGAGCTTGACCCGAAACGAGGGAAACTGCTGACCAGTGTGTAGATAGTTATGCTCTGGCCAGCAAAATCTACAGATCAGTCGGAGTAGTTTCTGACTACTCAAGTTGTCCACTAGTAGTAGCAGTAGTATGTATGTATGTATGTATGTATGTATGTATGTATGTATGTATGTATGTATGTATGTATGTATGTATGTATGTATGTATGTATGTATGTATGTATGTATGTATGTATGTATGTATGTATGTATGTATGTATGTATGTATGTATGTATGTATGTATGTATGTATGTATGTATGTATGTATGTATGTATGTATGTATGTATGTATGTATGTATGTATGTATGTATGTATGTATGTATGTATGTATGTATGTATGTATGTATGTATGTATGTATGTATGTATGTATGTATGTATGTATGTATGTATGTATGTATGTATGTATGTATGTATGTATGTATGTATGTATGTATGTATGTATGTATGTATGTATGTATGTATGTATGTATGTATGTATGTATGTATGTATGTATGTATGTATGTATGTATGTATGTATGTATGTATGTATGTATGTATGTATGTATGTATGTATGTATGTATGTATGTATGTATGTATGTATGTATGTATGTATGTATGTATGTATGTATGTATGTATGTATGTATGTATGTATGTATGTATGTATGTATGTATGTATGTATGTATGTATGTATGTATGTATGTATGTATGTATGTATGTATGTATGTATGTATGTATGTATGTATGTATGTATGTATGTATGTATGTATGTATGTATGTATGTATGTATGTATGTATGTATGTATGTATGTATGTATGTATGTATGTATGTATGTATGTATGTATGTATGTATGTATGTATGTATGCATGTCTGAATGTTATATTTTGATGTAATTCACCCTTACCCATTTCTTCAACCCAATTCAGTCAATAACGCTTATCGAAGTAGGTCGTATCTTTCAATAGATGAAACCTAGTGGAAAAATTTTCACGATCTCATCCATCAATTGATTTAATCAACTTTTGATACATGTGAAAGCTGATGAACACACAGAACTGAACTAGGAAATTTAGAAAGTATGAGACCTAACTTACTCTCTCTTTCCCTCCGATATCTCTCTATCAACTAGTTTACTACAATACACAATATCCTGTAAAGTTCGTCTCATGTACAACAGCATACTTTACATTATTTTACACAATTTACATCATAGAAATAAAAGTAAATTCTATACTGGGCGATGACTGAATGTGAAATGTAAGTGTGAACAGGATTAGAACCAGCGACCACTGGATTTCCAGCCTGATGCTTTACCAACAAAGTTACGACGTCTGAATCCTGACTAGATTTTTATTTCACTTCAACCACTATGGGTTTTGCCCGACTATCATGTGAATTCGTGACGTGCTACTACTGCTTGATCGTATTCACACTGTCTGCGTAGTCAGAACTTCTTCCCCATTCAAATCTAACTTAAGTGATCGGTAGTCGGACCTCGTAGCTCAGTTAGTAGAGCATTGAGTCAGAAACCCAGTGGTCGCTGGTTTGAATTCGACAGCGGTCCAAATTCATATTTCAAACTTCAATTATCACCCAATATAAAAAATAACCTGCCAAACCACGGTTATCTCAGATAGTCAAAATGATAATCAATAGTAAAATCTGTTAACAGTCTTGTTTAGGTAACATAACATGCAGATCAGCTACTTACAAGTCTAAAACCATCTCTATAAAGGAGAGTGTACACTACCTGATTGGAGTCTGCAGGAAAACCGAAATACCTAAAGAACATTAGTCCGAAATCGACACAACTGACTCAATTACACCATCCCTTGTTTTCAACTAGGCAATCATACTATCTATCTCTCCATATCTCATTTTCACACTGTCTTATAACTTTCACGATTACTCATATTATTATTATCATTATGAATTATTTGTTTTTCCTGGTATTAGTGTGAAGAAGCATTACACAACTGTCATCCACACACACACACACACACACACACACACGTATGAGGATTACAGATGTTAGCATATGAATATAAAAGAATACATTAAGTAAATAACCGTTTGAAGAGTAACCATTTGGAACACAATCTCGCTTGTATCTTAATCAAGCGAACTTCTTCGAACGAAGACAGAACAAATGAACACAGAAGCAAATATCTTATATTCATCTTGGTGACTGGTAGTAGAATCCCAAGTGGCCTAGTGAATAACCCCTTGGCGTTGGAAGCGATGGTAGTGGGTTCGAGTTTCAAGGGCAACAAAATCGCTCACTGGGGTACAGTTATATTCAGCTGGTGAGTTGCAAATATTGCGCGTTCTCGATCCCACTGGTAGTCACTAAGATGAATATAACATTATGGATACCGCCACGGCATAGGAGCCCATCTGCAGACAGAGGTCGTGCAATTCGACCCTGTATAGCAATGGTAAATTACAAGTACCAAAACAATTAAAACAAACACAACAACTTACCTCATTTGCTATACAACAATACAAAAAAAAACTATAAAACTTACATTGTTTCTGTATTAAATTTGGACTATTCAGTGTTAATCCACCACCACTACCAGAAGTAATACCTATCCCAGTATTCGATATTGTTGTAGATGGATACAAGAAATCATTGTTAAATGATGACGAGGAAGAAGAATGAAGTGGATGACGTTTAAATGACATTGCTTTACGGATATGACGACGTTGAGCTTGTATCTGTAGCTGTTGATAATGAGCTAAACGTTGTGATAAAATTGCGTTTAAATCGATTATACTAGATTTCAGTGTATTGATTTGAGTTTCTAAATGTCTTTTTTTTTGTAATGCATCAGGGGAAGCAGACGAGATAAAAGAAATAAAATGATGAAACACACGTAAAACACTAGGAAACACATATATTAGACAATCAGTTATATTTATTGACAGTCTCAGCACTGATCGAAAAAATTATTTATTCATAATCAAAATTAGAGCTTCGAAAGTGGAACAGAAAGACTTTTTCAATAAAGGAATGATATTTTTTTTCACCAAAGAGGAATAGTAAAGTCCTTTTACATTCTTTAACAAAAAAAACATTCCACTTTTAGGATTCAAATCAGCAGCGCTTAAAAGAGGAATCAGTTACTCAAATTTTCATCATTGCTAGTATCCATCCGTAAGGTGAATTAGAAACCTTGAAAAGATATACTATTTCTTTGAAGATGAAGTCAGTAACTTTATCAAGGCTAACATCTTCTTGATGCATGCATGCATGTCCTAAAAAATATGTGACTTGCCTTATACATAGCAGTTACAATGCCCCACCACTAAGAAGTGGGTCACGAGTTGAAGTTCAGAGGATGAGTGAATGTGACTACTCACTTCTGCGTACATAAACTAAAACGTAATGATGATCTGTAGTGACTCCTTGGATATTTTAAGCCACTGATAGCTGAAAAGAAGCCATGAAACAAAGAAATGAGGTGTTCTTATTCTGCGGACATATTTTCTTCCTGTTATGATAAACGTTTTCAACAGTAAATGACCTATACATCTATCTAGTGAATCAGTAACAACGGATGAAAAAAAGCCTTCATGGTCACTAAATACTTGTTGTAGAGTATATCTGTACGATAACTTACAATATCAATAGGTGAGCGATGAAGGCATTAACACTCGCTTTACGGTAGGTGGATGCAACCAGCTGTTAGGCATCCTCGATTGTAATTTTAAGCATACAGGGAAAATACTAAATTGACTCAATCTACACGATATGAAGATACATGAAACCTATGCATCAAAAAAACGATAGCAAGATGAAAATAAACCTAAGCGGGTAACCGACAGATTAGATTCATATGAATTCTGTTTACTGATCTACGGTTTGCATGGTGAATGGCATTTGAGCCTGTCAATATTTGTTTCAGCTGAAGCTTTTGAGATAGGACACAGTCGGTTGTCGATAATGATCGTTCCATGAAAACCCTTTTATTAGAGGTGTAGTTGTACTTTAAGGGGTATGTAACATGATTCTCATCGTGACTTTAACATAAATTTGTTTGCTGTTAAGTTTACAAGTATTCCGACCATAGACGGATACATGTTACCGTTTCGTAAAAGATCAATAATGTGGTAACCAAAGAGGTGAGGGTTTTGTTATCAGAAATTGATTTCATTGAAATGCACTCAACAACCACGTGCAAGATCGTGCAGTAGGCAAGGAACCACATCTACTGCGTGACGGCAAAATTATACTGCCTGGCTCGAACCGTGACCGATTGTTTGAAAGTAATCTCTTCAAACTAATGAGCTACAGCTAAACTTTATAATTTGAGATGTAAGTCTATGAATACAACTTCATGTCAAGTATGTTCTTCAAGGATAAGGTGAATGAATAAATATGCAAACGTTTGAGTTGTATTCAGGAGAAAACACGTTCCCTTTCATTTTCATCAGTAATACAAACGTCTATAAAACTTAGCAGGAACAACTCAGAAGACACGATGACAACAACAGTAAAAACTCTCTCATCTGTTACCTAGCACCTTGAATACAATTGACTAGTTTCAATGTAATATTTGAAGACCTTCTTCTACAGTATGTTGAATCATTGGAATTTTTCGATAATATATTATTGATTGAATGAAAGGTTTTAGGATAGCCTACAGGTGTATTCAATCCCAACTCTTGCATTGTTTGACTAACATATGACCATAAATATCGTTCTAATTGACGTTGTTCTAAAATCATTCGACGTAAAGCCTCTTGATCACGTAGAATGGCTAAACGTACTTGAGATTCAGACATCAAACCAAAAGCTACACGATTACGTTCAGATTGAGCCTGAGAGAGATAAAGTGAATAAAAAGAAATACGATCAAAAAAGGAATTTTCAGAGAATAAAATTGAAAATAAAACTGATCAAAAGCCATGCAAGCTCAGCGAGTGAGACAATTGGTGAACCAATGAAGAATAACCTTGGGGTGTCCACAAGTCAGTCATATTTTGTGACAACTCAGCCAAGTAACGTACAGTTTTAGGGCCTTGTACTTTCCGTGTAATATTGACAACTAAATTATCCATTTAATAATGTGACCCACATAACGAATTAGCACAGGTGACAATTATAGTATTAGGAATGGATTCATACAATAGAGGGATAAAGATACAATACGCCTCCAAGACAACTCATTCGCCTTATAGCAATTTGTGCACTAAGCTATGAGCAGTACCTATGTCAAGGTTAAAAACACTAACAGACTGACCACATGAAACTAAGCGAAGTAGGATTTGAACTGAGAACCCATCGTCTGGACGCCGAGTGCTTAGGTCAATGAATCATACTGATGCACTACAGCAACACAACAATGGATACAAACCTGGTTTGTTTAACTGGATAATTAGTGCAGATACATACATCCTTGGCTCTAATATTTCTATCAAACCTTTACCTATTTATTCTCTTAACTCATAAACTTTTCTCCACTGTAATATAACCTCTTCTCTCCAATTTTTTCTTTGAACGCAGTTGTGAATTGTGGAAATTTGGACTGATGCACATCTGTAACACATTCTAAGTTGATTTACCTGTTTATTTGTTCTAATAGGGATATCGAAGCAGGCCAACATTTAATCCATATGTTTACTAAAACTGACCAGTTCAGGTCCGTAGACAGACGAATGAGAAAACTTCATTCATGATAAAAAGTGAAGTAGTATTCCTGAAGATTGACTTATAGTTTTTATAATACAGCACTACAAGAATAGGTGTAATAGTGTTTCAGTACCAGTTCCTACACCACAACAAAATGGACGATGGAACCGATAATTAAGATTACCAATACCTTCAGCAAAATGAATAGTAACTGCGCCTACTTCAGAGATAGAGATTTTAAACTAGATCGTTGAAGACAATCAGCCATTACCACTTGTTACCCTAAAGAGCTAAGCAAGGAGGCGTGAAGTCGATCTTAGAGTGATTCTATCAGCAAGTGAAAGGTTTTATTTACAATATCAAAATACTTCTAACACCCTGGCAATATCCAACTCAAGCAGATATATATAGATGTATAATACATAGGTATATGGGACAACAATCCCAACTATCCCAACATTTGAATAAACTTTCAAGCAACTATTCAAACACATCACGGACTCGCGCTAGACATTAACGATAATACTACCTGGTTGCTAAAACTTCAGGAAGGAGAATAAGTTCCGAAGCTGTCGTTATGAAACTCACTATAAACCCTAACGATAATACACAAAGAAAAAAAAACTCTAGAAAGTATAATATTTAAACATACATTACCTTTCTTTGTGGCTCCACATAGAGAAGTAGATCATTCACAATCTCGACAATCATATGATATTGAAGCTGGGAGTGTGATTAATAAATCAAACAAAAGATATGATCAATTATCATTTTTTTTGACAATAGATTCATTTACAATTTTCATTGCTATTACTATTGTTTTAAAGGAATTAATGAATTGCATATGAAATGATTGAAAAGAAACTAAATAAAAATTTGAAAAAGTAACTTCATGAGCATGAAAGCAGTATCATAAATTCTCCGATAGATATCATAACTTTAAGATTGGAACCTCTCTGTAGCAAGAAAAAACACTTAGGAGGCAAGAAAGCAGAATTGAAGTAATATCGACCCCCGTCCCCCCCCCCTTTCTCGCTCCTAAAAAATGGAGACGTTTCAATGGTTAAACGATTCTGACAACAGTGTCATTATGTATGTTAGTCACCTGCGCAAAATCACTCGCAGCATTCAAACATGTGTTAACGAATCATTCTGCATTGGCGTACTGTTCGATTTTAGTAAAGTGCCTGAGAAGCAGCTGATAAAGTCATTTTCAACTCTTGAAGCTGATATAGGATGAATATACAAGATGTAGTAAGAATCTATTCAGCTCTACTCAAATATTTCAACATTAATACTTAAACCGATAACATCAAAAGTTGTAAATAACAATCCATCCTAGCAAGTTAAGCTACTGCAAAGGAAAACTAGTCAAGAGATGTCACTTCTATCAGTAGCAGGTCATACGAATCCACACCAAAGTTTACAACTAACTCGGCAGTATTATATACATTAATTGGTTTCTGGAAGGCAACCAATCATTGTATCCAACCCAGTCCTACAAGAGGCTTTTCGTGTTCCAAATAGCTCAGTGATAATGTCACTGAATGCAATACTGAGTGACGCAGGTTGGCTCCCTCAAAGTTGCTGACGACTGCCAACGAGCACAAAACCTAGTTTCAACCGACTAACATCTGAGCAGTAATGTATTTGTGTTCTGTTCATCATCTTATTCTGCTTTGGACTATTTCTACTTGTATCTTATTGAAACTAAAGAAAAGGAGAATAGAATCCATTCACCTATTAAAGCATACAGAATTATAACAACATGAATGGCTAGTCAATCAGATGAGCCAAGTAGACAGAGATGTGAAGGATCAAAAAGTGACTGAATAGCAGTTAAATAAAAACAAGAAAAGTGTTTAGATATGGTTAAGATATGGAGAATACTTGTAGCTCAAAAACATAATTTTGATAATGTTATGTTCGTCGAGATGGATGATTTAATCGTAGAGCTTTTATGGTCATTCTAGACAACACCATCATGACAACAAAAGCTTCATGATTAACTCGTCCAGCTTGGAGAAAACAACATTATCAAAATGGTTAACGTGTCTACAGTGCTCCTTCATCTCTCGTTGCACTATATGGTGACAAAGTATGTCTGCAAATTATTAAAGGTGGGTAATAAGTCGCTTTTGACTTTTATGCGTAAGACAGCCTTCATGAATGTCTACTATCTCTAACACATTCAGTAAAATATTAAAAGCAAAGATGTACACCAATCCGTATAAAGTTGGAGCATATGGTCAACTCGTTGTAGTTTATATGGTGCAGATGATTACACTTTTGTACGAATGCCTAGTTCAACACAAATCTACTCATTTATTGAAATACACACGCATGCGCTGCACGCATGCTCCTTCAACAGTTTCATGAATTGAGTATATTGATGAGAAAACATTTAGTTATTCAGTTTCTTGATTGAACTGAATTTTAAAGTAGTTTTCAATAGAAGCTGACATTAACTAGCTGGAGGACCAGTGAAAACCTGGAAAGTTTGTTTCTAGTGCGAAGATATTTAAGCACTGATGAAACTGGATTGAGGTCGAACTATATCACGAATTGAAAAAAGTAGGGAATACGGAAGTGTTGGATTCTAATCCCTAGACATGATGACCCTGGGCTCGACCACTTGCAGGCTCGAATATATGTGCTGCTAAAACGTCGTATAGGCGGACCAAACGGTTGTCTAGTGTTATCAGCTTTCCAATAGTTCTTTCTCTAACTTATGCATTAGTATTATTTGTCCTTTGGGTTCCTAGTGGAACATAGAGCTTCAGTAGCACATAGCCATTTCACTCTCTTCTCTGCAGTCTTTTCAACCTGGCGCCACGAGTGCCCACAAGTTTTCATTTCTACCTCACACCATCTCGACCTCCTCCATGTCATCCTCGGACGCTCAATTCATCGTTTTACCTCTGGGTTTCACTCGACAGCCTGGCCTGGCACGTGATGTCCTCAGTCGGTCTTCTCAGTGTATGTCCGATTCAGTCCATCTCCACTTTCTTCTATTGCATATTTGTTGGGCAATGGGTTCTTAGTTGGTTCGTTGCCAGCCAGCCAGCCAGAGTTCCTTCTTGCTTATTCTGATTATTGTGGCCATCTGATCTCCATCTTCAGCCGTTCATGATCTATGTCTGCAGTTTGTTGGAAATGCTTTTCGTCAGGCGCCAAGTCTTTGAACCATCACATAGAAGCACTGAGTTACTTGAGTGAATTAGTGTTGAAAATCCGAATCTGGTTGACGCTTTATGCTGAGTGGAGTGCAGCGCTGTAGATCTCCACACTGATTTCAGACTAATGAAGGCTCGCCTTGCTGTCTTTCCGATTCTGGACTTGACATCCTCATATGTGCCGCCGCCTGCAGTTTAGACGATGCTGCCGAGTTAGGTGTGGGTGAATGAGACAACTTCTTCTAAATTTCTCTCGTTGATGGTGATTGGTGCTTGTTGTTATTGTTGGTTGGGTATCTTCATCACCTCTATCTTCTCCACGTTCACCTGAAGTCCTGTCTTCCTTCCCTGCCTCTTCTGCTAACTTGTTAGTTTTCACCTGTAAATCTTCGAATTTATGCGCTAACTGGTGTAAGCCCATGAAAATTGACAATTAATAGGATAGATTCAATAACACAGAGAATTTATGTAATAAACTAACAGTATTTACATTTTATAAGTGTAGAACTTACAGAATTTGTAAAGACATTTAATGTATGATGTAACAAGGTGACTGTATCAGCTCCCTCTGGATTACGTACTACTTCTGTTTCGTCTAGTGACTGAAAACAGATAGAGAACAGAGTTTGAACAAGGAAACAAAAATATTTGATATGATATTATCATACAACCCTTGAACTGTTAGCTGGTATACATAGATTTGTAGTCAACTTAAGGAAGCATATCTCTGTGCTCAGAGAATCTGATGCTAGTACTAAGAAACAGTGACTTTGCGTTATTGCTAAATGCTTTAAAGATGTAGATGGATAACAAATATGGAGCTAACCTCAAGTGGTTAGGAGACGAGTGGTCTATATTCACCAAAAACATAGACAGAAATTTATGCATTTCAATTTTTCTTCACTCAATTTTCCCACTTTATGTTATAATCTGTTCAACATTGTTGTTAGATGTAGCTTGCGTGCCTTACGCTCAGACTGAATATTGTACTCTTTAACAAGATTCTTCGTCTATCTAGCTAGAAGTATTCACCGAAGAGGCTCTCACTCACAGGAATATGAAAGCAGAACTATTAAAGATTAAAATATGAAATTGAATGCTTAGAATACATAATTAAGCATTAACGACACATTGAATAAAAATGATACACAGGAATTTACTGTCATTTTTCATTTCTAATCTTACAGTGGAAACAAAACTTCGACTGTTGAACACAAATGATTCGATGACGTCAGAGTAGCTCAACCGCCAAATACAACTATGTTAACAATGTGTAAACACTGTCACATTAGAAACTGTCCTGTTTGACCAACAATGAACTGAATAGTTTGAAAAATCTTAGGCCCCTAGTTATTAGGATTCATCGTATAAGGTGTATTTTTACTTGTATAATCCCGAGGTGGTGTATTAGAAAAAATAAAAATCTGGTCAGCAGTCGGACCTCGTAACTCAGTTGATAAAGCGTCGGGCCAGAAGCCTGGCGGTCTCTGCTTCCAATCCTGCTGAGGTCCAAATTTTCAATTCACCTTCAATCATCACCCAGTATAACAAAATAAAATATTTTGTATTATTCCTCAACGTTTCGATCTTGCTAGGAAGAGTATGTATGTAGTATAATTGTTTTTATATGATACCGTCATTGATTGGACCGAATTGATCGGTCTCTATTGGCATATGGGCTCCTGTGCAGATGCCTCGATATTGCCTGCGTTCTAATTATATTAATGATGGGTCGCGGCTAGCAGTGGAATCCGGGATGCGCATTTCGTCCTAATTGGGACTCGTCAGCTGGTATGATATAAAAACAATTATACTAAAACTATACCCGTCGCACAAGGAGTGGCTGTCGTGGCTCGGTGGTGTGGTGGATAACGCCCTGGCGTTTAAAGTGATCGCTCCCGAGTCCGAATCCCGGTGGGAACAGCATCACTCACTGGGGAGCAGGTACATCCAGCTGACGAGTCCTAAATAGGACGAAATGGGCATCCTGGATTCCACTGCTAGCCACGATCCATCATTACTAGAGTATGCATCTGACATTAAGCTTTCCGGTTAATATTCAAGTTTTGGTACAGAAGGTGACCTTTACGATCAGTCAATTACATTGTGATATGGAACAAAGATCAATGCAATGCAGGTGAGTGAATTAGCATATCGGTCAGAGAGGTTTTTTCAGTTGTGCAAATAAGGTGGAACAAAAATAGGGTGGAGAAATTTAGTTCGACTATGAAAAGTACAATGGTGTTGTGAGTCATCAAGGGTGAGAAAGAATAGATTACTACTTTGGGAAGATGAACATCAAACAATATGTAATAGATAATAACAATAGTAGTGTTAACGATAAAGGTACTTTTGGTAATAGTTGAAGTATGAATGATAACAAAATGGATTACGTAATATATGGAACGGTTCATAGAATGTACACAACTCAGAAAGCGTAAAATTGGCGAAAACAGTAGATCAATATAGTAGTATGTAATAGGATTAGGCAAGTTTTTAAAATACAACCAATATTTTTTGACGCAATTGAGACGACTAAGCGAAATAACACCAGGAGCTATTCAAACATGAATAAATTCGGGATAAATCATGTGGAATACAGTGGAATGAAGTTGTGTTCTACCTTCTCTACAAAAATCACTTGGCTTGGAACTGTCTATGCAAGTCATTGATGTTTGTCATATTTTTGAGACGTCTAATCTATCTTTTCTGTTGACCGAAGAAGGGTATGAAAAGATGTACAAAGCTTCTGCAATGTCCCACTCTTTGTGAGTAAGAAAACCCTTTCGCAAGACTTTTGTCTTTTCAAATGATATTTCATAACCTGAATCTAGGATATGAGCCGCGATGGCAGAGCTTTTTTGAAGTTTTTTCCAGATCATAGGAGTTTTTGGTGGGTTCCTGTAACTTCTACCGTGTTTGGTTAGAAATGTTAGTACTTCACGTGATGTCTGCCTAATGTTAGTACCTTATAAACACAGTTCTGTTGTTCCAAATGGGGAATCAGATCTTTTAATTTACACAGGTGTGAGCGAAATGTGTTCGTCACCTTCTGATGTTGTAACTATTACGGGTACGTCTTATTTCCTCTGATGTGGATATTCGACAAGGAAGTACTACAGTTTCTATCCAGTCTTTGTAAGTTGCTTTCTCCGTGTCTTTTTTGGAAAACTTTTTTTATCCTTTTCCCAATGAATGAGCTGAATTGAAGTCAAGGTACTTGTGAGAATATGTATCTTTTCGATAGACATCAATATCATGCATCCCGTCGTTGTCTCGTATGGCCCTGGAGTCTGGGAAAGCTAGTGTTCTGAATTCTGTTACTAGTCATAATCAAATTTTAATGGAATTAAAAACGGCTGATAAGACAATAGACAAGATTTTCTAGACCTTGTCATTTGACAAAGGTGTCATCAGCGTACCCCTACTATATTCTTGCTTTGAAATCACGTTGAAGAAAAACAAAAAATATTTGTTTATTTTGTTATTTGTTCTAATATACTACACCGGGATTATACAAGCAAAAATACACCTTATACGATGAAAACCTGTTACATTATTTAACTGTCCAGACTTCAGTAGCTAGGATGTGGTTCAAATTCATAATTCACAGTTGAAAGTCAAGTTTCCAGTCAAATGAACCACTGTCTGATGTCATAACTAAAGAGTCGACAGGGATTTCAGAAAATTGAAATATATCAATCATTTGCTACTTTCTCCCTAGTTCACCAAGACGATTGGTAACTGTTGATAATATACACGTTTCAGTGTAGATATCTTGATATGATCTGAAATTCCCTTTTGATAGTGAGAATAAACAGTGGATAGCAGTGGATACAAATACATCCATGTGATGAATCTAAAATAGGACAAAAGACATATCTTGGATTCGACTGCTCAGTACTACTCATTTTTACTATTCAACAACTCTACCTAGTTTATCAATTCACTGGAAAAAACCAGTCATAAAAAGCCAGTTATAATACTCAATATTTTTATACAAACTAATCAATGCAATGGATACTGCTTTAGTACACGTTGTACATACGTCAAATTCAAATTGGAAGCGTAAGTATGCTAGTATGCAAGTTCAATATCATAATTAATGAATCCTTGATAGAAAGGATGGAAATCGTGACCATTGGCTTTAAGAATAGTTCAAGCTCTTGAATATCAATAAAGACTAGCTACTTCATAAGACTTCTGTTCTTTATATTGCTTTACATAAATAAACCATCTTTTTCGAGTTAAGGTAAACAAGTATGAAGATTGTGACGTGAATATCCCTTCCAATTAAAGCAGTTCTGTTGAAGCGCGACTACTTACTCAAATCGTGCAACCTTCTATCTAGTTAATTACTGTATGTAGAATTCAACTCATTTGATAGTGAGGTTCAAAGTGTTCACACAAATTGACCATTAAATGAGTAACCACTGTACATGCCTACTTTTCAATGCGCAGAACCAACCGAAATCTAACGATCAAGTTTGCAATTTGACCATAAGGCTACGTGACGTGACAATGCGGTACAATGATATTTTAGTGTTAGACGATAGGAGTCAATCGGCAGAAGGCATGGTTTAACATATTTCATGCAAGGTGTATCTACAACCATGAAGCCTATGTCTCCTCGTTGGTTATTACCTCTGTTACTCAAAACTGAAGTCAGAGACTTAACAACTAACCAATTCTGGTCACGGATTGACCTTCTGCACGACTTGATTACGAACAAAAGAACTGATCTCCAGTGAACTTGAACTGATTCCATTGGTTTCAGTAAATGCGATCAAGAAGTATTACGCACCTCTTCCATACGCATACATGCACAGTAGGTATGGCTGATAGGGAACCCTACAAAGAAGTTCTACACACTAACTGATTCATTTAAAGACAACATCCATCGGAATTAAAGTGAAGCACGTAAAAGTGATTCATACGTAAGCCGTCAATGATGCTCAAAAAATTAAAAGGAGACAATTCAAGCCTTCTCATCTGAAAGTACACACCATAAACATCATCTTCATGAGTAATAATGTTAACACATTTCAAAAACAATACAGATATTTATGTATACGCCAGTACAAAAATTAAACTTACTAAGGGCGGAATTAAATGTGGTAGTGGTAAATTGGCTGGGTCAGCTGGCTCATAATGTATATAGAATACCTCACATGAGCAACGAGATATCATACGCTGTAGCTGAATAGGCCGAACACAATCAGTACTTAGTCCAGCAGTAGCTATTGTTGTCGTCGTAGTAGCAGCAGTAGGAGTAGTATTTAAAGATGTCACAGTAATACTATGAATGATTTCAGTTGCAGCAACGCTAGTGGATGTTAAAGGACTAGTAGCAGTTACACTGTGACGAGTTAATGAAGATTTATTACTAGATAAATTCTGTGGAAAGCCAACACATGCTGTGACTACACCGCCAACCGATCTACCACAACCGACAACCTCAGGTTTTCCACTTAATGTATCTTCATCAGCATTCAAACTGTGATGTGCCCAATCACTAACATCAGCTGTAGATAACCATTGATCAGGCGTTCCTGGAAGGACCTAGATAACATTAAGTAAAAAGAAGGGTTCTTAAAGAGGATTGGGACTTTTTGATACCACTCTACAATAAATCATAAGACAATCAAAGTCAGGAAACGGTTAAAACTCAGTGAAATCTCTAACATCTTGGCAATATATTTAGATATCGATTAGTAACGTCAGCCAAGGAAAAAACAATATCGAGTAACCAAAAAGGCAAATAAGAATTTGGGATTCTTGCAGTATGCACCACAAAGTTACTCTGAAGATTCTTGATTGAGGTACTAGACGTAATCATGACCCGGAAAGTTCAGTAATAACATCTGTGACTGCGGCACTGGAAGACTCAGGTTCAGAGATCTGGGCTGGAAAAGTAGTACTATAGATGTTTCAGATACGCCTTGTGGCCACCTAAAATTATAATATATAAACATTATTTGCATCATGTCGACTTAAGTTTCTCGGTAATTTAACCCTCTATGAGTAGTAAGTTAAGGCGTACATAAAAGATGAAAACTACCAATTAATTGTGAGTAAGAATAAACAGACCAGAAAACATTCTTTGAACTGTAAATCTACAACATTCCAGGCAAGTAAGGATATTCAAGTTATGCCTAGAGAAGTTGACAAATGATGTTTTCAGTTGGTATTGTTACACATACATGATTATAAAAATGATACAATCTACTGGGTAAAGACAGCTATATACTAGGCCATAGGCCACGCCAAAGCCGAAACAGGTGAAGCTGGAGCTCAATTGAGGAACTACTGCTTGTAAAGCAAATGCTTAAGGTAATGAGTCACCTCCCCCCTCCCCTCAGACACATACAGACACTTAGTGTGTAAGTGATGCTAAGATATATAGATTCAATGAGTAAATGTCTGAAATAGTCTAACAGGCGTATTTATTTATGCACATTGGATATTACCATCTAGACATTCAGAAAAGAAACATTGAGCGAAGAAATATATTCATTTGCAATTAGATCTTCGTCTTGGACTCTACACTAATATATGGTTTTACGATTTAGTCAAAATACTAATCAAGTGGTGGGGGGGAGGGGTTGGTGAACAATAATCATAGATTTTAAGCAAGTCATGAGGACGTAAATAATCAATAGCGTAATTAAAACTGGAAATATGAAGCAGGTTATTCTCAGGTAAATGAAGCGATTTTTCATGTATTCAGTCACAAATAGTAGATTACTAGGTAATAATAAAATAAATATTGATAGAAACAGGAGAGGGAAGGGTGTACAAAGTAGTACTAAAAGTTACATCATGTTGACGACCACGGTGGTGATAGTGGTCGAAAAAACTTCTTTTGAATACAAAGGTTAGGTTTGTAAAGGTGAATTGCAATCGCCCCTGCTGTGTGAAGCAAGCGAGTGCGTAATCCATATGGTAAATTAATTGGAATGTGATGAATAATTTTGAAAGATTTTCTAGCATCTAGTTGATGTCCCGTGTAAATTAAATGTGCACATATGAGCTCTTTATTGTTCTAATTTGTCTCTTGCTCAACCATGATGGACCTGCCTTATTGTACGCCTAATGTAACAACGATCTCCGCAGGAGCTGTTGAATTAATAAATGCACACAGAAGTGGTAGGATCAGGCAGTTTATCCTTGTTTCTTGCATCAAGAATCGCGCGGTTGTAGATGCGACATAATTTAGCGGTTGTCTTCATTAAAGGGATGTTAGTGAAAAGAGATGAAACATCATTAACTTATTATCTATTTTAAGATGCTCAATCTTTTCAACAAATTCAAAGGCAGCTTTAAGAGTGTACTTTACACTTTGTGGACAGGCTTGAAAAGCTGTACTAACCATTTTACGGTTGTATGAACGGAGAGTTTGCCACGTCGAGAAGTGGTCAGAGACTCAATCCGTTTTTATGCACTTTTGGAGGATCATACAGTCTAGGTGTAACAGTTTCAGTAGGTTTCAGCATTTCAAAGATCCTTTCTGCATTGAAACTCTGTTTTTAAAAAATTTTTCTCAGTGGTTTAGTTAGATGTGTTTCTCAGTTTTCTCTGTCGTATCACCACAGGCAATTAATTTATTTATGGTAGCGCAAACTTAACCGCAAAAATGTCGAGATAGAAAACAACTCTACTGGGATATCCACACTGTGAGGAATATTCATTTTCATTGAGTTTTCTAGCATTAAATTGAATAGCTTTCGGTAAAGAGATGGATTTTCAAAGTAGTTTCATTAATAATTGACCATCGGCTACAAAGCCAATGAAAGCAACAAGTTATACAATAATCACTTTCTCCTATTTCAGGCTTTCACGTAGTATGTACACTAACAGCCCAACGCATAGTTGAGCCATGATATGTCCGGTTTCATGATGGGTACATTGCTAATAAACAATTAGATAAGTCTAGATTTATCGACTTCAGTTAATCGCATTCAGTTCATCGTATAGATATTTTCTGCATGAATCAGTGATCAGTTAACTACTTACACATTAAACGAAAAACGATAATTATTCTCTGAATAATAATAAAATGAGAAAGACACATTCACATAGAAGTGGAATTTTATCAAACTCATCAACTATAAGAATAACCTAAAGTCACAAATATATAAAGAATCACTGATAACTCACTTGTCCAACAGTAGCATAATACTGCATACACTCTAAATGTCCAACTAAACTAGATTTGTTTAACAATTGTGAATCTTTCCATACAGGTGGATGAGTTAAGGCATCCAGTTTTGCTCTAGCAGCGGTTACCAGTACATAACCAGCTAAATGATTAGTTTTTAGTAACAACTGTAAACAATGGAAACAAACATATAAAAAGCTAAATGTATGGTTTAAGAGAAAAGCATTAGTATTCTAAACAATAATAGGTTATTAGTAAACTTTTATTATCAGTCAGTCAGCTAGTCATGAATTAGCATAACATGTTAGTTGGTTGGAGGCAATCGGCAGGAAGCCCTGGACCTAGGTCCTGTTTCTATATGCTCCTTCACTTTGTAAATGTAATCTCATTTGTTCATTTGAACTGTTGAGTTGCCTTTATCCGATTTGGCAATTACTATATTGTTTTCATTTTGAAGGTTCCTGAGAGCTTCTTTCTCTGGCTTGGGTAAACTAGGTTTCATTATCTTCTGTCGTTTCAGTGTTAAAGCACACTGTGCTCTTACTTCGTCTGCAACTGTCTTATCTATTGAACTTAACGCTATTTCTATTTTAGAAATGACATCTAGTTTCAACTCATTAACCGCTACATTGATGTTAAGACCTTTCTCTAGCACTTTCGCTTCTGTTGAGCTTAGGACTCTACTTGAGAGATTGACAACCCACTTTGACTTATTGATCATTGGTAATGTGCTATTGCTAATTTCATTACTGTTGACTGCATGTTTTTCTTCCATAAGTTTGTTGAACTTCTTAATATGAGTATTTTTGGATTTCTTGAATGCAGCTGATCTTGCTTCATTGAAATCGTCCATCAGAAGCTCATAATCTTTTTCACTAACTGTTTGCACTTAAGATCTTCGATATAATTCCTGATGTTGTGCAACTTTTTGACTATTCTATGAATTTCTTCTTTAAGTCAGAGTTTACTGACACGTTCTATAGATACTTTGACTTTGTCTCTTGGAATCGGTGCATGTAGACGTAGATATTTGGGAATGATTTGGGAGCAATCGGCAGGGAGCCCTGGACCTAGGTTTCGCACTTGTTGGCACTCATCAGCAAGGCGTACCTGCGACCTTGACGGAATTGATGTCTCGCCTAAGACTCGAACCCACATCACCCATTGTTGTAGTTAGCGACTTAACCATGGAGCTATTTGGGCCGTGACGAACCTCCTGTATGACAGGGTCTCATGCATTGATTGTTTACGGGAGAGCAAACAATTTCTTGTTGTCCAGTCCTGAGTACAGACCGAATCCTATCGATATTTGCAATATGGCCACAAGCTAGGAGGCTCGCATCGCGGTGCACATTGGTAGATGTTAGCTGGTTGTAGGCAATCGAGAGGAAGCCCTGAACATAGCATAACATATCTTAGTTTAACTACCTCAAGGTTACACGTGATGTAACTAACAAAGTTCGTTGAAGTCAGTTATGACTAACTAATGTCTTTACCGCTTCAAATGATGAAGATTTACTATATCACCAATGGATGTATTTCTTTTACTTAGTATTCCATATATAACCTCTACAGTGTCGGCTTGGGGAATTCATCATATGTCATAATACAGGAGTCATATAAGATATGCAAACTTAGCATTTCTCATAGCAGTAAAGTATCAAAAGATTAACTAATGAATCAACGTGCAACATTTAATATGCCTTTGAATATCTCCTTATGCAAAGTTATAGCTTGAATTTCAACCATTACATCGCCAGTTCGACTTTTATCCCACCTATATGGGTCTAGGAAGTCAGAGAATATTATTAATTATTGCATAACAGATGTGCCTCATTGTCCATTGCATCCATGTGCAGGTGGTTGTTGAGTTGTATTTCATGTTGATTTACCCCACCATCCATCGCTGCTACAAAGGACTTTGATTACTAAAAGCCAAAAGAGCTAGTTGTATTCTTGAGGAAATTTCACTGGTCACTAAATTATCCAGGCTGATTATACTACTAGGAAGACTAAAGTAGTAAGTATGTCCTAATGATAGTGCAGCAAAACAAAATATTACGATGATATTATGATGAACTCCGTAAAGATGATAGTTAAATGATAATAGCCTTTATTTTCTCTCTATTAATCTGTCAGTCATTCAGTTAATAAATGAATCTGTCATAGGGTAAGAAATATAGAAAAAGAGCCGATAAAACTGTACACAATTAATGTAAAACTTACTTGAGGATTGATTAGTTCCAAATGCCAATTACGTTCAGCTACCAGACTGGATGCGCATATTTTCAAACCTTGTAGTTGAGATACAACATCAGTTTGCTTGGGCTCCTATTGAAAATTGTAATAACATTTTTGAGGAGTGATATCCACACAAAAAGAGAAAGCTACTGAAAAAAGACAACGAGAATAGCAACTATATTACCCCCTATATTCTCTGAAAAGGGAAGAGTAAGACGCTAGAGAAGAAGATGGTTGATAATAATCGAAATGAATGAATATACTATTGGATCTGGTAAGCAAGGAATACTTCTCAGTCGTTTTTTTTTGATACGGATGTGGAAAATTATTTCTGGCACTCTGTACGGATATTAACTGCTAGCTGAAACAACAAACAGATGTAACAGTCCAAAATTTTGCAAAACAGTGAATCAGTCTGAATATGACAAAAATTATGACCATACAAAATGAAAGAATAAATCAAAGCGAAGAAGATCAGAGATAAAGTAAAAGAGAAGGAAAAGATGGGTGAATAGAGGAGGGATAGAAAAACAGTAATGGAATACTGGCAATTCCACAAAAGAAAGTTTTTGAGGGAGTTGTGGAGATTTGGAATTATTTCAAGTTGTTATTCATCGGAGGACTGACATCAGTTGGAGGACAAAGGAAACCTGGGAGCACTGGACAGCTGTTACGTCCTAGTATGGGACTCCTCAGCAGTGCGCACCCACGACCCCACCAGCAGGGATCCAACCCGCGACCTTCAGGTTCCGCGGCCAGCGCGTTACCATTGAGCCACTGGGTCAGAATCCAATGCTCCATATTTCCAACTTCTGTTAGCTCACGATATATAGCGCTAACCGCCACCTAATGTCAACGCTGAATATCTGTGCTCATGGCCATCAGGCTTTGACTCCACCGATCACGACTGCTGAGGAAGTCCCATACTAGGACAAAACAGCTGTCCAGTGCTCCCAGGTTTCCTTTGTTCCTCCAACTGATGTCAGTCTACGATAACAACTTGAAAAAAAGGTTTATCAGAGATACGCTTTGATTTCGATAGAAAGACTAACTTACTTCTTCACAATAAGCATAAAAGCGCGCAGTATCCACTTCTTCTAATAACTGTGCTAACATTGGAATTTGTTCAAGGTGAGATTTTGATTTACGTGATGCTTCAGTTGATACAGTTGTATTCCATACAGAATACTGTCCACATTCATTATGTTCATATTCGTTATCAGATTTATCTTTTCCAACAGTACTATTATTTTTAGTTGTAGGTGGTATTTCAGATATATGCGGCAGAAGTTCTGAACCAGTGAAAAGTCCAGCAGAAGTAGTAGACATCTTGATAACATGATCAGTATTACTTAATATATGATGAGAATCAGTAGAAGTAACAATAGGTTGTCTATCTATATAATCGAATGATTTGAACGCATTCATTGACTGATTATTATTACAACTTGATAGTTGAATAGCACTACGAGCACTGTTCAATCATTCAACGAATAAAAAGAATACGATGACAGATTAAAGTTTTGGGATAATTGAATAGTCATTTAACAGTATTGATAGAATGATATTCATACAAAAAGATATAAAGACTGTAAATAGCTAAAAAGTAGAGTAGACACTTTAAACAGCTTCACAACTAAATTATACAACCTAGTCACTATGCAGTAACCATAAATACATGTTTTTTTCAAGGCTGATCATCAAATTCAATTGATTGAGAAAAAAAACTATCCTATTCATTACACTGAGCTATATGATGAAAATATTTATTCTACTGAAAGTATGATGCATGGAGTTGGTTGAAAGGAAATTATCAAATCGGGTTTCGATGGTGCGAATAGTCAACCTTGAGGAAAGACACTCATATTTTCTGCAAGATTTGCTGCTCAGAATAAGGTACACACTAGTTTAAACTCTTATGAGAGATGCATTATTCAATAGTGTGCTTCAATAGAAAGCTACATAAATAATTAGAGATATAACTAACCTGTTCGGATTGATCGAAAGGAAGCAGGAAATCAGAGTGAGAAAATTTGACTAATCATTAGTTTAAATACCCTCATATTTCACATTTTATACAATCATGTATGCTTTCAGATGGGAATGTATCACCTATTAAATACTTCGAAATTACTTGGCTCTATTTCTATATGGAAGCTAAAAGACGCAGAACAGTTGTAGTCTAACGGAATCCTCTGAACTAAATATAAAGCTTTAAACTATCATTTTACGTAACATTTCCGGTGATATATTTTAAAGAAGTGAACTTTCATTGTTGTGTCACCAGCAGAATTTAATCACGATGGAACTGTTGCTCATTGATTTAAGTAGTCAACTTTCAATTAATTGACGACGAGTGTTCAACACCGTTTGTTGTTTAAGCGACTACATAGTATCATCACATTTTACACAGTATGTAAAGTTCATTTTCTATTGTGTAAACTTGCTTATGGCTTATAACTTACACTATAGTTATGTCCAATTTTCTTTATAAGCTATCAATTGTATCTTCATGTAGAATACTTAGATCTCTTGAAAACTGATTACTGTTTAGTTTCTGTCTTTAACTGGTTGAGTTAACACTAAGAAAACTGTGTGTATTAGTCAAGTTGTGAATCATCACCAAAGATAACTTCTAGAACCTTTCAGTTGAAAATCAGTGTTTATTTAGTCCAAGTTAGGCAAGAGGAATCACTTTGTGGTCTACTATGTGCATGATACTTACTTTGTTTTCTCTAATAGCTGAAGGACCTAGATTCTATTGTCTCATGAGTTTAGTGGTCATCTCCAGGCTATTTTATGATATATGAAAGAATAATTAGTTTGTTTCTTTGTTGTTGTGATGTTTATCTTCCAGCGGACATAGACTTCCTGTTCTTTTTTAAGACCGCTTGGAAGAAAAATCTTTGCAGTAAATTAGACAGGGTTCATTGTCGGTCAAACTGGAGCAGTATTCGTTAAAAATCGCTCCTTTTATACTTTTCTTTGAAGATTAAGTCCTCTGATTCCGGTAAAACAAGACTTATTATGAACTCACTACAAAAGCTTACAAACAATTTATGGAACATCAAAAAAAGAGTAGAACTTGTGCACTGTGGTAGAATGTAATTCCATTTTTATTGATTTATCTGATTTATCACAGTTTAACAGTAATGTTCACTGGATTATGTTTCAGACATATGTTATTGTCCATAGTTATATCAAGACAACTACACAACTAACTTTGAGACATCCTTGATATCGTTCCAACAATCACGAAGCCAAATAAATAGGTCAAAGTAGTCGACCAGTGTCAATTAGGCTATCCGAGCACAAAAACCTAGCTAGGGCAATTATTGGCAGATCCTAGTAAGATAAGGAATTAAGAGAAAAGCTCGGTCATAGCAGTGCATGCAATTAAACACAACCACATAATAGGATGGGATAGGGTGGAAATCCTCAAAACTAACATAGTACAGTGGAGGGAGTGATTGATAACAGAATCTATGTGTCCTGAATCAACACCTAATACATGCAACAGGAATGATTCAGCATCTGTTCCGGATATATGGAAGATCTTACTACCCATATCGCAAAGGAGACGAAAAAATTAGGACTATATAAAAGATGTCTTAAAGTTGTGTAGTCATCTTGATATGACTGTGGACAGTAAATAATGTCCGAAACGTAATCTAATGAACAATGAACTGTGATAAATCTAATAAATCGATAAAAATGGAATTTGTATCACAGGTATGTATTAGCACCAACTTATCACCTGAAAGTGGAAAGTCAGAATTTACAGTTGAAGAACAAATTCAATTCGCAAATGAAGATATAGTAACTCACTTTCGACTAAGAACCGTACTGGTACTACTACCACTAGCAAACTTTCCAATTCCAAAACCACCTCCAGTAGTTGTTGTCATCATTGTGGTATTTGCTCCTGTTTGACCTGTGTCCAATTTGAATCCGTGTAATGCACGAGTTGATAAATTTCTTTTCAACAATTGTGCATGCTGATAACTATCCATTAGAATATAGACTAGATTACGATTTTGTTCAGTCCATCTCATTTTAAACTCATGTATTTCAAGATGATGAACAGGTGTCAGCTTAGAAAATAACAGAAGAAACAAACAGTCAACTAGAATATGAGGAAAATTTGGTTAACATAAAGTTTTAATGATATTAGAAGGAGTAAAAATATATTTGATGAAAACGTAACTGTGAAGCAGTAGGTCAATGGATCAAGCAGTTGGTTAATAAGAAGTGAGTCATGCGTTAGGACCACGTTTCACCTGCCATGATTTGAACAACCAAACAAAATAATAGACTCTCGCATGATAACTGTGAACATCTTGCCAGCTGCATATTCTTGCAACTGATCACAGAGTTATCGGTATTATTTTTATCATTAACTGACAATATTGCTTACCTCTTCATGTGTCAGCTGATGACTATCACTACTGATAGCAACCTCTTCAGCTGTTGATATTCGATCAGGATTACCAGCTACAGATGTTGTATTTAATTTATTTTGGTTGGATGGTATTTTATGCTTGTCAAAAATGTCCTCATTTCTAGTGTCAGCTGTTGTCCTAATTGGTGTTGTTATTGTCGTCGTCACCGTGGTCGTAGTAGTAGTAGTGATAGCATTTGTCAGTGTTTTCTCTTTTGATTGCCTACGATGTTCAATGCCAGTAACATCAATGTCTTGATTAACTAAACCTCCATTTTTATTATATTCGTTATTATTACTACTACTAGCAGCAGTAGTAGTTATTGTAGTCGATCGTGGTCCAGGTATATGAACACGAACAGTTGTATTAGGAGGTAGAACCGATGGACAAAGTTGTTGATAGCGTAATAATGGAACAATAATAAATGCTTCAGCATCATTCATCACTTCATTATCTAGTTCTAGTTCACTGCTGACACTGTTTTTATCCGGTTTATCATGACCAGTATCAGATTGTTTGATGTTAGTCTAAGTGAACATAAAAAAGGATCGAAATCAATTCGTGAAGAAAAAAATTAGAAATACGGGCTACAAATATCCCAGATAAACAAATTCACTGAAAAATTACAGTCGACGATAACTGCTTCGATATCTTGAAAGGAGTACGCAAACTGAGAACAAAATTCAAGAACCAATAGCAGAGTGTTCAGATGCTCGTTTCATAGACCCACAGTTATCAATATCAATACGAGTGCACTAATGCTAAGAGGACTTATAAGTATTGGCAGTGGTAACACTAGTAATACGCAAGTTACAAAGGGTTCCTGTATGTCCGCGTGTTACTAGTTGCAAGAAATAGGAGGCAATGAGGCCCATCTGTGCTCGATTGGAAGATAAGAATGTCAATTACACATATAAGGAAGAGATCACTAAGCATTTATCTAAACAAGACAACAGTGGTCATCCTGGGGAACTCTGGCGCGATGTAAATTCTGCTACAGAAACAGCGGTAAAGACAGTTGGTAGCCTACACCCGAAGGTTAGCAAGCGTCATTGGATTTTCGCGACGTCATCCGAATTGACTGATGCGAGAAGACTGATTCCAGCTGGCTCTCACTCTAACGAAGAGCGAAAGCAACTCAAACGTAAGCTCACCAACAGTCTTCGCGTCGATCGCTAGCAGTGGTAGCTGTCAAGAGATAGAGAGAGATGTAGAAGGCATCAACATTGGGGAGTATTCAGCAACTGTTTAGACCTACTGAGGATATCTGCAAGAAGAAGACGATGGTGAGTGAAACTATCACTGAAAAGGATGAGGAGCTGATAACTTCCCAGGACAGATGGCTAGAAAGTTGGGCAGAACATTTTGAAGGACAGTTCATTTGGTCAACAGAAACGCTTTAGTCGTCCAGAATCCAGGTAGCCTGAAGCTGAATGGAACGTAGATATCGGTCCTCCAACTCTCCTTGGAGTTGAGAATGCTGTATGGAACCTGAAACGATGAAAAACAGCAGGAACTAACAGCTTGCCACCAGACGTTTTCATGGGTGGACGTAGGAAATCAGTGACTAGAGTGATGGAGGTACTAGAAAGTTTATGGGAATTAGAGGTAGTGCCATCAGACTGGTCTAACTCTTTGATCATCCAAGTCAATAATAAGGGAAAGAAGTCATCTTGTTACAACCAAAGGGGAATTATTAGCTGGAGGTCATCTGGTTGACTTTGAGTTTGCAGACGATATTGTCTGCTGAGTGAAGAGGCTAACAAAATGCAGGGTGTCTTGGACGCGTTGAGCGAAAATCTGAGTATGTTTGGCATGCGTTTAGCTCGCACCTGTTAAATGTAAATGGTGCTCCAGGAGTGGTCTGCTAAAAGTACCCCCAGTTTAATAATAGGGAGTGAAATGGCGAAATGTGTCAACAACTTCACTTACCCCAGGAGTTGCCTCAGCCCCTAACAAGTTCGCATACAGAAAGCCGCTTCTGCATTTCCCAACTTGGGTCATCTGTGGTGCCAATTGTTGAAATATCTGACTGTCTATCAAATGACGAGTTTTCTGTACTGCACTCCACACTTTCCTGTTATACGACTGTGAAATAAGGACGTTAAACGTAGAAGACATGGAGCGATTACAGGGTTTCTACTACAGGTGTCTTCGTAGTGTTGCTCGCGTTTCGTTGAAGGAATCATCGTGTGAGTAATGTTGACGTCAGGCGAAGGGTACTAGGCAAGATTGGCAAGTCGAATGAGATGACTTTGATATGTGTTGCACATGCCACCATGAGCCACCGCTTACCTCGACGTGTCATGCTAGGGAAGTTGGACTAGGTTGTAAGACGGTCCAGGGTGGCCAAACCAAAGCCTGGCACCAGTCGATGAGGTCTTTTACTATTGTCCTGAACCGTGTGGGGAGACGCAGACTGCCTGGTTGGGGTTCGCGTTTGTTACATTTAAGTAGAAACTAAACACCATAGTGAAAATGAAGTGACTAGTGCATCACAAAGTTGGACACTACTCAATTTCATTTAACTCAGTGACTTGTGGCTCAATAATTTGGGAGGTTAACTTCCTCCCAGTGAGTCATGTCTTCTTAATATAGGTGTAAAACTTGAGCACTGTGGTAGGAATTAATTCCATATTAGATTTGTTTATCTGGTTTGTAATACACAGTGATCTAGTATTATTTACTTGATGACGTTTCGACTGATTACTGAATCTTTGTTCATCGAATCAACACTCAACACATGCAATGGAAATGATGCAACACCTATACCAGAGATATGGAACATTTCGCTACTAATAAAAACAAATCATATAAAGTGATGTACCTAAAAAAGTCAAATGTCGAAAGTAGTGTGATAACACTGATAAGATTATGAGCAATAATTTATGCTCGAAACGTCATCAAGTAAATAATACTAGATCACTGTGTGTTATAGATCAAATAAACAAATCTAATATGGAGTCATGTCTTCTATCTCCACTCCACCTACTGAGGTTTAGGCAGGTGGTATCATCAGCCATCCTACAGGCGGCACAGATGAGGATGTCAGAGCCAGGATCGGAAAGGCAAAATAAACCATCATTAATCTGATATCAGTATGGAGATCTACTGTACTGTTACTGCACTCAGCATAAAAAGTGAACAAGATCCGGATTTTCAACACTAATTCACTCAAGTAACTCAGTGCTTCTATGTGATGATTGAGAGACTTGGCGCGTTACGAAAGCATTTCTAACTGACATTTTCAGCGGACATATATCAACAGCTGCCACCTACGCTGGCTCAGTAGATACTGAAGATCACAGTTGGCCAGAATGATCAGAATAAGCAACCAGGAACTCTGGGAACGAACCAACCAAGAACCTATCACCAACAAATATGCAGTGGATGAAAGTGGAGATGGATTGTATTGAACATAGACTGAGAAGACCGATTGGGAACATCACGCGCCAGGCCAGGCCGTTAAGTGGAATCCAAAGGGAAAACGACGAGTTGGGCGTGTGAGCCGAGGGTGACATGGAGGAGATCTAGATGGTGTGAAGAAGAAATGAAATTTGGTGGGCAGTCATGAAGCCAGGTTGAAAAGACTGTGGAGGAGAGAGTGAAATGGTGACGTGCTACTGAAGCTCTATGTTCCACTAGGAACCCAAGGGAGAAATAATAATAATAATAATCAGCCATCACACAATAGGTGCGACTGATTGCTAGATGCATGGCCAACCATGTGGTTGTTGATATAGTTCAGTAGTTTCTAAGGTGAATGAAGCTCCACATACCATCGGTGAAGGGAATGACTGTCAGGTACTTCGGCGTAGTGAGCACAGGTGACTGGCGTCAGTTAGTGACATCTACTTATTTCAGTTAGTACTGTGTTGTGTAGCTTTCACGCTGGTGTTTTCGACATAATATACCATGTTAGGCAGAAAGTATATTAAGGTCCATAAAGTTTGGTTTCTAAAGCAAATCGCAATTAAATTTCACAATTAACTTCCAACAAAGTATGCCATTCTCATTGCAGACTAGGCAATTTACGAACTTCCGGTTCCATTTCACAAAATTTTTTTTTGTAGATATTTTATTAACTAGTATTCGGAGAATGTTTTTCACTAGAGAATTTCTGGTAAAAAAAAAAAGGTATGGCACAAAATACTACATCCCAACTGTTTCATTAACTCAGAAACAAATACGCGCTTCAGAAAAACAAGTTATATAACAGGTATATTTATAGAATGTCATATATATCTGTAATATAGGAAGAGAGGGGGGTAAGAAGAGTCTTTTAGCAGATATCTGCATACTTTACTATTGACAGTGAGTGAGAACACCTAGTGATGACGAAACCTATAGAATACATCTAAGTGATATAAACTCATCTGACAATTAACTGCATAATTAAGAAATAGTAAACTTACATTATTTTGATGCGTATTAACACACTGTAAAAGCATTTGAACCAATGGACCCGGTAGATTATCTCTATGCCTTAAACGTATTGCACTATCGTGTACACTAGCAAATAAATTTATTACCGACCAACTGGCTATTGGACGTCTTGATAAACCATTACGTTGGATAGCCGATCTTGGTGGAATCATTACATAAGGGTGTAAAATTGTGGAGCAACTAGCATCAAATGTTCCACTTCCTACTCCAATTGTTGATGAAGTTGGTGTATGAAAACTATTTGATAACTTCCCAATCAATCGACGAACTTTTATTTCATTTTCTATTTCACGTTTTAATTTTCCAATCACTTGTATTGGTCCAGTGGTTAAATGTACTCCAGTACGTTTAGCATAAGAGACCCAAAATATCATTTCTAATTGTGGAAGATTAAAACTGAAATCCAGTGATCTAAGAAAGGAAATAATTATTCATTAGATTCGAAAAAATTTTCTACAAAGTAAAGAGTATTCAACTGTACTTTTGTGCTATTCTAAAAAAAGGCTTCAATAATACTGCACAGTTTAATCATCGTTTCAAGACGAAATAAGAAACATTTATATCAACCAGAAAACAGAGATAATTCAAGCATAAGGTAAAAACTTAAAGATGATTATTTCCCAACTTCAGACAATTTGTGAAATAGTAAGATTGTTGTTCTAATGTTGTTTGTGTATATCATCAACTACAGAAATTGCACTTGAAAAATTGATTATCACTATGTGTGGCAAGTTACTGTTCAACAATAAATATGCTAATCTTGATTTTATCCATAACTTGGAAAGATTTATTCACAAACAAACAGAAAGTTTATAAAAATAGGCAAGCTTGGTGGTCGATAGAATCAGGTGGTCAGCACTCAGGAATAGACAACATGAAATTGTCTTCCCTCCAGTGATTAACCAATGTATCAAATCCAGTGCTGTCGGAGATCAGTGGTAACGTCGCTGACCGCAACACTAGGTGATGCGGGTTCCAATCTTCGGTAGGATACCACTTCCCTCGAAGTTGCAGATATAGCTTGCTGACAAGTGCCAACAAGCATGAAATCTAGGTCCAAGGTTGCATGCCAATTATGTCCAACCAACTAACTAAGATCTATGCAAGTGCACTGCGATGTTGAGTCTCCAAGCTTGGTGGTCACATTGAAAATGATCGATAGAATTCGGTCAGCGCTTAGGGCTAGATGACATGCAATTGGTTGCCCTCCAATGACTAGTCAATGTATAGGCAATTTAAATTGACTTATATATTTCTATGCTTAGAAATAAATAGTATTCCCTGAATTCCCGCGACCATATCTACAAATATGGTGTGTGAACCTTACCGATGAATTATTTCATCGTGAATGGTAACCGTAGTGTAAGAAAATAAATTCATGACATGAATATAACAGTCAACAAATTGATGAAACTAGTTTTAAAGAAGTTAAAGTGCTCAGTTTACAACTCAGAAACCAATAGAGATAAATAAACTTATCTGTGGTTGGCTTGTCAGTTTGACCTACACTTCACACTTACTTAAGCCTATGTAATCGGTTACTGTTGTAAGCCTTCAGACAATTTGTGGTTGTAGACTATCGTGTAGACAGATACGTATGTATCATTTTAACTGCCATGGTTTGGCAGACTCAGTATAAATACGTGTGTGCAGGACAAAGATGACTCAGGCATCCTGCTCAAAAGATTATCAGCAGACATAAATAAGAATTAATCAAATTATTCTATCACTCAAATAAAGTTGCCATTAATATATAAAATATACAGTTAAGGTAGTATGGCCGATAGTGTAGTAATCAGATGAATGAAAGACACCGATGCAACCAATGACGTTAAACGCATACTTGCATGTTATTTAGTTACTAGTGGTTAGATATGCCATCCAGGAAACGGTTTTATGCTATTTAGAATCGAAGAACAGAATATACCTTCATCTTACTGATACATGTAACACCAATAAAGAAAGAAAGTGAGAATTGAGTGAAAACATGAATATGTGATGTCGTAAAAGACTAGATGATAAACATTTAGTGATAAGTGGAGGATTCTTTCATTAAATTGGTTTGTAAGTGGAAAGTAATTCGTGTTACAATTTCTGACCTTATGTGTTGTCAAAATTCTACCCATTAATTGGCTGTTTGGACACTAAACTATAGAAAGTTCAATATCGCGATAAACTTTGAAACACCACCTTAGATGATTAAAACAATCGTTATGATTCAGTGTACCTAAACGTGATGCTTTTTGGTTACTAGCTGTCTACCTTGGTGACCATATTTGACACTTGATTGTGATAGAATATGGTCAGCACTTAGAAACTAGACAAGATGAAATTGATTGCTTTCTGGTGATGAATCAAAACATCGCATCTAGTTTTACATGAATTAAACCACAATCGGAAAAGCGTATAGCAACATGTCCGATTGACAGGAATGTGGATTTCTGGCAATGTATCAATTTCTTCAGGGATAAAGATTTACTATGTTACTGTATACCATTAAGCACAAAATATAAGTCTAGGGCTGGTTACAATTGCTATCAACAATAACTAAGCGTCGACATTGAGACTATTTGGTCACCGAGGCAAACGAAGGTTAAGTGGTTTTGAACCACTATACCAGATGTCAATAATCTGATGTCTTAACTGTTGAATTAGGGATCCCAATAAACAGAATACAATGCATAAACTAAGCTAAAACGAGGCTACCCTAGACAGAAACAAAACAGTCAACACTAATTTCACCTTTCAGCTTAGATGACAATATACGATAAGCTAAACATGAAGTAGATGGTACTTGTCCTTAGTGCGCTTAATTGACCGATAGAAATTCAAATCAATACAGGTGGTTGTGTACTGGGCTATAGGCCAAACTGAGAGTGTGAGAGCACATGATATACTCCATGGTTGCCTAGGTCAAATGGAGCAGGATTTGAATTTAGAACCCATCACGTGATAGTCAAGCGCTGAAACCACTGAACCACACCCACAATTTGCCCCTAATGACAAAGAATTGATTTTCTTGCAAACTATTACATCAAAGTTAACAGATCAGCATACTGTTAAAGCAAAACACTATTAACTATCTCACAGTGAAAAACACTTATTAGGTAGGTGACTAAAACATGAATATGACTTACTGAACTAGACGTCCAAAATTTGGTTTCCTAGGAGGATTATAATTATACAAGGATCCACGGCGAATAGGTCGAGAGATTTGTGAAAGGCAAACCTATAAGTAAAAAAAGTAAATAAAACATTTTCATTAAAAAAAACTATTGCTAAGTGCTCAGATGATTAATAAATGTTGCAAGACAATCTCGGTTATTTATAACATGAAAGAAGAGTACTACAGGGATCCCATGGAATTTGTGTAACGACTCTGACTTGAATGGGTCTGGTATCCGTAAGAAAAGTTATTCCAGAGTCTGCCAATTTGCTATTTGGAAGAGGTAATCACCAGGAAACCCCGGACCTAGATTTCACGTTTGTTGGTAGTCGTCAGCAAGGCGTATCTGCAACCTAGACGGAACTGATGTCCCGCATGAGATTTAAACGAGCGTCACCCATTACAAAACAGTCCACAGAATTCGATCAGCCTTTAGGGCTAGACAACACAAACCTGACCACCCTCCGGAACTGTGGCTCAGTGGTTTGGGGAGATGACTACCAATCAGTGGGTCACTCTTTCGAACCACGCTCCATCTCCTGAGGTTTGAGCAGTCAGGTAGTACCACTAGCCCTCACACAATACACGTGGCTTGCTGCATACTGCACGAATGTGCACAAAGTTGGTGAGTGCATTTCGATTTGGTTACCCTCTAGTGACCAATCAATGCAGGTCTATCGCTTTTCTTAAACATCATACAGCAGCTGCTGCTATTCTTCTTAAAGAATTACTAGCATGACTTATGAGCATAGAATGAACGCTGAAAACCTCTATCTTACTGATATCACTAGTGTAGATGAAACGCCTGACAACGTCTGCAAACAAAAAAGTCAAAGTAATCCATATAGTATAGGAGATAAGTGAAAAATTCCCAACCATAGCTGCTATCTTGATTGCGTTATTTAAACTCGTTTATCGGTAGAATGATGTGGAACATACTGCTTAGGACTTAAGCTTCTTCAAGTTTTACTACGACAGGAAATTTATTTGAAGAAAGGTAGATCTATGAGTAGTTAATTGCATGACTGAAAATTATGGTGAGTATAAACTTTCAAGAATAAATTTGAACCAACTAAAATATTGGAATGTGCCAGCAGTAAGGTACTTTCAATGGATTCCAGAATTCGCAGGAAGTGGCTTTTTTAGCGTGAGCAGGAGTGTTAATAAGATCAGCCTTAAAGATAACGCTACACCACACACTTTATATGGCATTCTTTCACCAATATCAACGCTTTTGAAGTGTAACCTAAACTAGAACAGAACAGTTAGATACCTTTCAAGATGGTCAGTGTTAGTGAACTCAGATCATGTGTGTTTGGAGCTGTGAGATCAAATTTTAGGTTGGTAAGACAAGAATGAATAAGCTCAACAACGTTTCAAGAACTTCCTGCAGAAAAATCTCTCCATCATGGAACTAATAAGAAAGTGTAAACTGGACTCTTTAAAGTCTCACAAAAACGAAGAAACTTCAATGATAGTCAGTAGTAAATATATGATCATTCTGAAGCTTTTTGACACTCCTTCATGTAAAAGGAACTTCGGTGGAAGTTATATACTGTCTGCTATTGTCATTATTCGGACTGTATCACTATCTGTAGATATTCATATCCAGTGAGCATGATTAGTTTTGAGAAGAGCAACGTAAAGATATCTATGCCTGTTCGATAAAAACTAACATAGTAAGAAACATCTATATTTATCTGAATTCCTTTTACGTGGTAAAGTTTCACATTCAATGCGTTAACATAGAAAATAGTCCATCTACTAACTTCATTTAAGAAAGATAACAATATGCGCTTATCCCTGTTCCTTCATTTCAGGTCATTTAAATAGCACTTTAATCGGATTCATTTGTTACCTTTCATTTTCGAAATAAAAACACCTCTTGTATGTGTGTGATTCAATGACTAAGACATACTTCATTTTCTCAGTATACCATTATGACGATCAAGGGTAGAGATAGAAAGCTTAAGGCTCGACTTACCAATGGCTATAAAACATATCTAACCACAAAGTCATACACTCATGACATTGGAATACTCAAAGACAGATGTTACTTTTAATATATAGTAGGCAACTGTATATCATATCGACATTGTGAATATCGTACTTCTGCAAAAGTTAATCGAACCTTTTGTGTCCCTGTCGAGATGTAATCGGTCACTGAACCCTCATGGCTTATGCGATTTCTCAACGAGATGAATCGTCCAACGCACTCAAAACTTCCGTTGCGGTTGTCATACAACGCTGCATGTTTTGCTGAAAACAAGCCAAATAACTTATACTCAGTCAGCTGACTCACTCTTACTTGATACATTTCACGAAAGAACACTGATAAAATAATCCTCGACTGAATCTATGCATCGCAATAACCATCTTTGTTGTTCGCCCCCTTCCATCAGAATTCCTGTCAGTTATGAGCTGTAATCATATCCCTACACATCATACTACCTTTTTCTTTCGGTTTACTGATCACTTCTATAGTCTAATATGTTATCCTGTTTGCTCTCTCTATTGGTTGATTAGATCGTCAACTTTGTTGTTCATCTTTGTTCTCATATATATGTATTGATGGGAAAGATGCATTTGGTGTTGATTTTAATGTTAAAATGTATGAAATGGCCTACGCTGGACACTGATAATATTTACAGTACATGATGCTAAATTTAGTGTGTATGTGTAAGATTTAGAGCATATGAAATGAATTCGATTCATCCTAAAACGTTTGTTCTTGTTTTGAAAAGACACTGTCTAGATAGAAAATATTCAGTATTCAACTACGGCATGATGTTGCAAGCCTACTTTTTAGTTCAGTCGGATGGTCAAAAATAGCTTGAAATAGAAACCATGAGGGACAGACAGAATGTGAAAAAAGGTCTCTAAGCTATTGAAAAACAGTACCGAAAAATAATCCAACTACGCAAATAAAAGTCTCTTACTGTAAGTAAATAAAAGACATTTAAAACTGTTTTCAGCAAGTGTAGGCAATGCTATGAAGGCAGAGGTTAAGGAAAACAAACAACAATTGAAACTTACCAGCCTAAGGACGTATATACCTAGAAAGTATGGAGGAAGATATCGAAGTGTTGTACATTTTGCCAGTCACAACTAAAAGAATGTGGCAATGATAGTAAATGTTGTTCTATTTTTCAATATGTATAAGATGGTCTACTCGGTTATATATCTGACATTACGTCCAATTATTTGAACACAATAAAAAATTCAGGCAATTTTCCAAGTATTTAATCCTTGGATTGTGTTATGCCTTTATCAACAGTAAAGTAAAAAACAAACATACACACACACGAATTATACTACAAATACTGCAAAAAAATTCAAGAAATTACCCGTAGTTTGTCTGCAAATTTTAACACACTTGTATAAAGTAAACACCAAGGGCGTTGATCTGTTTTAGAGGATCCAGAAGGTGGTGGTTTTACCGTGAAATTGACTTGCATAGCCAAACGGTTAGCTCGAAAGTACTTATATGAATCGTGCTGAAATAATAATAATAATAGTAATAATAATAATAATAATAATCGAAACCAAGTTGATCGAACAACCAGAAAAGATATTGAAGAACTAACTAGATTTGTTTAGTGATTAAACGGACACCGGTTCCATACATCCTCGATATACGACAAACACACAGACAAACAACAGCGAAATAGTTAATCTGTAAACTCATTCATCAAGATATTACTTCATTTTTCGTTTCCTAATAAGAAGGATAGAAACTGGTATCAATGTATCAGTGCGCAACCATTTATGTTGCTATTTCTGCGAAACTAACAACCGTGGGAGAATGAATCATCAGTGGGACAAACAAACTAACCATCGGTCATCCATAATACCATTTTCCCATTGATTCCACTTAAGACTTAGTTTGCAGTCCAGTCGATTGGGTTTATAATCAGTTAATTGGATATTATGGGTTTAAATCCTACCACAGCCAAATTCTAGTCATCATCAGCATCAGTCTTGTAAATTAGATTTTTTAAAATACACTGAACTAGTACACCATTCGTGCAAGTTATGTGTTCTTCCAGTTAGTTGGTTAGCCAACTGAACTTTCTTAACACTGTTTGGTGATAGATGTTAAGAATCAATCCGAGCTTGTTGATACTCATCAGAAAATTGTTAATACCACCGTCAAGAAACTGATATTACACCGGTGATTCAAATCTACATTACTCAGTGTTGAAATTGAGCATTTTATCTCTAATCTATATTACACCACATCCGGGAGTAAATTAACCGAACGGAGCAGTCACCGAATGCATAGTGGTATTTTTGTGAAGTGTCGAATCCTCAGAACATTGACGGAAGTCTGTCAAATAAGCTTGCAATAGTATAAATAAGCTTAGCCATTATATCTAGGTACGATTAAAAATCAAACCATTTATCAAAATACATTCCAAATACAGTTGATACTGTAATGCTTACAAATAAGAACGAACCTGGTTTTGTTCTGAAGTTGGTAAACATTCTGTATGACAATGCTTCACTGAATGGTGATCGTTTGGATCACGTAAAGATAGCCAATCTAGTCTCACGCTGATTCAGAAAAAAAGAAAAAGAGAAAGAGATAAGCGAATAAAATAATAACTGTTCTAGGAATAAGATGTGTTGAATAAAAACAGATGAAAAGGAAACAAACCTTGAGTTACGGATAGATTTGACCTGGTCGATGGATTACCGAGCCAGTTATCTAAAGGCTATTAAGTCGAATCCCACTTAAAGCCAGGTTTTCTCTTAAGTGAAATTATCCTTTCCTCACAACAATATCACTCTACCGATCCAAGGTAACTTCAGGTTTGCTTAAGCAACAAAATATAGGTAAGTCGTCTGATATATTACTATCAAAAGAATAGGTATATTGAAAACACTATGCTGCATACAAAATCAAGACAAAAGCAATTGTACACCCGTATTTTAGCGCAAAAGTCAGTCATAGTCCACTGTACTATTTCTTTAACCCTCACGACTTAGTAATGCATACTGAGATACGTACGACCAACATTGAGTAACCTAGACAGTGGAGTATTTTTGAAATAGACACTTTAACAACATGTTATATATTAGCGATAGATATTGGCTGGTAGCGGAATCCAGGACGCGCATCTCGCCCTATCTGGGACTCGTCAACTGGATTCACCTGCCTCGCAATGAACGATGTTGTCCCCGTTGGGACTCGAACTCGAAACCGCTCGCTTCAAAAGCCAGAGCATTATCCACCATACTACCGGACCACGGGGGTCTGTTGTGCAACGGGTGTACTTTAAATATTGTTGCTTATATCCAGTTGACGAGTATTAAATAGGATGAAACACGCGTTCTGGACTTCATTGTTAGCTACTATCCGTCATTAATATACAATTCAAACACAAAAAATTTCTAGGCATCCGTGCAGTAGCCCATATGCCAATAGAGACCGATCAATTCAGTCCACTTAACAACGGGGTAATACAAACAACAACATCGAAATATGTCATGCATTGGAATCTATGAATATTCAACCAGTGTTCTCATTATTCAAAGGTAAATCAGTGGTTCATTGATTAACTTTATTTCACTAAGGAATCCTTATAGATCCACTACCAATACAATATAACCTCGGATGCTAAACGTGGTATTTGAAGTTATGAGATAACATCCGGGAGTATGAACACTAACCAGTCAAGGTTCAATTCGAAAGACTCTAAAGGCATTAACTATCAATTTTAACACACTAAAAAGGTTCGCGTTAAGAAGTGTGAATTTCCCCTCCCCCCCCCCCACACACACACAACTCAGATCAGTAAACAATAACTTAATGATTAAAAATGATGTTTGTTATGCTTTCTTTATTTTGAACTGAAGTGAATTCCATCGAATACCAACTTCAGTAGAAGTAGCTAAAATATGATACCTATCTGAAATATTTTAGTCAATGTAAATTTATACGTACTGACACTCAAATACTTTTTTCATTAACAAGAACAGGGCATGTATCAGCAAAGAAGTAGCATTCTTTTCAACGACTTCATTATCAAGCTGTACAGTCGTATTTATACTCGGTAAAGTGACAGATAATTACACTAAAAAAGTTGCTCAATCAATATACAAAATATACAATCAGTGTAGATGGTGGTAATTGTTCAAGTGGAAGAGATAGAAAATGGGTCATTGAAAAAGGAACAAATTGATAACAAGTGGTGAAATCAGAGACACGTTTTGTCGAAGCATTGTAAAACGCTGATAATTAGTTGAAACATGCAAAATAGGTCAATGAATAAGGAATGAATTGATATTAAAAAGTGAAATATAGGTCAAATGTTGTCAATGTAGTGAAAATTGGTGATAATGATGATAATAGAAGAGAAGTATACCAAAGTGAACTGAAGTTGACAAAATCAACAAAATGAATTGTTAGGGACAAGGTAGAGAAAGTGGTTTCACAAAACGTTTCTGAGTGCAAAGTTTCGCTTTTTGTTGATGTATAGCTAATGCTTCAACTATGCATAAATGGTGGAAACGTATACCTTTGGAGTAGTTCAAGTTAACCTTGTAAATTATCTTAAAGGATGAATCTCGAGGTGCTGAGTGTCGCAATTTACAAGGTGTTCACATATGGATGAAGTTGTTTTCTTTACTTGCCTCTGGTAAGCCAAACCGGATAGTGTTCAGCAACACGTTTCAGAGGGCCCGCTTACAACGTCTAATATAGTCAGCTCCACAGGAGCATGTGAACTTGTAGATACACATATATGTGGACATAAGTGGAAGCCTATCCTTCACACATTGACGATCAGACGGTGGCTGGAGAATATCAATCTCAGTCTAGCAGCATAGAAGCTACTATTGATACATCTTGACAGACGATTTTCAGCACTTCGGCTGAGGTGTCTCCTATGAATTCTAGATTCATGGTTAAAATTTTCTTAGGGACTGTAATGGGATGGGGAGTGGTTCGTTTCTTCAGATTCTTATCAATAAATCTTTTAGGGTACCCGTTATTAGATAGTATTATTCTAAGGGTTCCGATTTCAGCATCCACCGTATCTTCTGAACATATTCCATAGATTCTGGAACACAGTGAGTGAATGAGATTTCTCTTACAAGCAAGAGGTACCCAACTATAAAAGTTAGTGAACTGACCGATCCAAGTTGGTTTTCAGGTTGTTTATCAGGTACTTTATTCCGTGTATATCAAATCACAGTTCACTGTTACTACACATTAGCGCCTTGCTTTTTGGTTTTTTTTAACATTCTAGGATCATGTAGGTTCCATTAACATCTTAATTAATACACACTTTATCAAAGTGAATTAAAACAATGTAGTACTTACGTCATCTCTAAACGGGGTAAATGAAAAAGTCTACACATTCCATCATATTTTGATGCAGTTTGATAAACAATATCAAGATCTCCATCAACTCGAATAACTCCTAAGAGCAGAAAAAATGAATGTATATATATAATTACAACAAAAATGTAAACATAAAAACACTTATAGTCATTTTTTCAATGTTCTAATTACTATCAATAAAGGGAGGTACTTCAACATTGACATGATCGATTACTCAAATTTGCAATTATAAGGCGTTAATTCATGTTTAGTTGGATTCTTTCTGCTCAGCTGTTAAATGACTGAATGGTACACTTAACTAATATAGAAAAATTGTACTTTTAAATAAACATGATTCCTAGTAAATTATTTGTTCTACTGTACAACGTGTCACCAACACTTATTCTGTCAACAAGACACAACTGTATAGACTATTAGACCCAAACTTGAATAAAGCATAGGTTTCTTCTCTAGTGATCTACTACATTTGAAGTATTCAAAAGTATTCTCTTCATATGTTAACTGACACTTCTATAGCCTTTTGTTCACAGCACTGAATCTGTTAGTATTCCAATACAGTTTCAAACTGAAAATCAGAATAAAACACACTTGATTATGACCAGTCAAGTCATCGACAATATACGAAGGCATTTTCTCACTATTAGTAATTTCTTACAGAAAAAGACGAATATAAAAAGATCTTAATGACTCCTTCTTTCCGAACTGCATCAATATGTAATCTGTGTTTCAGATCAGCTCATAACCTGAATACGTCCTATTTGAATGCCTTAACTAGAATCAATTAGATACTAATGGAAGAACAATAATACCTATAACTGGTAAGTAATCCTAATGATCACGAACAGTAGTGGGTAACGAAAGCGAGAGAGACAGAAAAGCCATCATCATTGGCAACTGTTTAGGCTTATTGAGGTGAGTCAAACCATCACCGAAAAGGATATGACGTGGATAACCTCTCAGGACGGGCGGCAAGAACGTTGGGCAGAATACTTCGGAGCATAGTTCAAATGGCCAATAGCGACGCTTTACTTGCCAAAACACTCAGCTAGCCTTAACCTGGACGGGAAGCAGATGTCGGTCCTCCAACTCTCCTTGAATTTGTGAAAGCTGTATAGAATTTGAAACGATGGAAAGTAGCAGGACCTGACAGTTTGCCACCTAATAATTTCAAGGATGGAGGTAGGAAATGGTTGATCAAAGCGACGGAGGTGTTAGATAGCGTGTGGAAATCAGAGGTACTCCAATTAGATTAGGCTACTTCTCTGACGAGAACAAGACCTCAGACCATTTGATGAAGTTTCTTACTAGTGATGTGAGTCAGTGAGGGGGGAGATGTAGAATGCAAGGTTGGGGTCCACGAGACGAAAGAAACCAGTGGTTGAGGACTGACGCTTGGTGATACGGCTGAAAATCGATCACTAAGGCGCAGATGTATTCACTCACATATCTTCTGAAGCTTGAATATTAGCACTAACTATAACTGTCAAATTGCTTATTCTCTCATACTACTTCATCTACTCTGATATCACTTTTTCTATCCACCTGTTCTTTGTATATTCCTGTGTAATGTGACAACTTGAGTCGATGAATCTGTGTGTGAGGTCCTACGTTGATTTTACCAATCGGTCAGTCGGTAATTGGAAGTACCAGTTAGAATAAGAAACAGTGTCAGTAAGAATTATTGGTCTTTATTTCATTGCAAAACATATATTGTCAGCTTTCTTATTGCACCTCATATTTATTTCATCACAACGTTGATCAGTCACTATAATACGCTATAAAGGCATATTTCCAAATGTGTCTACTGAACATCATTATCCTTGTAATATTACATATAATGGATTATGTATACGACCAATTTCGTATTATGTATTCACTCAATGATTTTTATTACTTAAAACTACATTTATTAAATTTAGGAGGCACTAAAAAGGATAACACCTCTGGTTTCTGATACTTGAAGCATACATGGACAGTGCCAGATGAAAACATGACCTGAAGGCGGCATTCGACTCCGTTGATCAAGAAGTCTTATGGCAATGTCTCTTACTGAAAGGTGTGCCGAGTAAGTACATCACCTTATTGAAGGCTCTCTACTCGAACACTTGTGGGCGTGTTAGAGCCTATGGTGCTCATCGAGTGTTATCCGTCAAGGGTGCCCACGGTCTTCATTCTTATTGAGTTTTATCATAGACATTTTGATGGATGTCTCCCTCTCGTCACCAGACTACATAGAGAGGTTGACCTAATCGCAGGAGAATTTTCGTAACACCTAGAATACGCAGATAACATAGTTCTGTTAGGTGAAGACGCTGACAACATGCAGAGTCTTCTAGACACTTTGGGTAGCAATTTGAGAATGTTTGGGATGCGTTTCTCACTACCCAAGTGCAAATTGTTACTCCACGATTGGTCTTCAACGGTGCCCCACCGTGGCTAACAATATAGAGTGTAGTGCCATTTTAGATTTGTTTATTTGATGTATAGCGCACAGTGATACAGTATTACTTACTTGATTACATTTTGAGCATAAATTATTGCTCAATCATATCATAATCATGATATGATTATGAGCAATAATTTATGTTCAAAATGTAATCAAGTAAGTAATACTGTATCACTGTGCGCTATACATCAAATAAACAAATCTAATATGGAATTACATTCTACTACAGTGCCCAAGTTTTACACTTATATAGAGTGTAGTGGTTGAGTGTGTTGACCACTTCAATTGCCTGCGAAGTGGGATCAGCCTTGGTGGCTGGCTCAGTGGCCGATGAAATTTCCGCACGAATACAAAAACTCGGCTGGCTTTTGGGAACTTACGCCACCTGTGGCGCCGCCGTGATATCCGACTGTCTATTAAGGGTTGCGTGTACTGCACAGCAGTCCGATCCGTTCTACTGTATGACTGTGAAACATGGCCATTGAAGGTGGAAGACATGAGAAGGCTTCAAGTGTTTGACCACCGTTGCCTTCGTAGTATAGGCCGTATTCCGTGGTGTCACCACGTGGGTAACGCACGAGTTAAGACCAGGCGTAGAGTTTTAGGGAGAAGGGGTAAATCAGTTGACAGGATTGTGAGATGGGATATGTGTTACGCATGCCTAGTCGCCGACTGCCTCGTCACACAATGTTGGCCGAAGTAGGTCTAGGCTGGAAAAAGGCTCGAAGTGGCCAGACTAAAACATGGCACGAATGCATGAAGTCTCTGACTGTTGGTTTGAGCTATGTGGGGCGATGTAGACCAGGTGGTTGGGGTACGCGGGACAAGAGGAACCAGTGGCTGGAGACTCTAGGGGATATGGCTCAGAACCGATGTCAGTAGCGCAGATGTATACATGCACTATCCTCATCTTAACACTATACGAATTCCCACCATTTTGTCATCCCTCTTTCCTTTCTTCTCGTACTTTATATTTCTTTTGACTGAATTTTCTTATTTTCATCTTTCACCTCACTATTTTTCAACTTGATGTGGTGATATGAGCTGTGGCAACTCCGACCGTTACGCAGTAATGCCTGATTCTATGTTGATAATGATTGATTGATTGAAAACATGAGCATTTAGTAAAGGCTGTGATTTATGAACAAGTTATTTCTAATTATGTAAAATTTTTAGTCACTCTCAGTTTGATATTTATCAGCTGACTACAAAATATTTCTAAGAAGTCATACACAACCTAGACAACATACCAAATTCACTGTTTATACAAAACATAAAGTATGACTGGTATCGTTGATTTCATCCCCGTATCTACCATAAAAGTAAAATTTTACATTAAACAAAGAGCTTACAAGTTTTCGAACACATACTTTCACATGACTGAATAACTATGTTAGCAATTCTATGGTTAGAGTAGGGTAATTAACAAGGCAAACAAATCACTCGACCACCTGTTGAACATTTCATCGACTAAGGAGGCTTGGAAATGTGTTGTACATGTTGAGTATTCATCACCTTAATGTGTAATGTTAGCAGATGTTGTATTGCGTTAGAACGTTTAGGGTGCACAAACCAAGAAGTCTCTGAGTGCTGGTTTGTGCCGAGTAGGGATGTTTGCACCTTTCATCATTGTGAAAGTTTTGAATATTTTCATTATCCTTCATCTCCTTATCATCTCTTAAATCAAAAACTTTTGTCTGCCTTAAAATGACTGTTTTCCTGTCCAATGCTTAAGTGCATGTTGTTTTGAAGTGTGGTAACCTGAAATTATATTCAGATATCAGGTTCTAAGTTGGTTTGTCTGTCTGTCAAACTAATGGACCAAAATGAATGCAAAGCATTATGAGTCAATTCATGAGAAAAATAGACACGTTCAGTGTCCAGATGAGAGTGTACAAACAATTGACGTTTCCTGGCTGAACAAAACCGGAGGGTAAGACAGAGTGGATTAGATTTCCGTCATCGAAGAGCTTAATAGAAGTCTCATTGAAATAGCCTACATACACCTTTTTAAGGCTAACAGCATTCATAAAGTCTGTTGGTGAGATTAAGTGATGAGGATAAACAACAAGCTTTAAGGAATAACCTTCCAACGCCATTTTCATGCATTGAAGAGGTAACAGATATAGAACGCTGGCTATTCGAAAGAAGCACCTTCCTGCTATTATATCCCCATCAAAAAAGTGCAAAAGTTTAGCAGTTATAACTTCAACATCATCATGATAGAGTGGGTCGTTTGCAGTATGATGTTAACTACTTCCAGTTTCATCGCTGTTCAACCGACGTTTCTAGGACGGTATAACTTCAAGTTCTGTGGACGGCATACTTCGTTTGGCAATACCGATATCCAAGCCTGACTACCTTATCCAGTTAGCAATCAGCAGTTCCAAAAAGGGATAAAATAAGAATCATATCAGTGACTAATCAATAGATACGTGTCTATAGAGAATAATGATCATAATTTCTGATAATGATGAAATCATATACCCATATACACTAAGGCACATACCATTCTCCCAATTGACTACAACATGATTCCATTGCCAGGTGAAAAATTCAGTTGTATTATAAGGACTTAGACTTGTTGAATATAACCAATGCATTGAATCAGCAGCAAACAACAAACGACCGTGTAATAATAGACGTGACTTATCCCACCAACCTAATGGTGGACATGATTTATCTTTTGTCATCGGCTTAATATCATCTAAGCGTTGATTTAACCATGATATAGTCGGTTCCCAATTAGCACCATAACATATATGTAGTGATTTCACATCTGTAGTAGATAAACAAAACAAAAGAAAAAGGGATAAGCATCTAAAGTTTAGAAAAAAAAATCGTAATATCAGCTGTCTTACTACGCAGTTGGCTATTTTTAAAACAACTTTTGTACTGTGTAGATTCGAATCAACAAAGGGTTTATAGAAACTAACAAAAGTCAACTCAGTAGAGAAAATTTTCCTTCCAACGAATCATTTTCAAAAGCTGTACGATCTTTATCATAGTTACATCATAAAGTATATATCTATCAATAGTTAATGAGTAAATACAAAGTCATCAAAAACGGCCAGTAAAGTCATAAGATGATAACGGCAAGAAGGTCAACTTAAGGTCATCAAAAATTGCTTATAGGGTTACAATAAATAAAGAGATAATACACAAAGAAATGTCTTAAAGAGATTATAACCAAGGTCAAATTAAAGATTGAATGTATCTTTTTTGAATACAAAGATAAAGCTTGACCCACTAGACTGCTAAAGTTTCTGTTGTACTGAGGTGGCGAATACACACTCGCTTCAAAATATTTGATTGAAATCACTTTTTAAGTGGCTTTTAAGAAGATTCTTGTGAAGCAAAGTGAATTATTGTATTGATTGGTCATGGGAGTCCAACCGATTTCATGTTATGTAGTCCTGAGTTCAGATCGAATCCTATCAATCATATTTGCAATGTGGCTACCAAGATAAGAGGCTCAGAATCGCAGTGCACATTAGTAGGTGTTAGTTGATTAGAATCACTTGGCAGGAATCTCCGGCGGGATATCAGTTCCGTCGAGACTGCAGATACGCCTTGCTGACGAGTACCAACAAGCTCGAAATTTAGGTCCAGGGTTACTTGCTGTTGCCTCCAACAAACTAACATCTACTAAAGTGAATTGTTCTTTGTTAACTTTTCATTATCTAATAGAACTATTTTGTCGCTTAAAGAAACCTTGGAATACAACTATTAGAAATCCAAGATGAAAACTATGCATACAAAAAAAAAGTACGTTAAATCTTCATTTTTGCTATAGTCATCATAAAACTCTGGATGTTCCAGAAAAAGCCTGTATTACGCAATCATACTTATTTCCTAAATCTATTTTTTATGTTCCTACTCAAAGTCTTCATTTGTGTTTCATCACTTCCTTTCATTATTCAATCGATTACGAACCCTAACTGGAAATAATCTTGGAATGTTCTACACTTTGTAATATATAATCACCTATGGAAAACTTAGTAAACGGCTGTAATCATCTCTTTGCTTTTTCCTACGATTAGTTAAATCAACTGGAAACTTCACAGTGTGCTAGATCATATCATTCACTCTAATTACCAGAGGCAGAAAGAACCCGCACTTCAACATGGAATTTTAATAAGTTGCAGTAGGATTTGAACATTGTAGTAGACTGTAATTCGACATTAGATAAGTTTATGCGACACAACACAAAGTGATACGATATTGCACAGTTTATGGCACATAAATTTAGTCACAATATTTACGGAGATTTTAAAATTCATTTTCACACTTCAACAGTTCTTCATTCCTAGCATTCTTCAAATATCGGTGACAGGCGATGAAGCATTGTGGTTGCATGTGTTAATTATGGATTCGATGAAGACAATTTTGTTATCTTCATCTACCTAACCATATTGAATTTGGATAATGTCACTTAATGTCAACCTATGATGGGATTGTAGATGAGTTAATTATCTTGGTAGGGTTTACATAAGGTACCTTAACTTTCTCATATAAGCTGAGTGCCTTCATGAGTAGACTAGACGTATGCACTCGACATCACAACCGTTATATAGTATTTGATAACTATTCTCCAAAGTTTCTAAAAACGTTTATGTTGACTGATAAGCGTGGGAGAAATAGCAACTTTGAACTGTTTCTAATCGGTCCAACTAGAAATAGTAATACTACCAGTAACTACAGTACGACTAGAAAAGTCAAAAACCTCTATTTAAAAATGGACGAAAAACTGTATATAAGTTTCTTGATAAAATCATGATAAGGGTGGTATTTAAATTCAAAAATCCACTCAAAGGTATAATATTTTAGCTTACGGACTTTAATGACGCAATCAGACACAGGCAATCAGTTACGCTATCAGAATGCAGCAGCACAGCTAGAGTCAGAATGATGAACCACACTAAGAAAAGTATTCTAGAGAAAAATCCAGATATTACTATGCACGTCTTGACGTGCAACCACGAAATACAATGGAACAAAGTGACAGTCCCAACTACTAATATAGTCAGGGAGAGAGAGAGAGAGATAAAGTCTGATAACTGAATCTCCGTTTATTGAATTAAAGCTAATACGTGAAATAAGAATTATTCAATGTCCACTCAGGATACATGATCATTAAAACCAAGAGATAACAAATAGTCAAAATATATAAACCAAACCAGATAAGATCGTCTTCTGCTATAATTATTTCACAGAAAACACTTTTCAACATGGGATTATAAAATTTAATCCCCTGAAAGTAAGTAAAGAGCGAAACGAAGATTTCGACACATTGATTACTTTCCAATTCACTAATTCACACAAAGAGACAAGATTACATGTTGACTGGAACCGCTTGGTTGAGTGACCGATTGACTAACAAAATTAACGTGGAACCTCAGATACACAGGTAGTCCATTGGGATAAGTCACCAAATTTCAGAGTAGTATACAAAGAACAGGTGAACAGTAAAATAGTGATATCAAAGCAGACAAAGCTACCCGGTGGTCGCTGGTTCGAATCCGGCCCTGGTCCAGGTTTTCATCTCACTTTCAATCATCACCCAGTCTAATTGAGAGAATGAACAATCTGAAGATAAAGGTTAATGCAAATATTTAAGCATTGGAAGCTGTTAAGGAGTAATTACAGCTGCACTATGTGACTGATCTTCAACCACGTCACCAAGAATCTTCAATCACTGATTACTATCATCTGGCGAACCCCAACCAGGCAGTCTGCATCTTCCCACATGGTTCAGGATAATGGTAAAGACCCCATCGACTGGTGACAGGTTTTGGTTTGGCCACCCTGGACCGTCTTACAACCTAATCCAACTTCCCCTAGCATAACACATCACGTTAGGCAGTAGCTCGGCGTTAGCAGTACATGTGCAAGCCATCTCAGTTGACGAAGGTCCACAATGTCGTCAATCGACTTGCCAATCTTGCCTAGTATCCTTCGCCTGACCTCAACATTACTCACACGATGATTTCTTAAACGAAATGCAAGCAATGCTACGAGACACCTGTTATCAAAACCTTGCAACAGCTTCATGTCGTCCACTTTTAACGGCCATGTCTCACAGTCGTATAACAGGACAGTGTGGAAAGCAGTGCAGAAAACTCGTCATTTAATAGACAGTCGGATATCTCGTCACTCAGCGCCACAGGTGAACGGACCTTCTGTATTCGACTTGAGATTTCGTCAGCAACTAGATTGTTCGGGCTGATGCAACTCTCGAAGTAAGTGAAGTCGTCGACACATTCCACCATTTCGTTCCCTATCTTTAGGCGAGGAGTAGTTGCAGACAAGACCTGGAGCACCATCTTGCACTTGATAGATAGCAACAAAACCTATGTCAAACATACTCAGATTCTTGCACAAAGCATCCAGAACACCGTGAATTTTGTCAGCGTCTTCACCCAACAGAACAATATCGTCTACATACTCCAAATCAACCAGATGGCCTTCAGTTAGTAGATCAATCCCTGTGAAGCCAGACGTACGCCCATTACTATGACTATGACGAAGTTAAATAGGAACGGCGATAGTGGACATCCCTGGCGGACACTACTAGTTGTCGTCAGTTCACATAACAGCTCTCCAGAGCAAACTGTTAGGTTTTGCTGCTGCTCATTGTTTCAGGTTCTTATAGCCTTCAGAAATTCAAGGAGAGTTGGAGGATCGACATCCCATTCAGGTTCAGACTAGCTGGATGTTGGACACCTGAAGCGTTGTTGCTGGCCAGTTGAACTGTCTATCAGTGTGTTCTGCCTAACGTTTTAGCTGCCTGTCCTAAGGGATCATCCGCGTCCTATGCTTTTAGGTGATGGTTTCACTCACCATCGTCTTCTTCTTGCCGGTATCCTTAATAAGTCTGGACAATTGCCGAGTGATACTCACCGCTGATGCCGTCTCCATCTCTCTCGCTCTCCTTCTCATCAGCCACCACTGCTAGCAATGTGATTTATTTGTGTACATCATTGGTTTGAAGTCGGCGGACGACATATGAGACGTCTCTCTTTACGCCTAAAATTAGTATCGGACAGAAACGAGTTATTGTCGGAACAGAATTGCAAGAAACGATCATAGTTTTCATTTCGTTGACATGAGATTCCGTAAATACCCCGAGATGCCTTTCCGACTGCCCCAGCTTCCCTACTTAAAGTCACCTACCACTATAACCATATCTTAACTCTTGACTTTCTGTAGCAAAATTGAAAGCCTCGCATAAAACTCATCCTTTTCATCAACCGAACTATAGTTGGTAGGTATGTATGTGGAAGTTACGAATAGGCATCACGTAGTCTCACGAACCTTCCTAATCCTTAGAGATTCATTCAGTCGAACAGCAAATAGACGTCTGCTGACTGAAATCCAGTCGAGGAGCGCACTTTCCACCCCACAGCTCAATGCCATGCCTACACCAGCGAGTCCACGAGAGCTAGTCATTGGTTCTCCGGATAATCTTAAAGAAATCGTGAAGATTCACGACAATGACCAGGTGAGGTGAATACAATAACCACACTCGGGTTCTGTATATGTGTCTCAGAGACACGGTATTCATCTATGACTGCAGATCCAAGAGTTTTGGCGAGCGATGCTTGCTTTCCGATTTGGTACATAGTTCGGACGTTGAGAGATCCTACGTGAGATCGATGGCGGGGTCCTAGGACACTAGGAATGAGGTTACGATGGCTGTGATCCGTAGCAACGGCTTTAGAGAGTTTGAGTGAGGCGTAAGAGGATTAGTATCAGTATTAGGAGGTGAAGACAAAACAGGAGATAAAGTTGACGGGGATACATTGTGTTTGATTGGGTCTTGCGTACTATTAGAAGTGCTAGTGGTTGATACTTCCCGGCTCCCTACACCTTGGAAGGTTATCTCTTCTTACGGTACCTGCAAGGGGGAAATACTTGTATAACTAAAGAACCGATTAGACATCTGCCTGAGGTCGGTCACATACGTGGTCTTTGGCAACTTTAAGATTTCAATGTTTTGCTTTTGAATTCGACTATGAATCCCTGTTGCAAGCACCGGCAAGTTGCGAAGGGATGGGGTGTGCTATTTTGGAGGCTAACCTATCCTAACACCCTGCCTCTTATTGGAAAGGTAGCATTAGCGTGGCACTGCTGGTCATCCAGTGGGAACACCTTACTGCTGTCACACCCCATCCAGCTAGCAGCAGTATAACTCCACCTTCATACCCCTACTATAGTGTAGCAATTTACACTACAACAGTGGCTGCTTAACAATATCCAACAGACCTTTCTGACATGATAGGATCTCGAGGAAACAAGCGTTCCACCAGCATAGCTCGTTGGGTCATTGTGATATGCAAGCCGATCACCATGTCAAGTTAGCAGCTAACAGTCGGGAACAGTTTGATTAATACAGGTGTAAAACTTGGGCACTGTGGTAGAATTTAATTCTATATTAGATTTGTTTATTCGATTTATAACACACAGTGATTTAGTATTATTTACTTGATGACGTTTCGAGCATAAATTATTGCTCATAATCATATCAGTGTAAACACACTAATTTCGACATTTGATTTTCATAGTTACGTCACTTTATATGAGTTGTTCCTATTGGTAGCAAAATGTTCCATATCTTTGGTATAGGTGTTGCGTCATTTCTATTACATGTGTAGAGTGTTGGTTCGATGAACGGAGATTCAGTAATCAATCTCTCCCCCTCTCCACCTAATAATATTAGACTTAAGCACAGTGGCTTTATCCCACCCATCCTATTGTGTGGTTAATGCATGCATAGCAATAGCAGAGTATTTTTCTAGATTATTGATCTTATTTAGGTCTGTTATTCTATATTTAGCTAAATTTCTGTATTCGGCTATTCTAACTGACCCCGACCGGCTAGTTTGACCTATACAATTGACCTCACGGTCATTACATGGAATTTGATGGATCATATTATTTTGCTTGATTGGTTTTATCTGATGCTTAAGCCGACAAAGTTTATCTCTGAGTGAGTTTGTAGGTTTAAATGTCACCCTAATTCCAGCTTTGTTGAGGTTTCTACGTAAAGTTTCTCAGATACCCTCCTTATAGGGTAGTACAATGAAGGCTGTGAACTTCTTTTTACTCGTGTTGTCGCTGTTAGTCGCTCTCATGTGACTGTTATTTTTTCGTTTTTTGTGTGTCCGTATGAATTTCTTAATAAACTGCGAAGGATAATTATTAACTATTAGTTCTTCTTTTACGTGTTTCATTCCTTGTTTAGGTTCTTGATCTGACTAGTCAGTTTTCTAGCTCTACCATTTAGACGTTTGACTAATCCTGCCTTAACTGACATTGGATGAGATGATTTGAAGTCCAGACACCTGTTGGAATGTGTTGGTTTTCTGTAGACAGTAGTATCCAAGCCACCGTCTGTTTTTTGTTTTATTCTGCAATCCAACATAAGTAATTCTCCTTGTTCATTTTCTACCTCGTAAGTGAATTGGTTGCGTTTACTACTACTGAGTTTATATGCATGAGGAAATTGTCGATATGTTCCGATTTCAACACAGTATATGTGTCATCCACATATCGCCACCACATTTTTGGTGTAGGACTAAACGTTTGTAAAGCCATGTTTTCCAAACTATCCATAAATATATCTGCTATAATTGGGGATATCGGCGATCCCATTGCTACACCTTCTGTTTGTCTGTATATTTTCTCCTGAAACTTGAAGACTGTGGAGGTTAGGCATAATTGTATGCCTAATATAATCTCACCAACCGATATCTTTGTTCTCTGATTAAGTTCTGAGTCAATATTTACTTGACTTCTGACTGCCTCCAGTGCCATATAGATTGGTATCTTAGTATACAGACTAGTTACATCGAAGCTAACCATTTTTTCATCCTCTTCTATGTGTAGGTCATTAAGCCCAAGTTTTAACTTGCAAGAGTTTACTAGTCTGGAATTTGAATGGTTCCTAATAGGGCATAATATTGAAGCTAAATACTTTGCTAGTTCATATGTTAGGGTATTTCTGAAGTCAACTATGGGTCTAATGGGATAACCTGGTTTATGAACCTTAATAGTGCCATAAATTCTCCTAGGATTATTAGTTTTAGGCATTAAATTAAACCGTTCAGACTCACCTAGAGATGGTTTTAGTCGGCGTATCAGATTGGCTGTAGATTTCCTGATTTTATTCATGACCGTGTTTAACGGCTTCTTGATTTCTCCATATGGTCTTGTTAGGATATGCTCGTCAATTTTGTTGAAGTAATCCAATTTGTCCATAACTACTGTTGAATCGCCTTTATCAGACTTAACAATTACTATATTATTGTCATTTTGTAGACTATTCAGAGCTGAATTTTCAAGTTTTGTTAAGTTCCGCTGCCTTTTCTTTTGTCTTTTCAGTGTCAACGTTTGGTTGCCTAGACCTCGAGGTCGGACTCACAATGCACTAACTGAGAGTTGACTCCCTAACTATGTAGTCACTCAAACCGACTGTCCTTCCATTTTGTTACACAACAAACACGGTTTGGTTTACGCAGTTCACATAAAGTGCTTGGAAAAAATAACCAACCCATATAAATACATATAATCGAAGAAGAACTGATAGGAGTAACAATAATTCTCCATAAACCTTGACATGATTATGTGTAATATAGTGAAAAGCAACTGCTAGCATGCTATATACGTCCCGTAACAGCCGCAAAAAGAGACATTTCCGAATAAATTATCGGTTAGAGAAAGATTGTCAGCGTAGATTTTGTGAATAAAAGAACTATCTCAGTAACCACATACATACCCGCGCTCTACGTAATGAACAACGCCTATTATATAAGGGTTACTGATAATACCCGGCTTCCCAGACTTCGAAGACGGTTCGAACCCACGACCAACTGATTGAAAATCAACCGTTTGGACCGATGAGCCACAGCTCCACTATATACCAGATCATAATCTCCGTACTCGAAATGCTAAACTAACTGGAAAATTGTTTTAGGTTAACAGCGGAAAATATACCAGTGGTTGATGAAGGTGTTTAAGTGCGAAGCTGTTGATATTGATTTCAGCATTCGAATTTCAACCAACAAGTCATGAGCTATAACGCTGCTCAGTTGCCTACTACGGTTTAGACACCCAGTTAGTGTCATCAACCCTCACATATCAATTGTGAGTTTTAGTTTAATGCACGAGTTTGTGATCTATAGCTGAGTAGCATTATATTAATGCATAACAATATGCTTCGCTCATAATTCTCCTGAAAAGAAAACGAAACAAGTAGGCAGTCAAGGTGACTCTAAAACCAAAAGCTAAAGCATAAAGAGAAAAAATTCAACGTATTTACCTGCATTTAAATCATAATAAAATTTAGTAGGCGAACTATTACGAATAAGAATATAACCTGGCCAAGGTTTACCAGGTTCAATGAAACTTTACGTTGACCTAATTACAAACGAAAGAAAAATATACACAATAGAATGAAAACATGAGGGAGAAAATAGGCGAAACATCTTAACTGATTTAGACTCCTAATCATACTGACTGATCAAAGTTTATTACACACTAGGCGGAATTCAATGCTGATTATTCAGTGTTGATCACCCAACTTCAAATGGAACAAAAAGGCCAATTGAAAATTGAATGAAATTATGGATGATTTGTCAGTTATACATTCAATCAAATAGTGGGAAATGCTAATAATGAGTCGAAACAATATGCGTACGCATAACTATCTTGCAGCTTGTACTTCTTAGGGCGAAATACAACCATATTACCAGTATGACTGCTTACAAAGATAATACCGACCCACCACTATAAGCGAATTTATTTAAAACCTACAGGTAGATTCTATATTGTCTTTCTGATGACCATGAAGTAATTTTGGGCTTGGAGTATATTGGTTAAGTTATATTAACTGATTGTACACATTCAAAAGTCGTAAACATTTATTCTGTCAATGATAATTCCTTTATTCCTAATCATATCATGAACAACAATGCTATTACTACAACGATTTGAACCTCCTTTATTGGACGACATACACTTCCTGTACTATTAAAGTGTTGAGAGGAATAGTAAACAAAACGTCAAGTTAGGCATCTCAAAATTGGCAGCTCATAATAACTTAAGTGAAAAGCGTAAACATAGATATATGCAGCATTTTCTGAACATTTAAGAGATACACGCTTATCAGAATGATTTATTTGATTTCAGTCTACAATGTAAAGTGACTTTCTGCAATATACACTGAAGGTACAATGCGGTTTAATTCAAATCGACGTGAAGGGTCGGAAGTGAATTATCCTACAATAGAATTCAAAAAATGACTTTACATGAGCACAAAGTCAATTTGCTAGATTCTGTCTTTTCCGTCATTTAAGACGATATCCATTGTATTAAACCGTATAATTTATACTCAAATAGAATAACTTTACCAATCATAAAAAGTACAGTTAGGAGAAAATGATGACGATAATATGAAAACTATAATTAGAAAAAACACCTACCTATATCACTAGCTAGTTGCTCAGCAACAACTAATTTACCCCATAAAAATAAATCAGTCACATCCCAACATGGTTTAGGATAATCTCTTAGTTGAAAACGCCATCGATCAACATTTAGTGTAATTATACGACACCAAAGAGTACAGAAATCTTTATAAGTAAGATTTGGCCAAGGGCTTGTAAAACAAATGAAAAGAAAAGAATATATATATATATATATATATATATATATATATATATATATATATATATATATAATATTGTATGGAAGAATATATAAGCAAGTTGAGATCGAGATGGATGTCATCCATACAGGACAACGAATAAAAGCAGCACCATATTGTGAATCCAGTCACTGAACGGTAACACGCTTGTCATAAAACCTGACAGTTCATAGTTCCATCCCACATCGTGTCGCAGGTACACACAGCTGAAGAGTCCCACACAAAAATGAAACAACTATTCAGAGCTTTAATCTTTCTAATAGTGCTCATGCTGACACCAGCCCCTGATCAAAACTATCTTGATCATTTATTTAAACAATTTCATAGATTTTTTGACAGTAAACTCAAAAATAACAAGAACAGCAAAGTTGATAGTGTAGCGTTCACTTTTTACTTTATAACTTTTCATCAGCTGTATACAGTTTATACGTACAATAAATATATTAGGATTGATAAATGAATGTTCTTCAAATTTCGAAGTCTGAAACAAATTCCATGAATCACACAAAAAAAATGAAATTATGAAAGTTAAGAGAATGCATAAGTTACATTACGACAGCAGCTAGTAACCTTGAATAGGTACAATAAGTACAACCAATTGAATTCGTACCTGTATCATTTGGTGTTACAGTCAACGACTTTACTACTGAGTTATTTGGGCCACAAATGACCTCCTGTTGAACAGGATCACATGCACTGACTGATCACCAGAGAACAACTAATTTCATGTTTTCTAGTTCTGAATACTGACCGAATTCTTTCGATCATTTTGCAATATCGACACCAAGCTGGGGGATGTTTAAGTACAATTCATTGAACTAAAAACCTAGATATCGTGTACACTCCTAGTTTTGAAACAAAGTTTTCTAACTCCCTCATATAATCTGGTTGTGTTTATGAAAGCAATAATCTTCATACTCGAATCTTGATTTTCTCTAGGTTCCTCAGTTAATGAAGGTGTATTGCAATGTCAAATTATTTACAAAACAAAACAATGATCTTGACTATTTTTCTAGGCCTTTCTAGAATAGCATAAACCATTGATTTTCGTCGCTTCAATCATTCTGGTACTTACACGTTGGTTCACATGCCTTTCCTAGAAACTTTGAAGCAAAATAATTAATTGTGAAAAGCTTCAATGATTTAAGAGTCGTGGAGGGATCTGGAAAATTTTATTGCACACCATAACAGACCCCTTAGGCGCAAACTCTACATTCACTGATGCTGGGCACCGAAAATAACCTTTCTCTCCTTCAATTTTGCAGTGGGTTAGTACGCATAGCACAAGAGTAAAAAAACTCCGTCAGCGAAGGTTAACAACGTCAACAACTAAGTGAACTTTCTGACCTTCAACATATATCTCTCAAAACCTCAGAATATGAAAGAGTACACTGCTGCACAGTATTACATTCACTTTTTGATTAGCGGTTTAGTGGTGGAAAATGAGAAATCGGTATTTTGAAACCATCCGAAGATTCCGAACCCAACCGGACTATTACGGTTGATGCAATGAAGTGGTTAACACATTCAACCGCTTCACTTAATATCCTTTAGTTCAAATTTGACACACGTCTGTTCAAAAAAAAAATTATTGTAAATTAGGCAAAAGCTAGATGTATGTTAAACACAATCAGATTTCCGCTCGAAGCGCTCAAAAGACTCAACATTTTGTCAGTGTTTTCGTCTAGGAGAGATATTTAGTCTAAGCACACTACTCCATCTACGTGTTTTGTAATGTCGCACATTTTTGTGAGAATAAAACTCTGTCTTACATGAGCACTTTCATAATAATGACAATATGCGAGTGTGAGAAGGTAGGAAATGACAATTGTGAAAGAACACCAAATTAGAAAAGAGAGAGAAGTGTAGTGCACAAGACTAATTGACAACAACGTTATATGCTCAACGAAGAACAGTCAAAGAAAAGGGGAACTTTAATTCTGAAAACCGAAAATCAATGCAGATAATATATAAAAGTCTCTCATACTTAATATACACAGGCAAATAAACACAAACCTTTCACTATCCATCATTTTCATCTGTTCTATAGCTTGTTCCCCACTGGTTAGACTACCATCAGCTAATGCTTTAATCTTTAAATTATCCATTGTAAAGGTGAATAATTCATCGGATATAGCATAATCTTGGTAGAAATGATTTAATCGATTACGATATTCATTGGCTCGTTGTATTTCCATGCGTGCAAAACACGCTAGACGTTCTTCATCTAGTGTTGGTCAGAGAAGAATGATGGAAAAATAAAACAGGTGAGCCAGAAAAATGCGAATTGAACAAGATATGTTGAACCTTTTTAACAACGACTTTCTTGTGAATGGTCATGATCAAATCACTGGGTTTTCAAGTAAACAGGCAGTTACACTAACATATAGAAATTTATAGGAGTAGGCAGTAATTTTTATCAAAAATTGCATTTCAAGTTGTTTAGCTCATCTCTCATGCGCTAAGTAATGACATATTTATTGTGTGATTAAACTTCAACAGGTGATACAGAGTTCGAATCCCCTCAAATAACAAGTAACATATCGAGTGTCGATGCTAGTTAGTCACAGGTGAACAATGAACAGCGCAAAGCCTATTTGTCAACTATGAAACTCAGCATTGGAGTGCTATCAAAGATGAATGATTCTCAGTAAACAATTATGATACCCACATATTGTCTGCTGTACGATTCTGTCATGATATCAAATTGACAATTTCCCTGATAAAGAAGTTAAACACCGAAGAAAAAAACCAATAAGTTCCAGTTGAATGAATACAAATACGCGCTGTCAACAGTTTTAATTTAAAACAAGGAAAGCAACTACACTTGATGTTGAATTCTTTCATGTAGATAAATGAAATCAACGTAAAAAAACACGTACACAAGTGAATCGGTTCGAGATGCCACACTTCACAGTAACATGCGAAGAACACATAAAGGAGGAAAAGTAGACAAAACCGTATATCAAGAACAAGATATTCAGCAAAGAGACTCTTTTCAACGAATTTATTTTTAAGCTATACAATTGTATATATATGATATTTGAAAAATCATATCCCGTGAGGAAAACTAGACACTACATGATGATGATGACAATCGTAGTAAAGCGGATGGTGATATAGGCATTCGTGATTATGATAAATGAAGTATGAATGATAATAAGGTAGATTACGTAACATATAGAATGGTTCACAGAAGAAATATAACTCAGAAGGGGGTGAAAAAAATCATGAAAGTGGTAAATCAATTAAGTGTTATGTAATAGGATGAGACAAGTTAGTCAAGATGAAATCAATGTTTTCTAAAAAGGCAATTAAGACATTTAATTAAAATAACATCACAGACTAATAAAAGTGAAAGCAATTATAATAACAATAATAGTGATAAAGGAAGGATATAAAGGTTAAATTAACAAAGGGGGGAGCTAATGGGGTGGGAAAATGTTATGGCCATGATAAAGACAGTGACGGTATATACTTCTTTTTACATACAAATCAGGTTTTAGTTCATAAATAGCTATAGCCTCCGCTGTTTTAAGGAGTTGAAAACGAAGAAAACGTGGGAGATTTGGACTCATTTGATGGAAATCAATCAAATGTTCCAGGATCGAACTTCTAACAGACTTTTTTCCACCTTTATAAAACCAACCAAGAACATGTTCTCGTATACGTATAGAAAGCATTCTCTGGCTACAACCGATGTACCTTGCTCGACAAAACCAGTAAAATGGTAGATGCACATAGGGGCGGCTAAACGAGAAAGCTTATCTTTGACCCAAACGGAGAATAGATTACGGTTAGTAAGAGTCAGATAAAGTCTTGCCGCGAAGAAAGTTCCATTGATTGATCGGTATAGACGATTCTCTAGTACACCTGAGGCTAGGTGACCTTTAAATTCTAGGCTCATGAACAATCTTTTCTTTAAGACCGAGTGAATGACCGGTTTACTATTTCTTTCTAGAATATTTTTATCAATAAAACGGCTAGGGTAACCGTTTTCGATAAGTGTGCATTTTAAAAACGATAGCTATTCATCAATACAATCTTCACTAAATATATTTCCTATTCGATAGCAGAGTGAATAAAATTTCTTTTTCTGTTGACAGGCACCCAACCATAAAAGTTAGTTAGTTATCCGTTCCACATTGCTTTTCTGTAGATGGATCTCTTGAGGTATCCATTCTTACATCTGGTGAGAAGCATATCAAGAAAAGGAATAGTTGATTCTGATTCCTTCTCTATGGTACACTTGAGGTCACGATAACATTTACTGAATGAACGAAGAACGCAGTCTAGATCAACATTTTTGCCACAGATAACAAACGTGTCATCCATATATCTTCTGGAAAAGTCAAAGCTATTAATAGTTTGACAAAGTTGTGAATTCTCTAGTTTCGACATGAAAAAGTCTGTTAACAATGGTCCCAATGGTGAACCCATCGCAATCCCATCTTTCTGCCTATAGATTTCATTATTGAAACTAAATTGAACATTAAATGTGCACCTCGACAAAAGCTCTTTCAAGCAGCTGGTTATTATTATTATTATTGTCGGCAACATCGTATAGTGTTTAGTTTTCCTCAAATATCTTCAAATATCATATATATATACCATTGTACAACTTGAAAAGAGTCTCTTCGCTGAATATTTCGTTCTTGATATTACAATGGGAATTATTAAATTATTGAAAAACTGTATATGACCAGAAAGAATTATAAAAAAGAAATTTAGTGGAAATTCCCAAACTTTAGAAGGCATCAAAGAGTCGATACATCTGGATCATTGTAACCAATATTTAGTTGGGTCACTCATGGTCTCCAACACTTAGTTCCGATTACCTGAGAGACTGCATTTAGATTCCATATGAATGTCTACGAAACACATTATACAACTATGACTTGCGACTCCAGAGTTTTGTTACGTTATGTCAATTATCCAATTAGACATAGAGTTGGAACGTGGAATGTTCCAACGTAAGTTAGGTGCCATGCTTTCAGGAGACTAGGAATAGAGTTATGCTAGTTAAGATCGTTCTCAATGCTTGCAGAATGAGTACTTAAACCTATAAGCGACTTAATTTTGATATCAGAACGTCAAGGCAAACGAGGAGATAAAGGTTTCGTAGAGTGCTAGAAGCATACTGGCGATTGATACTTCCTGACTATATATATACCCTGAAAGCTATCGTTGTAAGATGCTTACAAGAGAAAATGGATTAGTAAGTGTTGAAAGACAGTAGAGTGTAAGATATATTCACTTAAGGCCGATCACATACTACCTTTTTGAAACTTTGAGGTTGCGATTTCAGGGCTGATCCTGCCACACCCCCCTTCCACCCCGTATTTCATTTCATAGTCATCTATGAAAGTGCTGCTATTATATGTTCAACTTTACCCTCAAAATCCACTATAATGCAAGCTATAAACAGCAGAACAGTAACTATTTTTTGTTTTAACTGTTAGGTATAGTAGAACTTAGAGCAGCAATTGTTCCGACTAACATAGCTAATTGGGCCATTGTGATGTGCTAGCCTGTTTGTCACTTCAAGGTATCAACAATCGGGTGGGGGACCCATACTGAGCTTGAGGCGTATGGAGAAATCATCACAAATGAAAAGGCATAGAGACTGAAGAGTCTAAAAAGTGTCAAATTGTAAGTTTAAACTTTCACTACCTAGTCATTGACGCAAAAATTACTTTCACTTAGTAAATATTAAGTTGCCCATGAATAAACCAATATAACTATTAGTAATGTATACTATTCTGTCTATTGGTTAGAGCGATAGATCATAAGCACTAACCAGAAACGCGTATTCCCGAATGCGCTGCTCTTGTTAACTCTTCACGTACTGTATTCACACGTTTCTCATGCATAGCAAATTCATCCAATAAAATCTAAGAAGAAGAATGAATGAAACGAAATAAAAGTAGTTAGAAAAAGTAATACATTATAAATCAATCTATTTCATATGATCACATCAACTTGTTATACCAAACAAACTAATCTAATATGGAATCATGCTCCACCACAGTGCCTGATTCTATTAATTCTTACATTAAAGTTCTATGTATTTGTTATGTAAACAGTAGTGATGTTGGTCGACTGCTCAGAATAAACCAAATGAAGTTAGTTTCAACCTATAAGTGAACAGCTGAATACTAAATATCTAAACTACTGAGCTACAGATAAGCACAAAACTCAGAGACATAATATATGTAACAGCTTTTGAGTCATACCTATGTATTAAGTGTGTGTGGAGCTGTGGCTCATTAGGTTAGAGGGATGACTTTAAACCAATGGGTCACAAATTCAAGCCTTGCTTCGATTACAGAGGTTTGGTAATCAGGTAGCATTATTAGCCTTCGCACAAGGTTGGTGAGTCCATTTGGGACTTTTGATTATGTGTGTAACGAAATGACAAGTTGAGATCCCAAGTCTAGTTTTCCGAAAAATGACCATGTAGACAACATGTTTCTATCACCATGAGGTAAACTAAATTTAAGAGCTGGAGTGATAACTGAAGCTGAAACGAGAACTTAAACTGTGACAGGATTCCACCCAACAGCGTCCAAGCTACACATCCGGGAACACATTAACTGAGCTAGGTGACTCAGCTAGATTTCTTTGACTGAAAATAATGCAATGGAGAAATATCATACAATAAAAGTTTTGTATTCGGGTACTAGCGATCATTGTAGAGAATAGAGAGAAAGAGAGGTCTTCAGGGATGGCTGAGTTCAGGAGGTAAGAATATCTACCGTTTCAGTGTGAATAAAACTTTTTACCGTGTAAATGGTCCCGGATTGCTACATACCCCTAATTTTGGATAGCTTGTCCGTGACCTTGAAATGACCTACGTAGCCGTTTTCATACCGTCTCTAGTTTTTCTCCTGTCTCCTCTCAAGGCTGAACTCTCATTGGTCGTCAGTATTTCAACCTACGTATGGATTGTGTTTTCAAGGTCATTTAGAAATGTATATATCCCCCATCGTTGCCAAATGTATTAGCTGCTGTTGAGATAGTAACTCCCTGTCGACGGTTTATTTTCTTATCTTGTCTTTGTGCATCGGTGGTATTGTTGTGGTGGTGGTTGACGTTCTGATTAGCGTTAGAGTCGATTCGTTGCGCGTTAGGTTCGTATCATTCGTAGTCTGCTAGGTTAACATCGCTCATAGACTGTTAAGTCGTACTACCGGTCATAGTCGCTGCGACTTCTCAACTCTAAGGGATAGATATCATGATGAAGATTCATTAGTATCTCGATAACGAGTTCTTATTCAGTGAAGACAGTGAATACTTTGAACCGAAATCTATGCGAATGTAGAATAATACTTTAAACTAGACAGATGTCGAGATAAAGAACAGGAATTTGACTAATTATCGCGCATTAAGTCTATAATTAAAGTACTTTAACGGATAAAACCTAAAAGGACATAAACAGCTTATTAAACTTATGTCAACTGATACCGATTGCAATGCATACCGCATAAGAGCTGAGTGTACTCTGTTAAGTAACAGCCTGTTGCGCTATAATCCAAATAAGTAAATGAAGTTTACAATGTTATGTTTACTGATAACTTCGAACTACCGCTTACGTATAGTGAAACCGCCTAGCACGACAAAAGGAATATACCACTTGGTAGAAATGGTGTCTAAGATAATAAACCAGAATCCTGCTTCCACAAAAAATGTGTACAGTTTATCGTTGAGAATGAAGTAGACAGACTGAGTTCGAAAACATCATTTCATGTTTAAAATGTGGTATTGATGCATACTGTCACGAAGTGAAGTATACAAATTAAGAGGACATTGTGCTATGACCGGTAGCACGACTGAACAATCTACGAGCGATACGAAGCTAACGCGCAAAACGAATCGACTCTAAAGCTAATCTGAACGTCAACCATCACCACCGTCTCAACAATATTCAACACAGTGGACAACGATGGTGAATATACACATTTCTAGATGACCTTGGAAACACTAAATCCACATATAGGTTAAAACAGTTAACAGCAATGAGAGTTCAGCCTTGAGAGGAGACAGAAGAAAAACTAGAGAAGGTATGAAAACAGTTATGTGGGTTATTTTAAGGTCATGAGCAAAACAGCAAGTAAAAGCGATGCAAAACTAGGAGTTTATAACACTTTGCATACCTGAAACTTGAATGAAATCTTTAAAGTTATTACAACTCTTATATGTAACAAACTGAAAGAAATCGGTGAATAACAAAATAATACATCTTACGGTATGAATATCGTTCAATTTGCACTCGAATGGATCATCTTTAATTTCAATAATGAATCGCTAAAAAAAGAATAAAAACAATGTGATATAGAGAGCAAATGATAATACTTTTCACTGAAGAAGATAACAAATAAATCCAGCTTAAACTGTATTGTAATAAAATCGGACGCTTAACTCGTCGTTCCCCATTTGGGTTCTACTCGACGACCTGGTCTGGCATGGCACGTGATGTCCCCAAACGGTCCTCTCAGTCTATGTCCAGTCCAATCCATCTCCACTTTCTTCTGCATATTTCTTGGGTGGTGGTTTCTTGGTTGGCTCGTTGCCAGGCCAGAGCTCCTTGTTGCTTATTCTTTCTGGTCATCTGATCTTCAATATCGAGTGTAGGCAGCACAGCTATAAACCAAATATATTGTGTAAGCGCTTATGATAGATACTGTTAGGTTGTCTAAGTCAAAGGAAGAAAAGTCAGAAAACTATATTCATTGCTTAAGCGTACTTTGATGAGCTGAATCTTTGCAAGTGTAGAACAACCTTTAACGAACAGCTAAGATATTACTGAAATCACATGGATTAACATGCAGGGGGTGTTTCAGTACATGAAATAGTGTTCGCTTTGATCCAGAGAACTTGTTTCTCACTTTGTCCATAAAGATAAACAGAATCAATTGTAAAACACGTGTACAGTGTTTGGCGGGCCTACGCATTCGCATAAATTTTATGAATCCGTAACACCACAACTTCGACAGCTATTACAACTTCCAAAGCAAAAAATTTCGTGAAAATCTACTAGGCTTAAGGAAATGAAATGTGACCAATTGATGACATACAGCAAAACAAATTGATGTGATACCAATAGTGTGAAATGTTAGTTGGACGGAGGCGATTGACAGGAAGCCCTGGACCTAGGTTTCATGCTTGTTGACACTCGTCAGCAAGGCGCATCTGCAACCTTAACAGAACTGATGTCTCACCCGAGACCCGAACCCACGTTGCCCAGTACTGTAGTCACTGACGTTACCACCGAGCTAACAGGACAGTCATGGCTCTCCTGTAGAGCTAGATGTGACAGCCTGTCATCAGAATACTTCATGGGCTTCTTAACACAGGCAAACGTCGATTACCTCATAGAAACGTGTGAACTAGGCTTACGATTACTACAACCACATAGGAGGATCCAAGCGTAAGCAATATTTTAATATCAGATACCAGGACGGTATTTAATTTTACCGAAGAATGGAGATGTCTGTTTCAAATAATACATTTCACTACAGTACTTGTTGTGAATGTCACGCCTCATTAACATATTCGATATGGTGAATGTCAGCTGCTCATCCACTCACCTCTGTTGGATCCATAATCCTTTGATAGCATTTCTGTGACGCATAAATTATTTAGAACCAATTATTCCTTACCATCTATAAAACTTCTCGTGAGTAGTTGATCTAAGCTTTCATCTGACATTGAAATTTAGACAGATTTAAGTTACTCATACATTTCATTTCTTACCCTAATGTCTGAAAATCTCACCTCAACACATCAAGGTAAAAGATACAGAAGTGAGGAAAGAGAATACAACTGAAAACTGTGCAGAAATACGAAGAGAAGAGAATGTGATAATGCAGTAGCGAGATTGATGAAGATAATAGGTGGATACACCGGAGTCAACGACACCGAGATAAATTATATTACCTAGTCTCCGACCACTGATTTTGGTTCCCACACAGACTGCAACCATGAAGTCTCAATTTTCCCACACAGCTCAGACCGCCAATCAAAGATATAACATGTAAGCCACGCTTCAGTCTGATCGTCTGTAACCCTTTTCCAACCTGAACCTACTTCAGCCAACATAGTTAGACGAAGCAGACGATGATTACGCCGGCGTAACACATATCTTGGGGACCTTATTTAATGAAGGCTTACAACCTCATGAAATGACACAACTCTTCTGCCTAAGACTCTGAGCCACGTCAGATATTGTCATCAGTGCATCACAGCATAACAAAAAAGTAAAGTAAATGGATTTGGATGGATAATTAAAAATAACACCTTTACCTGATTATAATTTCACTGGTTGTCTGGTGAGTACATAGGTATATACTAAACTTGACTGGTTAACTTTCAGCCTCTAGTTTTCTCAGAACAGTATGCAAACGTGTGATTGCTCGCAGCACGTCATCATCATCAAAATCAACATATGACTAGGAATTACTGTGTAATGGTCCAAGTTGCCACATCTCACATCAACCACAACAAGTAACAAGGCATTAAAATAGGAGATGAAGACAGAAAGGGGAATCGGTCAAAAGAAGTAGAAAGTAGTAAAAGAGAGGAGGGAGGAATGAGAAAACGTTGGATTCAGCATAGTGGTCGAGATTAAAATAATGCACAGATACATCTTCGCTACTGACATCGATTTTCAGCCATATCACCAAGAGTCACTAATCCCTGGTTTCTGTTGTCACGCAGACCTAAGCCGGGTAGTCTGCATTGCCCTACATGGTTCACACCAACGGTGAAGGACTTCATGCAATGATGCCATGTTTTAGTCTGGCCGCCCAGAGGCTTTTTCCAACCTGAACCTACTTCACCCAACATTGTGTGACGAAGCAGACGGTGACTAAGCATGTATAACACATGTTCCAGCTATCTCAGTCGATAAAGGTTCACAACAGCATCAACTGACTTTCTTCTCCTCCTTAAAACTCTACCCTTGATTTCTGAGTTTATCATGTGATGACACCACGATACACAACCTGTTACGAAGGTAACGGTAGTCAAACACTAGAAGCCATATCATGTCCTCTACCTTCAATAGCCATGTTTCAAAGACACAGTAGAACAGAGTAAACTGCAGCACAGTAAACTCGCCCTTCAATCAGCAATCAGATATCACGGCGGAGCCTCAAATGGCGTGAGTTGATCAAAGCCAATCAATCCTTTTGTATTCATTCAGGGATTTCGTCGGCCACTGAGCCAACAGGGTTGAACCGACTTCCCAGATAAGTGAAGTGTTCAAAGCACTAAATCACTTCACTCCATACTGTTAGTCGGGACACCGCAGAAGACCAGTCATGGGAAAACAATTTGCATTTGGGTAGCGGAAAACGAATCTCAAACGTTCTCAGATTGTCACTCAAGGTGTCCAGAATACTCCCCATTTTATCAGCATCTTCACCCAATATGACTATGTCATCTGCGTATTCTACATCCACCAAGGATTCTTCTGGGATAAGAAAAATCCCTGCAATACATTGAGATCACTTCAGTGTGATTGATGTGACATTTCTGTTTGGTTAAATTAATGAGGGTCAACTTATTCTTATTTGCTGATACTTTTTTTACCGTAATGTTGTCTTGATCTGATTGACTGATTTGCTCCAACTGGAGAGGTATTTTTACATTAATTGCTTCAGAACAGTACTGGCTAGTTGTACATGAGTTATTCTTATCTAATTGACTAATAATTGCTATTTTGTATGCGTCAACGGTGAGTTTCACTATTCTTTTAAGTTTTCAGTCTAACATTCTAGTCAAACAACCCAAAGGCGACCATCCACTGAGATTCTCGTAGAGCAGTGAGCACTTTGCCTTAAGACTAAACGTAATATCTACACCTGCAAAACTGTGAGAACTAATCAACAAATCAACACAACCTTGAAGGACGAAATTCGCAGATTCACTATGTCGGCCGAGAGAGGTAAAGCGAATAAACACACCAGAGTTATGTATTTGTGTCTTACAGACGCAGAATACGCCACTAGCTCCATTTGTCAGGGTTCTATCTGATGAAACATGCTGTTCGATTTCAGAGAGGATGCAAACACTGAAAGCTTTGATGTGTATTTTGGAATGCGATTTCACCAAACTTGAATTGCTATTCAAGTACCAGAGGTGAAAGAAACTGAAAATGACACATAAATATTGACAGAGTGATGTGAAGAAAGATTTGAAGGTTGCTAGTGATCTAAAGGAACTTGGGTGCTGATAGGGATGCGAGGGTGGTTGCCATTTCCTGACTGCCTACACTATAGAAAGTTACTTCTTCTTGAGGTATCTAAAATAAAAGCTGGATAGTTCCAGTGTGACCAAAGAGCGCAAAGAACATCTGCATGAGATCATTCCTACATGGCCTCTTCGGAAGTTTGAGATGTAACTATGTTGGATCTAGCTAAAAAAAAAGCCACACGACCGGCACTGGATGACCAACAGAGAGGAGAGGAAGCATCAGTATGAACTGCTCCTGACTAATGGGAAACATCTTGCTGCTTATACACTCCGTCCAGCCAACACTACAACTTCGCCCTTGGACCTAACAATAACGTAACTATTTACACTTTAACAGTAACTGTATTTTGCCCTACTTTTATCCAACAGGATTGAGTGGCATGAGAAAACTTAAAGGAGCAATTATTCCGATGAACAAAGCTTCTTGAATCATTGTGATAACAAGTTCGACAACCAAACCAAGAAAGCAGCTAACGGTCGGAGAATTACAAGTAATAGTATCATAACATAAAGTCTTGGATATGCCAGTGTATTATACACTGAACATTCCGAGGCAAGTAAATACGTTGTTGAGAGGTTATATTCACCCCATGAGTAACAAACTTTACTTTCTAAGAACACGTGCCAATGACTATCAGTTACATCAACAGAACGTGGGTAATAAGACAGAAATAAAAACAACCAGAATTAAAGGAGTCAAGTATTCGCAGTTCGTGTTGATCAAATCTAATTTTTGGAACAAAAAAAGGAACGCATTGAAGGGTTTCATAGGCCAAAATAATTGATGGCCGCGATAAAGTTACATTAAGTTGACAAACAGCGTTGTAGTCCTCACTCTGCCACATCCTAAGCGATGTTCTCAATGAGAACGTCTTAAGTAGTCATGTAAAAGTACATTAACCAATGAGGTTTCAATAAACTTTTTCACTAGAAACGAAGTAATAAAATAAAGAGAAAGACGTTTCTGTCCTGCTTTTTCAAACAAAAAATAATTTAGTAACAGTTAGACATACTTTGATGTGAAGAATATGATCTTGTTTAAGAGATGATAATTTTGGTGAGGATGTTTCAGAGTCTGATAATAAACTTGATGTTAATGAAGTGTTTTGTGTTCTGTTTGTAGTTGAAGATGTTAACTTAAGTATAGGCGGTGATAATGGTGATAGTGATGGTGAATTAGAAGGTGAACCAATAGAAAATTGGTTCAATATCACATCCAAATCAATCGGTGTACAGATAGAAGTTTTTATTGGATTAGACAATACATTTGGTTCAGGGTATATGATATCACCAAAGTGTAATTGAAGTAGAAATTTTCTGATAGATGTTACCTAGGATATAAAGAGAAAGAAACTGACTGTGATAAAAGTTATATATTCTAACAATAAATAAGATGATAATAAGCAGTAACTTAAGATTTATGAGATGGGGCATAAAAAACAGGCATCTTTCCTACTGATATCCATCCGTATTCCATAATGTATTACATTTATATAATCTCAGTGTAAACAAACGATTTAGGCTAACAAATGTTAGATGGACTTTCATAAGTAGTTATCTCTATTACAAGAACTTACTGATATCTTAACTGAGGAGATTTGTGGCTCAAGATGGCAACGATAATTGTTTACTTTATAAGAAGTAAATACTGATGAAGTCACTTAGGTAAATGACGAAATATCCAAAAGTAGACCTCAAAAGCTAAATGAACAATGAACAGTTAACAAGATATTATTGTCAACTGGATACAGTTTTGTTGCAACACCATAAATAACTGACATACTTAAAATACTTCGCCACCTCATTGTCTACACTTAAATTTGATCTCAGCATACAAATCAGTCTCCTACCTTTGTTTTATATTTAACAGGCCTCAAAAGCATATCAGACACTTATACGTATTTTCCCAACTGTTACTTGGAAGCTAGAGCATTTTGCCAACGTTATCGTAAAGCATTACACTTACAAAGATGTGATATATTAAAATGATACTGAGCTTTGTAAATTTGTAGGCACAATAGTTACAATAAGAAGCGAACAGTGTTAGTTACGCCGAGATCTATAGACACCGAACAGATAAAAATGATAACAATGGTCCATAATAAAAAAAATCATTCAAAGGAGTCATTTTTCTCAAATTACTGAACCACAGTAGAATACACATACACCCGTCATTTTGACCAGTGAACCAATAGTGACTTGCTTGTAGATGAGATTCCTAGAGTTCTAATAAGCAATCATGACTGGTGGGTCAAACCAAATCGTACATTGGGACAGTTATTCAATGATGGCATTAGATGAAGGCTAAACTATCTCCCGAGCTGATAGGAGTAGAAAATTACAAACCACTGGATTTTAACCCAATGGGTCAATAGTAACGTGCTGGCCACGGAAACTGAAGATCCTCAGTTCCATCCTTAGCGAGGTCATGGAGAGTACCATACTAGAACGAAACGGCTATCTAGTGCTTCCAGATTTCAGTGATTCTCTAATTGATGTCAGTCCATGATGAATATCAACTTTGAATAAACTATTATTGGACAGACAGAGGATAAATTTAGACGGTAATATTTGCTTTTTCAGCCTATGCTACCCAAGAGAGTAATGGGTCAATTTCAAAAGATTCGGAGATCAACAGAAGTAAGGGAAATCAGCACCATTAGAACAATTACTGTTGTTTAAGGGTGAATAATTTATTTTTCCCCCGCCTAACCATCAAATACAATTATGGTAGCCGAACCAATAATATTTAGACCGTTTAGTGAAAACATTTCATTTACTATATGCAATATACCGTACAAAAACATATCAATTAAATTCTAAGATTTTCAACAATTTCTCTTAGGTAGAGCACAGATGATGTCTTTGCAAGAACTGGCGCGGAATCACGCTCCTGTCCACCCCAAGCAAAATATTATGCCGCATCATTCTCGAGAGACTAAAGGATGCACTGGATTGAAAACTACGACCGGAACAGGCTGGCTGGCTGGCCGGATTCAGGAAGTACAAATCATGTGAGGACCACATTGCAACGCTACACTACGCATCATCATAGAACAGAGTATAGAATGGCAGTCAACTCAACTCTACCTCAACTTCATCGACTTTGAGAAGGCCTTTGACAGCGTCGACCGAGAGGTAATTTGAAAACTGCTTCAATACTACGGAACACCACAAACCCTTATCAGCCTCATTCAACAGCAGCTATATGAAGACGCCATGTGTCAAGTAATTCACAATGGGAAGCTCAGTGATGCCTTAGAAGTGAAGACAGGAGTAGAAGTGAAACAAGGCTGCCTACTATCACCCATGATATTCTGATTGTGGTCAACTGGACTGGATCATGCAGCAAACAGTGGGGAGCGAGAAGAGGGGGATACGCTGGACCGAGGAAAAGATCCGAGAAATTTGGATTTCGCCGATGACTTGTGTCTGATGTCGCACAAACTCGAAGATCTGCAGGCAAAATCCAACAAGTTGACAGAAGAGGCGGGTCAGCGAAGACGGGACTTCAACTGAACGTAGAGAAGACAGAGGGGATGAAGATACCCAACCAATACCACCAACAACAACAACAAGCTCCAATCACTATGAATGGGAGAAACTTAAAGGAAGTGGTCTCCTTCACCTACACCAACTTAGGCAGCACTGTTTCAACTACAGGCAGCACAGATGAGGATATCAAAACTAGATCGGAAAAGGGAGACAGGCGTTCATTAGCCTGAAACAAGTGTGAAGATCTGCACTCAGCATGTGGAACAAGATCCGAATTTTCAACACCAAAGTCAAGTCAGTGCTTCTATATGGTTCAGAGACTTGGCGCGTTACGAAAGGGATTTCCAACAAAATTACAGACATTCATCAACAACTGCCTACGCTCACTCGTTACTAAAGATCAGATGGCCAAATGATAAGAATAAGCAACAAGGAACTCTGGCTGGCTGGTAACGAACAAACCAAGAACCTATCGCTCAAGAAATACACATAAAGAAGTGCAGATGGATTGGGCATACACTGAGAAGACCATTTAGGGACATCACGCAGCAGGTCCTCAAGTGGAACCCAGATGTGAAACAACGAGTTGGGAGTCAGAGGCGATGGTGATATGGAGGAGATCGTGCGAAGAAGAAATGATATCTTGTGGGCAGTCACGGCGGCAGGTTCAAAAGATTGCAGAGAATAGAGTGGAATTGAGACGTGCTACTGAAGCCCTATGTCCCATTAGGAACCCAAGGGATAAATAATAATACTAATAATAGCACAGATGATAACTAAAAAAAGTGATGCATCCTCTTGAAATGTTTATTGATAAAATAATCGAAATATACTATGGTATAGAAATTCTTTAGAGGTCGGGACTGCGACAGGAACTAGTCTCGTGATAAATTTGTGCTTTTTCCTCATAAGTATGACAGAATCGCTTTGGAATAGATCATAAATAGTGCAGACGCACTCACACACTGACTTCCACCTAGTCATCACATCATATTTGGTTGTTTATTTCACTTTCTCTTTTTTTTCCTTGTAACTTTCTACAACATCTGATAAAATTTTATTTTCGTATTCCTCCACCAGTCAACTTTTTGCCTAGTAATCTTGATGTGTTGAAGTAAGATATAAAAATTTGGATAATTACCTAATGATACTTTTTCTGAGAGATAAGTTAACAGTTGAATAAACTATCGTGTTACATAGTTAAATAGCTATATTAAACATCTGGCTGGTATACTTTAGTTTACAGTTAGGATTTTAAAAACTATATCAATCATTTTCTGATGACCGAGTTGTACATAGTTCAGATTTGTAAGAAGCAGCCTAAATGGAAATCAAGATTTCAAGTCATCAGCAGTTAAGGTGAAAGTTTTTGGATTTCAATGTTTTGTTTTATCCTACTGCGTAGTCAAGAAAAACCTTACTGGACAATTTTATCCTACAGTTGACCAATCAAAACAAGTACTTAACTATTGAAGTAAAGGTTTTATATGTTCATGAAAACTTCACCACAGAGTAATGTAGATTTGAATCATCGAAGGAATATAAATTTTCATAAGATTACAAATAAACTTACCATAACAAGAAAGACACATGAACTTCGAAATGGTGGGGAATATTTGTTGCTCAGGTGGATGGTCTTGGTTGTATTGCGTTCTGTGAGTTGGGTTGTTTAGTCGTAGAGCTTTCATCGTCTTTCTCAACATCTTAGCATTAACTTCAGTAACTTCATACTAAAGTTAGTGCTGAAGATGTCGAAAAAGACGATGAAAGCTCACACGATTAAACAACCCAATTCAGAGAACATAATACAACCAAAACACATGAACTTCATTGGCATATAAATCTTAACAACAATGGAGTAGTAGAAAAAGCTAACACTAATAATTAGCAATAATTTCCATTAAAGAAATCCTATGATAACAGTATCAACAAATTGTTCATCTCACCAACTCTTACCTCTTGATAGATATCACGAAATTTATATCGGTATGGAAATATGACATAAAGTAAATCCATGTAAAATTCCCTTGTTCATAAAAAATGAGAAAAGAACAAACTATAAGTTAAATTGCTTGAAATTTAATTTTGATTCGTTCACATAGTAATGAATTGAGCATTACACAATAAAGATAAATCATTTTACACTCATCCGAGTATGATGACCAAATTTCAATTAATGAGTATTCTGCTTCATACAGAAAATAAGTAACATGGAACCTACTAATAAAGAGTAATGGTAACAGAGATGTATGTTACATCTGTCTTCAGATCATCTGAGTGATCTCAGCAATCTTCTAACGTTAAAAAAACCCAAACCTAATGAGGAAAAAAATTCAGTCGACTACAGACTTGTAACACCTTCAGTATCAAAGAAAAAATTAGTGTTCATATAACAATAATTAGTTCCCCTCCATCTAGAAGTGAACTATGTATCCATAACGATTCTAATCGGTAACTGAGCAAACATTCAATACCAATGAATGAATTACTTCAACATTTTACAAGTAGATGTAGTATCAGCGATGCAATAGATATCAAGATTCGAATATTACAGGTTTACGATGAGAACTAACAAAATTAGTAAACAACCGTCGGCTAGACTAAAATATGGCATCAGTCTATGAACTCTTTGACTACTAGTCTTAGACAAGAAGGAGAATGTTAACTTTTCGGTTGAGGTCCATATGATAAGAGAAATTAGTGGTTAAAGACTCTCGGTGATATGGCTTAGAATCAATGTCATCGGCGCAGATATACCTATACATTATCTTTATCCTAATCAGCATCCTGAAATTTAGTGGTTTCTCATTCCTTTTTCCTATCTTATGACAATTTTCTGCTAGTTCTGACTGATTCTTCTTTATTTCTTTATATTTCATCTTACTGCATTCTCATTTGATGCGCCGATAAGGTGTGGTGACTTGCACCACTACCCAGTAATGTACGGCCCCATGTTGATTCTGTCTATTTTTCAATACTTCAAATACTAAACTACTAAATAATGAATGCTTTTTATTCTAATCAAAGAAGTATAACTTCAGTCCCTAACACGAATAGCTGTATCTTAATGGCTTATTGTGTATATCAAATAAGTGCTTTCAGTGTCATTTTGCAACAAACAAACAACTATCGATGATAAGATCGTGATAGGTAGAAATAAAGTGGCACACTGAAACATAATTATTCTTTATCTCATAGGTCACAAATTGACCTGTGATCGATATTTTCTAACTAGGTCCTATACCACCGACAAAAGCTATATATTTTCGGGCTCTTTAAACAGCCAGTCTCATACAACTACTTCGTTTAAAGTTTCTTAAAGACAAGATGATCGCTAAAAACTCAGTAAATAGCCTATCTGATATAACTGGAGTGTTGAAAATGATAAAAACGGATTATAAGTTTTGGTAGGAACAACACATTGAGATTAAGATATACCCAAATGATGAGTCCCTGTTGAAATCATGAATCCATTCTGGATTGCACTGCTAACCACCATTCAATGATCCGAAACAAAATCGAGGTATGTGTACAAGAAGCTTATACACTAACAGAGGTTAACGGATTCCGTTATGTAGATTCAACAGCACCAATAAATTGCTGTTTCAAGTAAACACAGTTAAACTTACCAAGAAGAATTTTCTCGATTCATTAAACCCATTTTTAAATGTTCAATACGATGTTGAATATTTTCCGGTCTTTGACAAACTTTTAAATTCTTCGAGGATATGAAGAGAAAAAAGATATAGAAATTGATTCTGTAGTTTTACTAATAGAAACTTAAGCAAACAATTTAACACAATGAAATATTTTTGAGATGAATGGGGATTTCCGTTTAGAGGTAGTATTCATCACGGACAGACATATGTTAAAAATGGCACTACTTCGTGCATTGACAGAAATTGAAAACTGTGAGTCACTGACCGACCCAGTGGCTGAATGTTGACGCGTTCACCGTGAAACCTGAAGGTCTTGGGTTCGATCCCTGGGTGTATACTGCTGAGGAGCCCAACACGAGGGTGAAAGAACTATCCAGTTCTTCTAGATTTCCAACGGGTTCTCCAAATGATGTCATTCTTTAATGAATACTACCTCTAAATGTTACATAACTTTGGAGATGAAGGGAACTCTGGCATCATAAGTAAGATGACTAATGCACACTGTCAAAAGTGAGATAGCGCTTGACCCTACTTTTTTCCTATGTAACACAGAGAAAATGAGACGATGCACCATGTTTAGATGAAAGTGGTATGTAACTCAGGAAATATGTGCGCTTCATGCACTAAGCAGTCTACCATATTCATTATGTCAGGGTTAGTGATACTGATGATGATGACAAATACTAACCTGAAATCAATAAATCAATACCCATAAATCCTAAATTTGAATTAATATACTGCTCATTGGTGACTCGCCTCGAGATGAAATTCCTAAAGTTCTAGTGGGAAGTCGTGACTGGTGGAGCAAACCAAGTCGGGCATAAGACGGCATTCAACAACCTCATTGGATGAAAGTCATGCTATATCGTGAACTGACAGAAGTAGGAATGTGAACCACTGAATTCCAAACCAATGGCTCAATGGTACGTGCTGACAACAGAATATGAAAGGCCAGATCCTAACCCCTGGTAGAGTTATGAGTGCACACTGTTGATGAGTCCGTACAAGGACGAAACAGCTATCCAGTGCTCCCAGATTTCAATGGTTCTCTAACCGATGTCAATCCGTGATGAACAGCAACCTAATGATACTACCCAAATGACTACACGTCGGTAGACGAAGTGGGGTTCAAGCTCTTGACCAACGAGATTTTAAGCGTCTCATGTACTCATGACTTTTTAAAATGTTTTCAAACTAACAACAAAACAAGAGGGAAAATGTTGCGGGGGAAAGAATGGATTTATAAATACACGAAAGTGCAGTACATTGCTATTCCTAGAAGACCTATATGGATTAAAGAGTTTTGTACTGGCTGAATAAACTACACTATCAAAATTTCGCTCTATTTTCTATTCACACACTAATTTAGACCAGAAGTTAACGTACAATAATTATTTCGTTTAAAAATATTGTACAGGGAATGAGTTTGTGGGAATATTAAATGCTAAGAATTCTGCACTATATCAAACATATTGTTTGGAATAAAGCGATTATAATTATCACTAATCATTCATTATTATTATTGAATAATTGTGGAGTCTATGAATAAGAATGAGACATTTAATGCAAAGATGATTTGTCCAAATCGGTTATTAAATCTAAACCGGCACAGCAGACTACGTCAAGTTGTAACTATGATACCATCACAACAACGGTTCAACTAACCTCACATAAAAGCATAAGTGAAGTTGCAAAACTGAAGCATATATGACATACCCCTTAGTCAAATTATATAGAAAAACCAACTAAAATATATTAAGTCAAAGGTAAAAAAATCGCTGATACCAATTAAACGATGATTAGTGACAGATGAATTTAAGGTACGCGAAAAAAGAGGAAGGTGAGATCAAAGTAATTGCTGAAATACAGCTAACTGATATACGAGTTCAAAACATGAAAAAAAAAAGGCTTAGATGATGTTGAAAATATGAGTAACAACAAGGTGGATCTACACGGACAATAATGATAACAGGAGAGGAATGTTTTCACTCTGATGTATTGTATCATTTTCAAGCAAGTAAAAAGAATCTTTTAAACTGATTTTATTTGCTACGGAAATTATTTCAGAAAGTCATAAAATGAAGTTAAAGATGTGTTTGCAGTGGATTCATACCTCATAATTCCTAAAACACTAAATCTACTGGAAGATAAGATAAGCATTTCAGTCAACAGATCCCATCCACTTGAGAACGAAACAAAACATTCGCGAGAACAATTCAAATGATAAATAATGGATGCAAAAACAAATAAACGAGAGGATGAAACAATGTATGAAGGAAAAATACACGTTCGATGTTTGATAAATTCAGTTGTACCGTAGGATAGCAGTAGCTAAAAAGTTATAATTATATGCAATTTACGGAAGACCTAATAAGAAATATATAAACATAGTAAGACTGTACTAGTTGATTGAAGGCTATCGGCAACAAGCACTGGTCAACCAAGGTTTGTGCATGTCAGCACTCGTCACCAATGCGTACCTGCAACCTCAAGGGAATTGATATCCCCTGTAAGATTCGAGCCCATGCAACCCAACGCTTCAGTCAGAGATGCTAAAACTGCATAGTGGAATCAAAACATTTCAAACAGAAGTATACCAATCTATAAGGCATATAAAATACACTTCAAATCTCTAAAAATAATAGTTGACTAATAAACTTTTCTGCAGTTCCGAACTGAACTCCTCAAAACTGTAATACTCGGTTTCGTAATCAGTCATTATTTATTCTAATCTTCTGTAGGGTATAAAAAGTTAATAGTTAGTTAGACTATTTGAAGTATTACAAAACAACTAGTCACTAAAATAACGGTACGAATGAAGTTGACAACGACAAACAGATAATTTACTGATCGAAGTCAATTTTACCCTCAGTATAATAAGGACTGACTTATTTCAGATCATTTTCTTGACTCTATAGCTGATTCCTAATAGATCATCTCTTTTCATGATGTTGGTTCTCTAGGCTAATTTTTTTAATCGTGGAGCATTCATTGTCATTCCAGACAACATCAACACAAACTTCAGGAAGAAGTGAGGTATAAGGTTTTCTCCGCAATTTATTTATTAGCTTATCCTGATGGCTTTGTGTGTGATAGGTTGTTTCTGCCAAGGTCTTGTCATTGTCTTCATATTTATTTTGACTAGTTGTCCTGATGACCTGAAATTTGACTTTCTTGTTGTTTCTCATAGGTTGATAGATTGGGTCTATGTCTATACATCTGCTGACTGCTGACTGACCTGAATACCAAGTTTCTAAAAATTCTCTGGCATTCTTTGCATTTCCTCTATCCATGATATTTCCCCAGTCAAATTGATGTCTATAGTTGTCTGTATGAGGGAAGATACGCGTCATGAGGCTTCAATGCTAGTTAGGTGTTCATGTAGACGGATGCGAAGAGGGAAACCATTCTGCCCGATATCCGATTAAACCATCCAGCACAGAGAACACAACACCATCAAAATTATCCTAGTGAACTGCGAATATTCTCTATCATCTCAGAACTCTAAGAGAGTCAAGCGTTTCCTATTGTTCAGAAATAGAAAAACTCCGCCAAGAGGTAAGCCTCTACAAGATAACAACTGTACTTTCTACACCAGTGTCTACGCCAGCATTTTCTATCAAACAGTGTCAGATATGAACCACCTATCGACTGTCCAATGGGCTGGAAATTAATGGAAAGGAGTGGAAGACACATGGTACAACTGATCCTCATTATAAGACTCGGAAATATCAACAGATGATTGAAAGCCAAACGAGAAAGCTTCAGGAGATACTCATAACAAAACACTTTTCATTATGTAAAAAACATCATATTTTTATTCTTTCGACACGGCTCGAATTGCAAATTCTTGTTCTTAGCAGAATGAATTGCTACCACCAGACTTACGTTCGCTTTTCTGTTTATTCTCCATTCTAGATCAAGCACACAGCCAACATCAGCTAGCTGTTTCACATTATTACCTTTATTACTGTTATTATTAACATCATTCATGTTGTCTGAGAATACTATTCTGGGAATGATGTTGAAATATTACATGCCGAGAATTCCATACTGTTTGAAATAAAGCTACTATTATTATTATTATCGTTATTATTATTATTATTATTATTATTATTATTATTATTATTATTACAGACTGAGTACATTAAAGTTCGAAAACGCCCATGATGAAATTTTGGAGTTCAACTACTCTCTCGTTTTGCAACCAAATAAGAATCTTACACAATCTTAAAACCACCTTTTTTTTATAACAGAAATCGTTAATTCAAAAGTCTTCAACAGAAATGAAGTGAATTTTTTTTACCTGAAACACAGCAATTGTTTGATCTTCGCACTTGAATACCACATTTTCACAATTCAATTTCAATCGGCTACCAACAATAGACCCGATATTATCCATTACAATCATTTCACTATTATGATTAATCGTTGGTTTTGTAATATAATAATAGAAGGATAATTTATCAATACATAACACAATAAAATGTTCTTTAGACAATAGTTTAAAATATAACTGAAAATTGGTATCATTTGTTTTCAGGCTAAATTTCCAAACAGTATTATCATTTTTGGTATTATTGTTGATAGGAAAACGTGTTGAACTATTTTTAAATAAATCGGGTATTACAGCAGAAGTGGATGTGGTTAACGATGATGTAAACGGAGGTGAAGGTAATAATTTGAAAGATTCACTTTGTTGACAATAACACTTGGATAGAGTATATGATGTGAATAACTGTTGCACGAAAAGTCAAGGAAAAATGGGAAAAAAAAAAAAAAATTAAAACTTTTAAAAAATAGGCATTCATTTTTGAAAGGAAATACACATGACAAGTTTTTGAAGGCAACTAATAAATAGAATAACCTAAAGTATGAGCAAATTCGACCAGTACTATTTTGGTGATAAAACCTATACAATCAGACGAAACCTCTCAGACCAATAAAATATGTTGCACTAGACCTGGTAAATTCGGCTTCAAACAACAAAGGGAATGTAAGATTTCTTACAATCCTTTAGGATTTCATGAGAACAAGAAGAAAATGACAACCATACTAATAAAACTCATTTGTAAAGATATATAACACAATATGGGGTATATACATAGGGACATTGATTTAATAGTTTAGTATGATTAAAATCTGCATTTTTGATGTACTATGGCATATGTCATTGAAAACTAAGCGTTATAAAATTCGGAAGCAGCACTCTCATAGCACCACATCAACACTGATCTTTGTATACAGAGTAAGATCAAATCAGCTTTGACTTCAACCAGAAAATCATACATACATTGAATTGAAATCTACTCAGCTACCTTGTGCACATTCATGCGATAGACAATGACCGATACCTAGTGTTAGAGAGCTGATGATACCACCTGGTTGCCTGAACCTAGGTAGGTGGATAGGTGTTTGAACTCGAGATCCGCCGGTTGGAAGTCATTTCCCTAAACCAATGAGCTACAGCTCCACCCACATGTAACTGACTATGACTCGAATAATACGTTATTACTTTTGAACACCATCATGGTCCGAATCTATCCTGAGACTGAATTGTTCACCATGAATTAATTAGTGGAATTCAAAGTTGAATAAAGTAAACGCTTCTTATATAGATTATCAGTTATTGTACATACAAATTTATATGCATCTGTCGAAGCGGTTAGATCAACAGAACAGAAAGAATGGTAATATGTTAGATTCTTTGGATATCTATTACAGTATCCACGTTACAGGAGAATAACGACTTTGAGTAACGTAAACACACTGTCTGATCAATTTTATACAGGAAAATGTGTGTGTATGAAGCTATCCAATCTAGCTGTTTATCATAACTAACATGGGCGGTGTGTTTCGAGAGGAACGTGTACAATTTTTGATGCACAGAGAAGGAAGAAATTACCTGATCAATAACTGACGTATTATTACGAAAACTGTTGTTAAACTATTTTGGCAGAGGACATTAAAAAGAAAATTGAGTTTCTTACGAAGTTGTTGAATAGATTTATCTTCAGTTTTTAGTAAAGTGTGCGCTAACATTTTACGATTTCATAATTACATAAAAGGTCACTTATGTTGATCGTCAGTCGAATAATAAGTTGAAATACCACTCACTATACAAAAAAAACACTTCAAATAAACTTACATGGTTAAAACCTGAAAGGAATTTCTTAGTGAATCGTCTCCATGATATTAATATGCTGCGGCAGCATAAATGAAATCCTAGTGACCAGACAAATTCACCAGATCCAACTGGAGAAATTTCAATAGACTACAGATTATAAAACGAAAAAAGAATTTCCAAAATTCATAATGTAATGCAATGACATTTAAGATTTTATCTGTCTATTTTGCTGACATGAAAGTTGAGCCACTCTAAATTGTCCTGCTTTCAACATCTTTGTCTGGTACCCGATCAATTTTATTTCACTGACCTGTATTAGTCATTGTTGCCTTAAATCGACTACACACTTTGATCTGCCTTACAATCGACCACTAACCTCATTTTCGAACTGAGAAACACCGATGTATACACTTCAGCCAGTTAGAGACTGCTGAGATGTGAGGGAAGCTCGTACTTACCGGATGTCGATACCACAGAATACTACTTCTTCTTGAGGTATCTGAAAGAGAAACTGGATTACCTCAGCGTGACCACAAACCCCAAAAGACATCTTCTTGAAGCCGGTCACATACAGCCTTTTCAGAAGCTTAACATACAACTTTTGTTGGGTTGAATCTAGGTATAAAAGCCACACACCCAGCACCGAAAGGTCAAAGGGCAGAGTGTGCTATTTTTAACTTTTACCCCCCCCCTATTCACTCCTCCTCATGGGTGGGAAACATCTCACTGCTATCACATTCCGCCCATTTAGCAGTGCAACTTCATCCTCGGACCCCATCACAACGTAGCCACGTACACTATGACGGTAACTACTTCTTGTCGTAGCATTATCCCGCACACTTGAATGGTAGAGTAGGATATAAGGGAGCGATTGTTGAGGCTCATTGCTGCTTTAGGGAGTTGACTGTCAACCAGTGAGTTACGGGTTTCAAAACCGCTCCATTTACCGAATTTCGAGCAACCAGGTAGTATCATTAGCCTTCATACACAAAAGGTGTAACTTATCCCCTACTGCACGAATATGCACAAAGCAACTGAGTGGATTTCTATGTTCGAGTTGTTCCAATCGGCATAGTTCATTGAATCATTGTGATGTGCAAGTCCGATAACCGAATTAAGAGAGCAGTTATCGGTCGTGTATACGACTTCAGTTAAATTGAATTATTTACTTGTTAAAAAAGCGAAGTCCATGTATAATTGTATTCTTTCTAGAATGGTTCTTTCAATCTAATTGTAGTGCTATTTCCTGTTAGTTACAGCTTTGGTAATAATTGTAAATTTGGAGACTTTCTCTACGAAAGCGTCACAGGTGAAGGTCATTTTCTTGATATTTGAGTTCAATACAAAGATTTCACCTCAGTTCCAAAAGACAAAGCATTAAGATGATACGTTTAACAGAAAAATAAGGATGCATGCTCGTTTTATATGCAGAAAATGTGATGGAAATAGATGGAAATTCTATTAGGAAGTCGAAATGTGCACCGCTCTTAATAACAAAAAAAAAGTCAGACAACACCAGTGACAGAAAATACTTGAGATCTATCAGTATAATAAACCATTAGTGAAAAATACATGCAGAGAAACACAACAGACGCGTATATCACGAATGGAATTCGGTAACAGATCTAGACATACAATGTGGGTTACAGTGAACAGCATAAGCAAATACGGACTGCAAAACTGGAATCCTCGATCGGTAAGACAGATCTCCTTAACAGACTGACGTCAATCGAATTATTAAACATCAGGTTCGACTTTCAACCAGTGTCTCAGGTTCAAATCCAGCCCGATTTACTTTGACTTCAGCAACCGGTTAGTACCCCTTGAAAAATGTTTGTGACTTATAGCCTAGCACATTTTCAAAAGTGGTGTGTCTTATTATTGTCATTTAACTTAAAACAAACGCGCGTTTCCTTCTATTTGGGACTCCTCAGCTGGACATATCTGACTCCAGTAACTGAAGTTGTTCCCAATAAAACTCGAACCAAGGACCAACCACTTCGAACAACAAACCACTATCCATTGGGCAAATGCGTCACGATAGTCACTCCTTGGGTGATGGGGTATGGTATAGAATTTCATGTCATACATTGTGAATCTCAGTCGTTGACTGCACCGAACCGATCGACTATTATTGGCAGGCAGAGTCGTGCGCGGATCCTTCTATGATACCGGTGTTTTCAATTCCTGAAATGCAGGAATTACGTTTCGTCCTATTTAGGACGGGTCGACTGCATCCACCTGCCTCTCAGTCAGTGATATCGTTCACAAATAGAACGAAACGTGCGTCGCAGATTCCACTCCTGACCGCTATCCGATCATGAATACAGAAATTCGAAAATACCACCAACATCGAGGCAGCCGCACAACAGCCCATATGTCAATAATGGCCGACAAAGTCAGCCCAATCAACGACAGAGATTCATAAACTATAGTGAAGAACATTTGTAGCTCATGTGGATGGTCTTGGTTGTATTGTGTTCTATGAGCTGAGTTGCTTAATCGTAGAACTTTCATTGTCTTTCTAGACGACATCACTAGCACTAACTTCAGTATGAAATGAGTTGTCAATATCTCTCTGTGGATGCTTCAGTAGCTTGCCCTGACGAAGTGGTTTGTGATTGGTCGTTTCCTTCGATTGTTGTGTCATTGACAGTATAGATTTCCTGTTGACTGTCCCTCTGCTTGACCTCTGACCTTTCTGTCGTTTATCATCTTTCTTATTGTTTGGTAGATTGGGTCTATGTCTATACATCTGTTGATTGCTGACTGACTGACTGACTGACCTGAATGCCGAGCTTGTATGAATTGTTTGATATGCTCTGTGTTTCCTCTGTCCAGTATTTCTACATTGTCGAACATGAATACATGTCCAAAGTTGTTATCCACGTGTATTGAAATGAGTGATGAGATGTTGTGACGTTTGGTAGCCAATTGGTGTTCATGTAGACGAAGGCGAAGAGGGCGACCACTTTATTCAATGTAGTGTTGACTACAGTTATTGCAGTTGATTTTGTAAATGATATTCAGTTTGTCTTCTTTGGTTGTCTCATCCTTTGGTCTGCATAATAGTGTTTGGAAAGAATGTGTTTGCTTGTGAGTCACACCAATTCCATCAAGTAGCCTCAGCAATCTTGTCGTGATTTCTGTTATATATTCTTTATGTATGGTAGGATGATGTGTTTATTGATTTCTGTCGATGACTTTGTAGTTGATGATGTAAGGGGTAGGCATCTTCTGATAAAGTTTCGTGGGTAGCCGTTCTTCTTTAGGATGGACATCAAGTATTTTTCTTTGTTTCTCCGTGTAGTTGTTGCACTTCCGGTGACTCCAACATATCAAGAGAACTTTCGAGAAAACTGAGACACCTCATTCAATCATGCGGACATTCCATTAAATCACCAACGGAATTCTTAGAAAAGATCAAAAGCATTAACATAGAAAACGACGAATTTATGGTATCTTTCGATGTCACAGCACTATACACAAACATCGGACCGCAATCGACCAAGGAAGCTATACCCTTTCTGCTCAATGAAGACACAAGCCCTACAGAATGCACAAAACTTAAATGTTCAAGTCTGATGGAAACCCTCGACCTTTCTCTGACAACAAACCTCCAATTCGACGGCAAGATATACAAACGGATGAAAGGAACTCCTATGGGCTCACCAATATCCGGACTAATTGCAGAAGTAGTGATGCAGGAACTGGAAGCCATTATCCTATCTGTGATCAAACCAAAATTCTCTATTTGCCAACAGGAAATCTATACTGTCAATGATACAACAATCAATGGAAAAAACCAATTACAAACCAGTTCATTAGGGCAAGCTACTAAATCACTCACAGATAGATATTGACAGCTCACTTCATACTGAAGTTAGTGCTGATGATGTCGTCTAGAAAGAAGATGAAAGCTTCACGATTAAACAACCCAGCTCAGAGGACACAATACAACCAAGATTTATAAACTATAACATCAAAATGAGCATAGAGTTGTTTTCAGACATATTATTACCGTCATTTACACAATAATCAGTAACTAATTCGAACTAGACAAAGATTATTGAACTAAGTGACTTTGAAGGATGTTAAATTGATTTCATACAAAAAGTATTAGTAAACCAGCCAACAGGAACGCTAGAAGAAAAGTTGAATGTTTATCTCAAAAGTAAAGCTTGAAACTTAATCTAATGGTAGAATTGCATCCATAATTTCTGTTTCATACTTTGACAAGGTGATTTGCTACATTTGTCCACTCCATGTTACGGGAACCGATCCCATATAAAATGTTGGCAATGTGCACTAATTTTTACTTTTTGAAGTGAGGAAAAAGGTAGGTTGAATGCAGTAAGACAGTGGTTCTGCTCATATTGATTATAATTATTACTACCATTATACTTCTAAAATTTGTAGAAGAGAAAAAAACTTAACAATCAACGAACGTGAACCAACAATTATCAGATTAGTGTTATTGCTTGTATTATACCGTCGTTGATTGGACCGAATTGATCGGTCTCTGTTGGCATATGGGCTCCTGTGCAGATGCCTTGATATTGCCAGAGTCCCAAATGGGATGAAATGCCCATCCTGGATTCCACAACTAGCCACTATACATCATTACTGTTCACTGATATATCGGAATGTGAGTCATTCAGTTAGAGGTGTTACCATGGTGCTACTCAAGCCACGAAAATATGCCCCTCAATAACAGTAATAGTTACACTAATATTGATCAAAACGATAATAAGTGAAGTGGATTGTTCTTTCTGACATGACCTACCTTATCTGGCAATTTAATATCAACTTGTACTTCAGGCAACAATAAAATTGAATCATCTTTTATCTCAGCACTTGATAATATTGTATATGGACAGGCTGAAGTAACATCATATTCATAATTAGGCATTAGTACAGATGAATTATAAATTAATTTACAGCCAGTTAGTGTGATTTGTGCTGAACCATTTAGATTAAAAGATGATTTATTAGCATAATGACTAGGTGGTGTGAGTTGAGATGATGATAATAATAAAAGTCGTTGATTGTCTACACGTAACATGAGAAATGCTGTGAAAGAAGATAAAGCAATGGAATATAGAATCAAGTGAGAATTAAAAACAGGTATCTCGATTTAACTACTAATAATGATATATATATATATATATATATATATATATATATATATATATATATATATATATATATCAATAAGTTCATAATGCTCAAGCATTTGAGGTGATAGGTGCTGGTCTCCAGCCCCAATGAAAACATCATGATTCACTGGTAAGCAGGCACAGCCAGCTGATGAGTCCAAAGTAGGACAAAACATGAATCCTGGATTCCACTGCTGGTCACTATCTATTCTTAATGTAAAGAAAGGCTGAAACACCTATAAGTTGACTGTGAGACGAACGAAAATCATTGAATATTAGGATATCTGTTCATTTTTGAAGGATATACATCACAGCAGAATATTCCATGCATTAACATACTGCTGTTAAAGTTTGATGAGTATTTACCGCGAAACCAGATAATAGTTATGAATTTTTTTTAATGCAGTCAGAAAAGCATAATTCAATTCTACAATCTAATACACGTCTATGTATCAGGTCACCTAGTTAAAATCACTGTAAAAGGGTTATTGTTGAGGATCAGATTCAAACATTTAGTCCTATTCCAAAGATATGGTTCCGATATGTAGATGATACCGTTTACAGTACTGAAATCGGAATACATCAATAGGTTCTTGGTACATATAAATTCAGTAGTAAATGCAATCCAATTTACCTGTGACTTAGAAAGTGATGCTGAGCTGGCAATGTTGGATTGCAAGATTAAACGAAAACAAGACGGGGATTTAAAGACTAGTGTCTATAGGAAACTTTCCATTCGAATTGCTACTTAGACTTCAAATCATCTCACTCCAATTCAGTTAAAGTAGGCTTAGTTAAATACTTAAGCGACAGGGCGGAAAAGCTTACTAGTAGACCAGAAAATCTACAAGAAATTAGACACATCAAGAATACCTTGCATCTCAATAATTACCCACCTAAATTTATAAATAAATTCGTAAGAAATCGAAAGAAAAATATTAGCAGTAGCAGTAGTAGTAATACAAGTGTTATTAATAATAATTCTACTACTAATGGTAATAATAGTGGCAGGGTTGAGAGAGAATTCAAAGCCTTTTCTGTGTTACCATACAAAGAAGGCACCTCAGAAGTATTACAAAGAATTCTCAATAAGGTTGGGATTAAAGTGGCATTTAAACCAAAAAAACTGGCTGAGAAACAACCTTTATAAGTTAAAGATCCTATCTATGTAATTCAGCAAAATAATTTGGTTGACCAAATCCCTTGCAATGATAGCGAGATCAAACACATAGGTCAAAGTAGTCGGCTAAGGTCGGTTTAAATATCAGAGCACAAAAGTTAGCTAAATCAAGACTAGCAAATCGTAATAAGATAAGAAATTTAGAAAAAAAATTGGTTATAGCTTCGTATGCAACTACACGCAGTCACACAATAGGGTGGGACAGAGCGAAAGTATGAAAAAGTAACTTTGTTGGGTGGAGGGAGAAACTACTGGTTGTACTGTGTTCTCTGAGCTGAGTTGTTTAGTCGTGGAGCTTTCATTGTCATCAGCACTAACTTCAGTATGAAGTGAGCTGTCAACATCTCTCCGTGAGTGATTTAGTAGCTTGCCCTAATGAACTGGTTTGTGATTGGTTTTTTCCATTGATTGTTGTGTCGTTGACTGTACAGATTTTCCAGTTAGCTGTTCCTCTGCTTGAGAGACTGATAACCAATTACATGATTCTGCACCTACTCCAGATATTTGGAAAGTTCTACTACCCTTGTCATCACAAAAAAGGAGAGAAAATTAGGAATATATAAAGTTTGTCTCAAAGTTATGGAGTTATCTGATATGAATATGGACAATAAATTGTGCTAGAAACGTTGTCCAGTAATTGATACTGCTAAACTGTGTGAGATTTCTAGTAAACAAACTAAAATGGAATTGGGAGCTGTTGATATTTGAGACCCCCATGAGAGACTGGGCTAGAGTGGTGGTTTACGAAATATCAAAACTGAATTTATTTGTGGCCACGTCGTTCAAACAGCAGAGAGAAAGGGACTCATCCTCTCTTCTCTTTCACGGTACTGAAGAACACATACTCTTCTCCCCCTTGATACTCTTCACCTTTTTAGGTTACCTTAATCCGGTCTCTCAGTAAGGTCCCCAATAACATCAGTTCATGACCAAGCTTCTCTACCCTCAACAAATGTCTCAGGAACATCCGTATATTTCTGTATTCGAATCCTAAAGGCTAAGGAATCTTCATCCCGATGGTCAGCGGCTACATCAGTGAAGAAACGTCTAGTAGAGTAGATGATGTAATTTATTGGGAATATATGACTGACATTGGTAGAAATACTTCATCTTACATTATGACATCTATTCTAAAACTATCTCTTGTTCTGGATCTCATTTCACATTGTTCTCACTTTATATATATCTTCAATATTGCCCGATTCTCACCAGTCGAAGGATACCAATTCTTCTCACCTTGATATCATTCATCGATCTATGCGCCGCCTCATAATCTCCCTTCATAATACAGTAGTAACATATGCAAAAAGCATATGCAACAAAAGAAACTGACAACCGTTAGCAGTGAAAAAAATATGGAACAGTAATTACTCCAGATGGTTACAATATTTTTAAAATAGATCAAACTACTAATGAGTAGATAGCACATATTACATGAAGAAAATAAAAGTCCTGAAAACTTACCGTTATTACCGCTTAACAGAAAAACATTTACATTTTCCAAAAATCCATCAAATGAATTGAACTTTTTAAGTAATCCTCAGTTGAATGATGGTGAACAGAATCGGAGAAATGCATTGGTTGATGATAATCGGGCTCTTTTAGTGCAATCTTGCTATTTTCAGTATGAGGAACTTGATTACTACCTTCAACGTGACTCGTTAAACACTGCCAATGAAGATAATCAACTAATTTAGTCATAGTTGATGATGGCCATTCCATTCTTACAGTGACCAGTTTAAAGCCAATTTGGGACTTGTGATTCTGCAGAAGTAACATATGAGAATATTATAAACTGGCACAGCCTTGAGCAATACTAGTCAGTTGGACTGTATATACGTACCATTGTTCTATGAAAGTAGTAGTGAGGTAAAATCGCTAGGATTAGGCTAATAATCATCTCCAGATATTATAAACCTTTCTCTTCCAAATTCGATAAGTTTAATCTGATAACCCTGTGATATGTACAATGCTATTTGCTGAAGTATTCTGCTGAATTTCTAAGATAGATTCAGACAATATGTGTTACTTTAAGTTTTAAATTAACAGAATCGTAATATGCAGTCATTCTAACTCGAACAGACTGAATACCTTTATATCATAAGCTCAATAGTTTGAGCAATACGTGACTAGACAATCTTGAGTACAACTAAGCAGTAACATTCAATTTTGCATTCCACTCTGGAAACTGTTATTTCATGCAAGCGCAAATGATACACACGAAAATTTCAGTAACCGATTGAACCTAAGACCTATCAGTTGAAAGCCAAGTGCTCAAGCTAACAAATAACTGTATAAGACCACCGCTGACTTATGATCTAAAAGGAGAAAAGTTCATGATCCGGACAATTTTTGATGTATCTTCATGTATACTCAGTAACCAACTGACACTGACATGACCTAACACAGATTATCAAATACACTGCTTTTAAAATGATGTAACACTTTTCTGATATACACAACTGAAACCAAGAACCTTTGCGGAAATTACCAGGATTCCAAGGTGAGTCTGTATATTTACAAGTGACACTGACAGATCTTAAACGATGCGTAAAACTAGTTGTAAGATCAAATCAGTCAGTTGGTATTAACATGAGACCTGGAATTACTGTGTAATGGTTTTATTTGTCACACGTCATATCAGAACACCGCAATTTTAACCACCAAAGTAAAAGATAGAGAAAAGATTAAGAAATGTGGCCAGAAGTAACAAAAAGGGGAGTGGGGGTGGGGGTGAAGGAATACAAAATTAGCGAAATTCATCACGACGATTAAAATGAAGATAATGAGGAGTTACATTTGTCCCACTGAGATCGATTCCGAAGCACATCGCCTACAGTCTCCAATTACTAGCCAACCGAACGCTGCTACACTTCATCCTTTCATGTTACTTACAACCTCCTCAACTTCTGTATGAGTTGAAGGTAAAGTCCCAGAGTTCTACACAAGATCCGACTGCATACCGGGCAATAGACTAGCTGCAGGATAGTTGGACTGTTATTCCCCAAGTGTGTCACTTACCTTTAAATTCGTCTCCCCTCCGAGAAAATCACAGACCTATGTTTTTCAGCTATCATCTCACTAAACACTGACTTATTAGACTCAGCTATTTTGATCACTCTGAACGACCGTCTATTGTTAAATGTCGCCGCAACCTTTTCCACCTCTTTGACCCTTGCTACAAACTACTGATCACTATCACTCCACTGACTATTTGTCAAGCTTTATTTCAGCTGCTCTGCTCTTTATTGCACTCAAAACCAGCCAAAATGCGTTCACTTGCACCCATCAGTTCAAAAGAAGGTGATACGAGCCAGTTACTACTTTCAACATTTTTCTGAAGGTCAGTTTTAGTCTTTCGTACTCTTCTTACAACACACTAGAGATGGCACAAGAATGAGTGATGTCGCCCTGTTCCCATAACTCTCTAGTCAGTTCCTCGTTGAAAGCAGCCTTAATATTGTCATCATGGAGCTTCTTTCCGAACGGTCTATAGGTCTTAGCTTAACGTCAAGGTAAGCGGTGCCTCAATATTCGCAACACATGATCGAGCCATATCAGTAAATGAAGGTCGATAACCTCAGCAACTAACTTGCCTTAATTTTCTAGGACCCTATCCCTAACTTCGTTATTGTACGCACAGGGATTCAACCATGCAGAAGCAATGCTAGGAAGACGCTTGAGGTTAATAGTCTGTAACCACGTCGAATTTTCTACTTTCAGAGACCATGCCTTCATAGTCGCATAACAGAAGAGAGCAAAATGCAGCGTAGTATACTCATCTTTTAATAGGCAGTCACTTATCTCGTCGGTGCTAGAAATAAAATAATTTAGTACGGCATACCCATACCTGCAAGACCACGAAAACTAGTCATTAAATCTGCAGAGACTCTAAGAGTGAACTAAGACGACTCACTAATTGACTAGAGGAGGTTAAGTGAATAACCACATATAGATCCAGTACATAAACAAGCGATGGTAGGTTACAATCGGCATACCCATGAGTAAAGCGCTGTTTACTGAAGAGAAAACAGATTGAAGTTAATGCATACCGAAACTGAAACGGGTGTCTAGTATCTATATAATCTCATCACTCAAGGAACTTTGAATAACTTTATATTTCCACTGAAACTCAAAGAACTGTACAACAAAGCACAACTTGAAAACCTTGTACAGCATCGTGTACTAGATAATCAGCCATATCTATAAGATGCGAATTGTGATACAATGTAACTATGTGAAACTTAGATTGAGTTTTATCTTACAACTTAGTAGTTACAGAGAGAGTATGCAATATGACAAACTACTAAATGATGCTGGTCAATTACCTAAATAACCAATGTAACACTATGAGCATAAAAACACAACTCACCCAAATATCTATTTCATGTACATACAATAAATATCCCCAATAGTGTTCATTTAAACTAGGCAATCTACGAATATGTGAATAAATGATATTTGAATGATGAGAACGAAGTGAATCAAGATTGGATAAATTTAATGATGACAATGAATAAACGGTAGAAGATAAAGATGATTGAAAAGTTTTAGTTTTATCAATAATAGATTCATCAATTTTATCCAGTAAGCAGATATGTACACTTGATGAAGTCAAATTAAAATCGATTGAATTCAAAATTTCAATTGGTTCTACAGAAAGTTATTTAAAAAAAAAAAAAACATAAACAAATGAAGAAGGATGGGAATAAAAATAGCGGAAATTAAGTATTCATAATTAATTTAACTAGGTGAAGAATTAATCAATCATGCAGTGTTAACAATGAGGATAGAGGTCTCTCGATGACATCAAAGGATAAACACATTGTATTATGTATTGACAAGGGTTATTAAATATAGAGTACTAGTGTCAGTAATCAATTGATAGAATGACTTGGACAGAACTGATCGGTATTTGTTGGAACATGAATTCCTTGAACACATGTCACGATATTGATTTTTTTTTAAAAACAATTTTGGACTTAATTCGTATGAACTATAGAACGGCCAACAGAAACAGGGCAAATCAGTTCAGAAAAATAATCACCGAGAATAGATATTGAAGGCTTTTAAGGAAACAACTGGCCGTCTAATATTTAGTACACATAGAACACTCACCGGAACCAAGTAAACAATTAGAGAAACTTGTAAGTAGAATCGATATCCTTTTTTAACTGCCTAAAAGCATCCGCTTAGAATTATATGAAAATAGATTATTCCTAACCATACAGTTTAAGACTTTTATGCTAACTGAAACATTTTAGACAGGCCTCACGAACTACATCTCCAAATGATCCATTGACTACGTAACACCAGAAGAACCTATAAATAAATGTAGAGTTTTGCCCTGTTCCTCGTCAACTAGAATGAGAAATAAACTTATTTCTTTTCCTCTTTTTAGGGGTTATACTTTGACTCATCAGTGGCTGGGTTGGAAAACTAGAAAGATTATTTGGAATTAGTTTTCTAACATTGTTTATTGTTCAGTTCTCTACGATATCATGTTAGTCTGATTTCAAGTCATAACAGTCGGTCTCAAATTTGCATTACATTTCATTTTTAGTCTAAACGAACGCTAGGTAGTTAGTTATTCAGTCGAGAGACAGCGATAGAGCATACACTGTTGAAAAATAAAATATCCAATCTTAAATTAGTACTACCTAATGACGAAATGCAGTTATGTTCATCATTTACACTTGTCACACTTTCAATTTATAATTCAAACTACTCGGTATTCATGCATATTTTTGGTAGACTGGGGGGTAATGAAATCCAAGAAAAGCTCTTCTATATGATGTATCACCATCACAATTCACTGGTGTTCTCAAAAAGAACCCGTACTCACTACAACCTATTGCTTCAAACATCGAGGTGTTATCCGTTAGGCTACTTCAGTTACAACAGCTATCTAACAGGTTTGCGTTGCTATCAGTAGAGATTAAAATAAATCATTATTAACCTTAAAAAAATGGTAGGTGGTAACAACTTACGTCCGTTAGACAAGAAGTATCCATCTTAACTCAGCAGCCTAGCAAGTAACACATAATGGAGTCAAAAACGATAAGTCCTGGGTTCAAATCTGTATAGAAACACTAAAACTAAATCAATAGCCTTATGCAGGTCGATGCACTAAGCAATGAGTCACAACTAACTATGAAGGCTAATGATACTATCTGGCTATCCAGACCTCCGTAGACGAAGCAGAGTTCAAATGTAAAATGTCGGATGCATAGAACAATGAGCCAAATCTATATAAATACTGAACTACAGATCCTTTGAACAGAGAAGTCCTATACCGAGTGCTATTTAATACCGAAACTTACATCAAGGCTGAATAAAAGACAATATTGAGACTTTTGTATGAGCTATGTCAATATAGACTAGTGAACTCGACTCTGAACCAATCTAATGTCGAACTTGAAAGTTAAAACCATTTGATGAGTCACTTAACAGTTATTGTTCAACCCAAAAATTATGTTTTCAAACGCTAACTGTATTAACTGGAACCTACTTTTGACAACTTCGAAACATGCAGGATGAATTTAGTTATCCAGTTGGCTTGAAAATTGTTAATGCTTCTTCAGATGATGCAAATTTACGATGGAAATTATTATTCAGTGATAATTATGTTGGTTATTAGTTTGACTATCTGAAATACCCGTGGTTTGGCAGACTTGTATTAATAATAAATGTGAATTGAAGGTGAAGTGAAAATTTAGGCCACGATAAGACTCGGACCAGCAACCTCCATGTTTGAATCCTGCTGCAGCGTAAATTTTCATTTTACCTTCAACCTTTTCCAAAATGATTAGCATAACTTAGATTTACGAGGTTGATGAACAGCTTAATTTACTTCTGATGATAATAAGTTTTTCTTAAGCCTTACTTTCAACATTGAACTCATGGAAATCACACTGAAGATTCACAAGAGAATTTAATAAACCCAACTGCAGTCCATATGAATCTGGATGTGGGATGAAGACAAGTAAAGCCTGTAAGGAATATAAAAGAAAACAAACAATCAACAACGAAGATAATCAGATTTCCGATTAGTATATTGAAGATAAACAGTAAGCAATAACCAGTAAATAGAATATAGGCATGGAGAAATGATTATCACCACAATGTATGGAAGCATCTGTCTCAATGCTATCAACTCTGAAATATGTACCTTTAAAAGTGACAACTGAAATTAACAGTTAGAAACCGTGAGTTATACAACTCAAAAATCGATAGCGGTAACGTAAATGCACCCCCCCCCCCGTCATCCTTATTCTAATCATCGAACCATATTTCGTTATTTGCTTAACCGCCATTTTTCTCCTCTCACGGCTTCCAACTACTTATGAATTGGTCATTTTAGTACTCTCAATCTTTCATCTTGTTGCCTTGGATTTTGATGTGACGTGTGACAGCTTGAAGCGCTGCGCAGTAACGTCGGGCGCTATTTTGATACTGACTGACTAACTCTTAGAGGACTGACTACATATTCGCAGATAGAATCTATGTGAACAGAAACTGAAAAACCTTAAACTCCAATGCTATCTTGCCATTCGTTTGATGGCACATAGCAGTGACATCTACGACACACACTTCGTCCTATCAAGAACTCATCAGTTCAATGTGTCTATAGACTTTAGTAACTGTGGTCACCTAAAGGATTGAAGGATTAACCATCCAGCTAGTGAATTACAAGAATCACCTCTTGAGCTGTAGACATTTTAATTCACACTTTGCATTCAGTTTACTCAGTTTGCTCAGTTTACTGAAACGGTATTCAATGGACTCTGTTGGATAGACAGATAAATCAGTAAAAAACCTTGCACCAAATTGCATCAATTATAGTTGCTACATTTCACAACAGCAGGGAAAGACAAATCATAGTGATCGATTTTGAGCTACGGTACTGAGATCATCCAACCACTGATTCTCATCACCACGACGACCCTAGAAAGTTAATCTACATCTTTCTACCAACCAACAGTCAAAGTCATCATGGATTTTTTTTGTTAGTATGGACATTGTTAGCCTTTTCGCATTTTAATCCCACTCCAGCTAACACTGTGTAGTGAGTTAAGAAATGATTCAGAATGATACATGCATGTTCGCGATACCTAAATTTATCAACGTTTACTATTACTACAACGAACTTACTTTCGGTACTTAGGGCTCCATGTTTAACCTCGATACGCCTCACTTGAATTCCTGTCGCTAACAATGACACGGAGATATACATTACCAAAACCTCTAGTATCCTCGTCTGCCACTGTTAAAGATGACTAATCCCTAAAAAACTAACTTATGTATATATTTTCATTGTAAAATTAACACTTATTTTCGCGCCTTTTTCGCTCCATGCAATCTTACTTTTACCGCGGTTTAAGATACTAAACGCTTATTGGTTCATTCCACACTTTCAATATGTTACTTTGTTTTACCTGGTCAAGCCCTTTAAAAATGTATATAAAAGACTGGAATCCCAACTATAATCGCACTATTTCGGTTGAAGTAAATGTCCCTTCAATCTCATTGACTTCTTCCAGTGTCAGTTGAGTATCGTGTTGAGAAGTCATTGTTCTATCGTGAATCGTATCGCGTCGGAGCCTTATATCGTTTATATATAAATACTGCAGAACAAAATAGCCACCTTTATGGTCATGTCTTACATTTATATGTCACCAACTAAGATCAAGCTAAACAGAATAGTCAGTTAATATAAGCATGAAAACTGATATATTACTGTGTTATGTGGTTCCATTCGCCACACATCACATCAAGGAGAATAAGAAAATCATACAGTATAAACTCCCATCACGTGATTTAATTAAATTCTCATTCTATTTGACTTTTATACTTAGGATAGTAGCGAATACTTTACACTTTTATTTAACCAAGACAAACAAAACAGTTTTTCAACACACAGTATGATAAACAGATTTACCTGTGGAATATCTGTACTTCTCATTCTTTCCATGAAAACTTGATGATCATAATGGTGATAATGTTGTTCAGAATCATTTGAAAATTCCACTGCTTCTTGTAGTGTACTACATGCATCACTACCTCCAACAGTACTACTGTTAGTACTCTTGTTACCGCAAAAATGAATACGTGCATTCAACTGACGTGTATTCAATCCAAAGTATTGAAGCATTTTGATGAATTTCTTATGACGCCAATATTTAATCTATTATCATTTTGAAAAAAAAAACACTTGATAAAATGAAATGTACACATAGAATATGACAGTTAGGTTTGCAAGCCTAAAACACATTTCGAGCCTTGAAAAAACCATAGAAGTGAATTAATATAGGAGTAAACCTTGGGCTCTGTAGTAGGTTGAAATCTCATTTTAGTCCGTTTATTAGAAATTTGAGTTTCGTCGATGATTTATGTTTAGTGTCGCACAGACTCGAAGATCTACAGGCAAAAACTAACAAGTTGACACAAAAGGCAGAGAAAACGGGACTTCAAGTGGATGTAGAGAAGACGGAGGTCATGAAGATGCCCAACCAACAACAACAAGCAGCAATCACCATTAACGGCAGAAACCTAAAAGAAGTAGTCTCTTTCACCTACACCTATCTGGGCAGCATCGTTTCAACTACAGGCGACACAGACGAGGATGTCAAAGCAAGACAGGCGTTCATTAACCTGAAACCAGTGTGGAGATCTGCTGCACTTAGCACAAAGAACAAGATCTGGATTTTCAACACCAGTATCAAATGAGTCAGTGCTTCCATATAGTTCAGAAACTTGGTACGTCATGTAAAGCATTTCCAACAAACTACAGATATTCATCAACAGCTGCCGCCTACGCTCACTCGATACTGAAGATCAGATGGACAGAATGATAAGAATAAGCAACAAGGAACTCTGGTAACCAACCAACCAACCAAGAACCTATCACCCAACAAATATGCAGAAGGAAGTGGGGATGGGTTAGGCATAGATTGAGAAGGCCGATTGGGGATATCACGTGGCAGGCCCTCGAGTGGAATCCAAGGGGGAAACGACGAGTTGGGCGTCTGAGGGTGACATGCAGGAGATCATGTGGGAAAGAAATGAAAGCTTGTGGGTAGTCGTGGAGCGAGGTTGAAAAGACTCCAGAGAAGAGAGTGCAATGTAGGCGTGCTACTGCAGCCCTATTTCCCATTAGGAACCCAGGGAAAAAATAACAATAAAATAATTAGAAATGTCACACAATGAAACGGTATCATTTACTGGATAACGTTTCAGACACAATTTCTTGCCCATATTCATATCAGGTAATTTCACAAACTCTCCACCTGTTCCAGGTATACGGAAAATTCTACTACCCTTGATCACAGAAAAGGAGAGAAAATTAGGAATACATAAACTGTCTCAAAGTTGTGGAGTTACCTGATATGAACATGGACGACAAATTGTGTCTGAAACGTTATTTAGTAAATGATACTGTTTCACTGTATGACATTTCTAATAAATAGACTAAAATGGCATCAAAGAGGTGTTACTTCACCGAAGTTTGTACTCTTTATTGATTAACTATTTTCAGTAAATTATACTAGGGATAATGACTAAACTTGGATCGAAAAAAAACATGGCTCAAGGTAGAATTCGAATCAAAAGTCGACTTGTTTGCTAACCAAACACTTCACATACCCACCAGTGCCAATAAGCTTAGAATTTTCTCTCAATTACCATCTTCTTATTTTCCAATGTTCCTCCAACTGATGTTAATCCATGATGAAAACCAACTTGATAAATATTTCATTTTGACAAAAAAGTGAAAATATTGTTTATCGAAATCAAGAAAACTTGTGAAGAATTGTCACTCATGGGTTCATGTCATCATATTTTCATCAAAGAGCTACGAGCTCAAACTCCGCCCCATCTATGACGACTTGGATAACCATATAGTATAAAAGCCGTCGGATCAAACAGCACATGGTTAATCGGTCGCACTATTATTATTATTATTATTATTATTAGACTTGTTCATTGGTTTATATCCTCACAATGCGCTCTGTGTTATCTGGGGTGACCATGCTTTATAATTTTTACGATAAGATATGAACCATAGATTTCCTATAGAACTTTATTCACGATAAGAACGGTTGAATTGAATGAGTGAAATGACCTTAATTGATCCTGAATGTGATAAAACTAATGACCTATGGGTTAACCACCAATGACACTTTCTCTCTGAAGTCAGCTATAAGCCTTAAGAATCGCTACTGCATTATTAGAAATTGGATTCTGGAAGTGTCACTTATAAACAACAACAACTCAACTAAGTGTACCTTATTCTTTAAATATTCTTTATATCCCTTCCAGATATCAACACAAACTATGATGTGAGGAATTCACACCTAAACAACAGGTAGATTTGATGCTTAGAACCCCATAAAGGTTATTAGAGACATTAGATTGAATCATGTTAACCTTAAACGAAATTCATTGAAGCCTACTAATGATAATTTATCAAAATACTGATTTATGGACATAATCCAGTCATCAGAACATGGAGTCAGTCAAGGCGTGAATAGCTGAGTGGTAGAAATTTCTGATTTCAACAACGATAAGTCCAAATTGGAATCTCCCTAAGAATATAAGGTTCCTTGAGACTGAAAATTCGCTACATTGATCAGTGACAAAAAGTATGAAATCTATGTTGACGGAATAATACCAATCAACACCTTACAATTAACACTCGATTTATTCATACACATTCGTTGGTCAAATTCAATGCACCCTATGAAGATGTCATAAACAACTTATAACTTCTTTCAAACTCTAGGTAATATTACGCAACTCAGATGAAGCAGTCAAATGAAAGAAAAAATCTTTTTCAAAATAGGGTTAATGATGTATAGGCAGTAAAAAATAACTCACCATATCTACTTTCTCATTAGTATTGTTTTGAAGGTTGTTCAAGGATGATATCGGTAGGATATCTGTACCAGTGGTACTTCGATGGAATACTTTCCACCACTGTCCAACTAAGCAATAATAAGTTATTAACTTTTTATAAAATTCTAATTCAATTGTATTCTCATGTGTATAAAATATACACGGGCATATTACATTCAAGTAGACGCTGCAAATAGATGATTCAAGCTGTAATGCAAAAAGAACATGAGAGAAGAAAGAATAAGACTGAAAACTAAGCATATGCAAACGCATAGTAGACACCTACTCGAAGCTTAGAGGTCACTGTAATAAGCAGACAATAGAAACCAGCGGTCCGAGACTCTAGGTGATATGGATTAGAATCTGTCAGTGGCCCAGATGTATCCACCCTTTATTTTAATCGCTATGCTGAACTCAGCATTTTCTCTTTTCTTCTTCCTATCTTTTGTTGCTTTCTACTGCAGTTGACTGATTCTTTCTTATCGCCTTGTTACTTGATGTGGTGACATAAAGTGTGGCAACTTGTAGTGTTAAGCAGTAATGCCTGGTCCTATGTTGATAATGACGATGATGATGATGAGAAAGCCAAATAACATTAAAACCAACTCAGCGTCAAAATAACCGCTCATAAAGAAACTTTCATACGCAACGAAATCAAAGTGCTTAATCAGTGAAACGTATTATACGACTAAGTTTGTACATTGATGAGGAGAAAAACCGTTACTTTAGCATAGAGCACAACATTATGCAAATGACTATGTTACATGCTACTGTATTTTCCATCTTATATGTTTATGTGCACAGAAATATAGTTGATTGTGTTGGAATGTCTGTCTACACAAGCCGTTTGAAAAACAACTGAACTCTTAAATTTTGGTTAGTACAGCCAAGTTTAAAAGAATGGGTCGTCAGTTCGAACCCAGCTCCATTTACGAAGGTTTGGGCAGCCAGGTAGTATCATTAACCTTTACGCAATAGGTGTGGCTCGTTTCATACTGCACGAAAGTGCATGTAGTTGTTGATTGCTTGTTTAGTTTTCGCATACATAGCTTTATTTATGCAGTATAATACTCAAATGATATTCGTAACCATTACCATATTTCAATGTCTAATGCGATACCAAAACGATGTGCCTAAAATATCCATTAGGAAACGAAAGACAAAGAACAAGTGACTCAATGAAGAGCCTCTTCACAGTAGTTTCATCTTCGCAGCTGCACAATCGTAAATTTACACTTATTCTAATTCCATGTCTACGGGTGCGCGACGAGACTGTCCAAAAGGTATTACACAAGTGCATCACTTTCTTCAAATACACTTTATCTTCTACCATACTATGCGAACTGTTTTTTAAGAAATTGGAAAACTGAGGGCATCGGACAGCTGTTTCGTCCTATTACGAGACTTCCCAACAGTGTGCACCCACGACCCTACCAGCGATCGAACCAAACACCTTCAGAACCCGCGGCCAGCACGTAATTGTTGATACAGTGGTTCGGAGTTCGATGGTCCATATTTCCTACTTCTGTCAGTCTGATCCCTGACGCAATCATCGATGTCCACTGCTGAGGAGTCCCATACTAGGATGGAACAGCTGTCCGGTTCCCCCAGGTTTCAATGTTTCTTCGACTGATGTCAGTCCATGATGAATGTTACCTTAAACATAAAATTCTCATAAACCTCAAAATTAGTGTTTTTAAACATATTCTTCAGTACGAAAGTTTCAAATAAGTTTTCAGTAGCCTGTTGATCATATCAAAATTTTACCTGTTATCTACTGTGTACCTAAAAACGTTCATGTTATTCTTCATAATGAACAGATGCATTGGATGAATAACCATTGAAAATCAGTAAACAAATACAACTCCCAAAAGTGGAGCTAATATGTAACATCTATTAGAATATTCGACAAAGTATTTTCCTCAGTTTTGAATACACTCGCTGATGAGTGTCGCAAAACAAGGACGATGAGGGGGTCCCCATGGGGCTCCCTAACTATATAAACTGCAGCACAATATCTATTTTACTTCACTTAGTGACGACGACTCACGACTAGTCGATACAATTCTATTAGCACCAAGAAGTAGATAATAAAAAATGACGATGTTCAGTGTTCGATGAACTCTTCATCACACAGCTTGTTAAACTACTTGATAACCAGCTGCTATAGAAAATACTCCCCACAATTGCTAACGTAAGGCTGAAGGACAGAAAGATTTACAGAATGCATTTTACAACCTCTACAAAATCATAATGATTACCAATAACCTTAAGCTGCAGATACTTATAATGAATATTGTATCGTGTCTTCTCCATTAATTAGTCAGGTCGCAAATCAACTAGGAATCTGTTGAATGTTGGTGGTGGTGTCCGTACACCGTTAGCGGCTATAGCAGTTTTCGAATCATAACAATGATGTAGTTTCATTTACTGGATGATGTTCCGAGCAGAAATTATTGCTAATAGTCATACAACTTTCAATATTGGATTTTTATAATTCCATCATCCCATATTCTTTGTATCCAGTAGCAGCAAAATTTCCCAACAACAAATTAAAGCAGTATAGGTATTTATTAAAAGCTCAACTAATTTTTCAATAGGTTTGATGAATCTAAGGTTACTAGTAAATACAAAACTGAATCTAACATTGTCAGTGTGAAACATTCAATATTTAGTAAATTAAAAGCATCTGATGAGAACAATGATAAACTATTAATGGTCTCGCACTGAATTCACCTTAATGTTCTCTTCCTACTACTTTTAGGAAACTCAATTACCCGGTATACGTTTTTATGGATTAGGTTGTAAGTTTGTATTAATGTTTAAAGGATTATGATACTATTCAGTCGGTCAAATCAATGAGCCATGTCTCCATACGTCTTCCAAATTATTTTCGTGTTACAAAGAAATCAGTATATAACGATCAAATCCCTGACTAGTCAAATGAAAAGATCAAAATATAATGTCATAATCTTATTCTCGAATATTTACAACAAAGTCATCTAAGCTATATGTTCATAACAATCACTTACTTGTTCAGTTATTTCAATGAGGTTAACTTTAGCCTCGACTAGACAATGTTTAGCCTGTGTACTCCAACCATTCAGTAGACGTAAATGTTCTAAATAAAATCGGAAACCCAACAGAACAATACTTGTGGTGGTCGTAGTTGCAGCATTGGTATGATACTGGTAATAGAATGATCAAGTTTTGTTGAATGTGACAACAAACACGGCTCCGATGATATCTGAGAAATTCCAAAGTCATCATGTAAACATTTCATATGTTTAGGTAATTCGAATTCCATGGATAAATGAGATGATATAAAATAAAACTGTAGACTACTGTAAAAAGAGGAAAAAACGTTTTCAAGAGGATAACTATAAATGAGATGCAAAAAATTCAAACCAGTAGTCAGTATTCACTCAAATTAGCAAGTACAGATATTTGAATAATACAGTGAGTCGAAGAAATAGTAGAAAGTAAATAAATATCCAGCTCACGTCACCTCCAACAGTGTAAATCAACTCACTTATGCTTGTGGAAGCAAGGACTGAAGGAAGGGTGTCTGCTCGACTTTATTAGCATGTTCCAAGAAATCAGTATCTGAAAGGTAGTAAGTTCATTACCAGCGCAACCACCAGGCACTCGATGAAAACGGGACATCGAAATAGATATTTCTTAATCCTTCAGGATAGTCAACAAATATTACGGTTTGCTGAAGCTCTCGCTGTCTAACATTTTCAATTCAGACTGTAATCAACCTTTCTTTACCCTGGTAACTGTATATAACTTTTTGCCTATATGTGTGTATAGTTCTCTTTTTTGATTGTATCATCTCTTCATTCATTACTTACTGACTGTTAATCAACCAACCTAACGTTTTTCCAATTTTTTCCCCATAATTGTGCAACTTAATATGTCTTTAACAACCCCTTTTTTTACACTCCTGTCTGCCTGTCCTCCACTCGCCCTCCTCTTCACAGCTCCAGAATTTTTTGTTTCATCAGATATATATTGTTATTGATTTTGACTAAGATTTGTGCTTCTTATTCCTGTATTTCCTCGACTCACTACTCTACTGATAATCATGGATTGCGAATCTTCATTTATTTCTACATATTTAAAGTATGGTATGTGATTATTACTACCAAAATTTCATTTAAATGGTAGGGTGTTTTCAGCTGATGAAAGGCTATGAAATAAAATGGGTTCATTTTATTCTGCAAATGTCCATATTTTCGCATTATTCAAATTTATCAAGGACTAAAACTATGTATAGTAGATGCATATCGGTAAATACAGTCTATTGGATCTAGATTTCACGCTTTCCTATGAATATGATACATCTACGAGTATGGTAAAATCTGCAGTCTACATCAGACTTAGACTTATGTCACCAGGCATTGATACAAGACACTGGGCCCCTGAAAACAGAAATGCGATAGCGAATCAGACCTAAGAAGGCTGATTAGCAATCTATTTCCAATTCCACAGAGCTGACCGAAATTGATTAACAAACTGGCAAAGCTTCTCACTTCGACATTGAAATATACGCTTTCAAATATTGGGAGGGATATGGTCTTCTACAAGCTTGCAGAAACACACTCACTATGAGTACCACAGGCGCAAAAACCAGTTAAGCATAACTTCCTGTTGACTGACTTCTAACATTTAATACTGATATATAGTGCAGCGAAGTCTCGTGTCACATAGCTTACTGTTTACTCACACAGTTAAATTGATCGACTGAAATCAGTCAGCACTTAGGATTTGACAGCTACACCGAATGCCAGCACATTTCACGACAAGATTTCATCAGTCCATCACAACCAGTGAAACAACACGGAAAACTTAGATAAATTATTGCCAAAACAGATTTATTATTTGTACTAAGTGCGTGAGAATGCAAACCTATATTAAAACAATTCATGTAAGTGAAACACAAGGTAGAAATTTTACGGTTTTCAACTAGAACTTTGCGACATTTGCAGTATTAACGGACAACCTCAGAATTATGAATATGCTTAATTTCAGACATCTGAAATATGCTCATTATCTAGAACTTGAGAGAAAACTAGGATACTATAGATTCTACATACGCTAGTCTTAAACTAGCATAAGCTATCAGGTTTGTGAAAACGGCACACAAGCCGAGTGTCAAACTATCGTCTACTCCAATGCTCAATGTTAGCCGAAGTAGGTTTGCATTAAAGAAGGTTGAGTACTCTAACCAAGACTTGGTACTAGTTCATGAAGTCTCTAACTGCTGGTCCAAGCCGTGTAGGCTGCTGTGTTGGGTTTCATGAGATGATAGGGATCAGCAGTTGGAAACTCTTGATAATATGGCTAAAAATAGTTTAATGGTGCAGACGTGTACACTCTTTGTCGTCCCTAAGGTCTTGAAAAACCTGACTAATCTTCATCCATTTATTCTTTCTCCCCTCACACAACTCTTGTCTACTTTAACGTCAATCATTTTCTATCCACCTTTTCTTTGCATGTTGCTGTAAAGTGTGACAGCTTGAACTGATGCACATCTGTTGCAGGTTTGGTGTTGATTCGTCAGTCTGGCTGACGGAAAGTTTAATACAACTGAGGAACGGATGCTTCGCTGAAAAACAGACCCAAGATAAAACCAGAGGTGTACACTTTATCAACAGTCTAGAAAATCATTGGCACCACTAATGCGCATATATAGCTTCGATGCAACATTTTGGTAAATAGAGATGGTGATTGGCTGTATTTGCTTTTCGCACGAGGCACATGCATTCAAGGTTGAAATAATTTAAACAACCTCAAATTCCAGGGACCGGATATTTGAAAAAGGCCTAAATTCCTCTTTCACTTTTTAGCACGAGAAGGTATGAGTGACAACATAAGTAGACATGAAGAACATGAGATCTAGAATAACGGCGAGTCACCCCCAATTTGCCACAGTTCACATCAGTACACCAAGGTTATCAACAATAGAAGAGAAAGGAAATTGAAAATAAAAACATCCTTAAGTCAAGAAAAAAGGCAATTAAGTGGAATAAGGACGTACGATACTACCGTTAAGATTAGGATAAGGTATAAATACATATACGCTAGTTATATCACCTACACCCTCTGACTATCGATTTTAGTTCTCATGTGGATCCTGACACGGAAGGCTACATTTGCATACACAACCAAGCTCAATAACCAGAGCCATCATAGAATAATGCTACTTCATTATCAGCCCATCCTTAGCCTTTTCGCAAACCTAACCAGTGATCATTTATGAAAATAACTTCATGAAGAGGAAAAGGAAAAAGGAGGAGGAGGAGGAGGAAAAAGGAGAGTGGTAAGAAGAACTGGGAGAAGGGGAGGACGGGGAAGAAGGAGAAGAAGGAGAACGGGAAGAAGAGGAGGAGAACTGCAGTATACACAGAATACTCATAACCAACTGTGTTTACCTTTTAAAAGAATATCTGATTATTTCGAAATGAAATCCCATTTCAGGAATGGATGAAATCTGTTGATTTCGGTCATGCTGTCGCCTGTGATTAGAATTTGAAAATTGCAAAGGTAGAAATGTGATACATAATTTAATTGAGCTGTTAGTTTGTTGAACGCATTGAAAATGTGACTGAATTATTTCGTTATCACTGCTGTTATAAAAACTAGAAGGTTTATTTGATTTTAACAAATTCAAAGTGTTATCACAGGACTGTTCTAAAATGGTAGAAGAATTATCAGTATGAAATAAATGATCTAGTGTTTGACAATGATCTTGATGACTGTGATGATAATTAACCAGATGACAACAGGTGCATGATGACATTAATGAAGATGATGCTTGTGTTGGTGAAGAGAATGCAGAAGAGGTAGTAGACGACGCTGATGATAGAGTAGTTGTTCGAATAGCGAAAAGTTTCCAATTCAAGAGATCAATGAGCTCTATATATCGAAAAGAAACAAAGTATTGGTTTTGTAAAGTCAAAACTTTAACGATTGAAATGTGATCATAATTCATCGATTTAAAACAAAGCTTGTAACTATCATGTTCCATTGACAGATCTACAACTGCATCAATTCCATGACTTCTATTCGCCTCTTATTACCAATACTGAAAACTGATCAGGAAGTAAATTGCTCTGATAAAAAACAATACACATGTCACCTGACTGCAAAACACAAGCTATGCGTACTTAACGCTTTACTGTCAGACATAAATGTCTGTATTACTGGAGAAAGTCCTCACTAGCATATCCCACTCTGGTTTGTGTTATACAACAATCAGTCTTGGTCATATTGTGTTCTCTGAGCTGGATTGTTTAATCGTGGAGCTTTCGTCATCTTGCCAGACGACCTCATCGACATAAATCAACAAACGCATCATCCTACCGTACATAAAGGATATATATCAGAAATCACGACAAAACTACTGAAACCACTTGATGGAATTGGTGTGACTCACAAGCAAACACATTCTTTCCAAACACTATTATGCAGACCAAAGGATGAGACAACCAAAGAAGACAAACTGAATATCATTTACAAATTCAACTGCAATAACTGTAGTTAACACTACATTGGACAAAGTGGTCACCCTCTTCGCCTTCGTCTACATGAACACCAATTGGCTACCAAACGTCACGACATTTCATCACTCATTTCAATACACGTGGATAACAATTACGGACATGTATTCATGTTCGACAATGTAGAAATTTTGGATGGAAAGAGGAAACACAAAGAATATCAGAGAATTCCTAGAAGCTTGGCATTCAGGTCAGTCAGTCAGTCAGTCAGCAATCAATGGAGAGATGTATAGACACAGACCCAATCTACCAAACAATAAGAAAAATGATAAACGACAGAAAGGTCAGAGGTCAAGCAGAGGGCAGCCAACAAGAAAATCTATACTGTCAATGACACAACAATCGAAGGAAACAACCAGTCACAGACCACTTCGTCAGGGCAAGCTACTGAAGCAACCACGGAGAGATATTGATAGCTCACTTCATACTGAAGTTAGTGCTAGTGATGTCGTCTAGAAAGACAATGAAAGTTCCACGATTAAGCAACTCAGCTCATAGAACACAATACAACCAAGACCATCCACATGACCTACAAATATTCTCCACCATTTCACAACATTCAGTCTCGTGCACCATCACTATTCATACATTCCCTGACAATTAAGTAGTTCTTAAACACCTTTGGTAAAGAACTACAGAAAGTGAATGCAACATGTCGCTGTTAGATTCATATAAGTGCTCTACAGTATCAAAGGCAGCTAGGTAATGCTTTCTCTCAATATCTGTGTTACAGTTGAGTAATGCAGTTTTGCTCTTAGTTTTGATACCAGTCTTTCACTGATAAACCGTTCTATGCTATGAAACATTTCCAATCGATGGCGGTTTGTATGGCCTTCCAATTTCGCTGCTGATTATATATTACGAGCAGATCCGACTTACGGTATCTAAAGCGATCTCATAAAGCTCTTTGTTTCCCTTCTACTGACCATCTTCTTGGGGTTTTACGAAGGGAAAACCATGGATTTACTTTTCCTGGATTGCTCCTTTTCATATACTAGGTGACATTTGACACACTGGTAAATTGCTATCCGCCTGCGTGGTTATTACTACTACATATACGATGTAATAATTGGTGAAAAATCACTACTGTTTGTTCATTCTTGATACACAACACTCAACTCAAGATATGTGTCAAGCGTTTAAATCCATCTCATCTATTTTAGTCTAGGAACCTTAGCAATATCGTTTTCCTACGTGTATCAGATGAGCACCAAGGCTTGTTACGTATTGAAAGTCAGTTTGCGAAATGAGTCCAGCCTAATTCCTTTCAACTTCAACACAGAAGAAATATCTCCCTAAGATGAAGTAACTGAAAACACTTTTCAAAGTATAGAAACGTGATAAGTGAGTGAATAAACACCTCATTGTACTAAAACTATATATACTATGTGGATAACTTCTTTCTCTTAAATAATGAAACTGCTAATAAGCAAACACTTTCGTTTTTATAATCTCATCTATACTCAAATACCATTTTTACTCTAAAAAAACTTATACATCTTTTCTTGGAGGTCTATTACGAAAGCACCAGACTAGAATGTTCGGTATTTCTACCACAGATTTTACTAGCATTTAAGAAATTGAGTGACATTCTTTTATTCAGGCACGATTCTACCTAAAGTATGCTGTTTCACTTGTTATTTCTGATCTACCTTTAGCGTGATCAGATAGCAATTTTTATAAAATCCAACCACTTAGCAAACAGTTAAAAACGTCTCTATTCACAAAAGAGTTTTTACAACGGATCGACACCAACCAGAAAACTAATGAAACCTTAAATGCATTGAACTTTCCCATTAGTGTTCCCCCACAACCCCTTTTAAGATGGAGTCCATGAACACCAGGTCTCGAGAAGAAAATTTCCTTACCGTAATTACGTCGACTAGCCGTAGCAACAACAAACGGTACACAGACAGACATATAAACGAAATCAACGTACAGTGTACAACACATACTTGAAGTGTCTTAGTAAGCAGTACAAACAAGATGAATGAGTTCTACGCCTATATCATCAGACACCGTTGCTCAAAATCAATGTGTGAAAGTGATAAGCTAACATCCTGTTTTCTTAGAAATCAAAATCTGATGTCTTTCCACAAGCTCTTTTTGATATTTACTTCATACTGAACTGATTGCCCAGTATGCATGTGATGATGAAGTCGGTTATAGCCCCATAAATAGAAATTCTTTTTCCCCAAAATAAGAATGATTTCAACAAAAGTTATATTATTAGTTTTTTCAACTAACCTTCCAAAACAGCGACACGTAATCCATGCAATTTCAAATCGACTGATTTAAGAGACCAACTTGTTAAGGTAGCAGCACTGTTGATACTTTGAAGTTCCAAGAGAATACTAGTAGATAGTCGTAATCGAAGATGGCCCAGTATATAACAGTTCTCAAACATAATATCCCAATTTTTATTCAAGTCATTGTGTAGCCAATTTTCTGAAAATATCGGCATACATAGTAACTTCCCACAAATATGAGATATGCGTAAGTTTATATGAGCCCTTGAAATAATGAAAAATGGACTAACGAGTTAGTCATGAATAAAATACTTGAAATCAAATTTAATCACAAATAACAGAAAGTTATAAATTTGCTTCATTAAGTACATAGAATCAGATTCTAGCATGCAGACAACTAAAAAAAAAGAGATATGAACAAATCATTCCGTCAATTTCAACACGGGATCTAGGATTGCTATGTTACGGTTCAAGTTGCCACAAACGTCATATTAACAAAAGATGCGGGAATCGAAATGGTATCGTCAAAAACCTTAGAAATAGACAATAAGAGCAGGAAATCGGATGAAGAATCGGATCAAATCGAAATCCACTCACCAACCATGAGCATGTTCAGTAAGCCATACCTATTGCATGAAGGCTGATAATACTATCGGGAGGCTGGGTTCGAACCCGCGGCCCATCGGTGCCTAAACAACTGAATGACAACTCCAGATAGCATAAAGCAGGTTCGTAAATGTGATACAGTAGAGCATTAATACATTTGTTTCACTGCCACTGTTTCTAAGCTATATATCACACAGTTTCCAACCATTGGTTTCAGCTGTCTCGTGCATTTATACTAGCAATTACATTTAAAGTTTACGAAAGATTTGCGAAATCAAAAATACTGTTGAAATCTACAGATCAACCTTAATGGCTTATAACTACTCAGATCGCTCAGTAGTAGTAGTATATTTCGCTGGTTCGTGACACTTTTGTGTCTGAGACCATACAGGGTAATTTCCAACGAAAACTCTGTTGATATCACAGCTGGACAGTTGGAAAACTACTCAACTGTGAGATATGTCAACCTGGATCGTGCAATTTGTAAATCATTTGCAAACTGATCATCCTATTTTAGACACACCAAAGCATGCAAACCAGCTAGAAGTAATTTGGATCCATAAGCTCAATTTTTCCGGGTACATCGCTAATGAGCTTGGTCGGAAACACCCAAAAACGGCCGTCTGGTATTTGGATCACATTGATCTATCTGGCGGAATCTACAGACCAGTCTGAGGTGCTCAGTAGCATAATGTTTCAAATTGTTGAATGTAAGCTACGTCTAAGACTTCCAAGTGTTCGCATACAACCATATGATCATCGAATATGCGACTTATTTCACTGAAATAACATGCAAAAATATACAAAATATGCTCCTGCAGTGACGAATGACTTCGATATTTGAACAAGAAAATCAAAGAATGAAAATTCTACTGCTGTGAAGAAATTAAGGACTTCTTAGGTCAATAATAACTCAGTGAGAATTCCCTCCATAGAAGCAAAAATCTCCAAAAGTAATGGTCCAAGTAGACTTGTGGATCTTTACAATACAACTTGTATAAAGACAAATATGAAAGTATGTTGGCTGTCCATCCAAATAATGTACAAAAGTAAAAACTGTCAGGTTAGGGTCGTCATTTTAGGAATGATTCATAGTGGCAGTATCTGTCAAAATTCATCACTCTACCACTTTTGAAAATAATAAAGATTTTATGGATATTCATTTGTTCGTTTTTTCTGTTCATAAATTCCGCCTTTTTATTTCTATTCATTTCTACTTCCTTTGGCATTTTGAAATGCGACAACCTGAATAACTGAACAATTCTATAAAGACCAAATTATACTGAGGTGAAACAAACTGTTTAGCGAGCAGATTAGCTATTCATATTGTTAGGGATGGCTAATCCCAAAAAACACTGACTTATAATGTGTATTTAAACAAGGTAGTGAGAAGACGAAAATTATTTGAAACATATGATGGTGATGATGGCGCTTTACAATTCGAAAAATCTGATCACACATGAACTTAATTGATCCTTTTCGTAAATTTTCATATAAGTCAACAGGAAACATAGGAATAAAAAGAGGTAGAGAAAAAAGCAGAATCTAAATCACATCATTCTTGGTATGAAAATTAAAACCAATACTACCAAGTTAAATTCAATATGAGTATAAATTGTTTTTATATGCATGAAGATGGGTTTGAATTTACGGATGGTAAGAGCTTCAATGAATTTAAGAACTCGGTACTGAATACATTTTTATATAGTACTTTCAAAGCTTTTTTCATGTCTACCCTGTGACTAGTTTCTAGTATGTGTTTAGCAGTAGATGAAGATGTACGTTTGTCACCCATACTTATCGGTGTACATATTTTCATCTTTAAACTTAAACCTTATTTTCGCGCCGTTTTCACTCCATGCAATCCTACTTGTTTTTACCACAGTTTAAGATACTAAACGCGCTGATTGTTCAATTTTGCAATTTGAGTATGTTACTTTGTTTTCCCTGATTAAGGTCCTTAGAAAGTATATAAAAGACTGGACTTTCAACTATAATCGCACTATTTCGGTTGAAGTAAATATCCCTTCAATCTCATTGACTTATTCTAGTGTCAGTTGAGTATCGTGTTAAAAAAGTCATTGTTCTATCATTTATCTTATCGCGTCGGAGCCTTATACCGTTCATACAAATATATCAGAGAACAAATCACACATAAATATTAATTCGAAACAGCAGAAACAAACTTTCATTCAAACCAATAGCATCTTGACAACTATCAACTATTTAGCATTAGTGAATAACAGAGATGAACCCGATGATCACTGGTTCCATTACAAAACTTATTTTTCAAGAAGGCTATCAAATATCAAGTCTAAAGAAAGAATGTTCGTTTTTTTTTTACTCCTCTATGAGTAGAATAATATAGTACTGCCAATTAATATTTATGATGATATTTAGGATGTCTCGTATTCATCAAATGTCAATTTATAAAACTATCGATTTTCCATGTGTAACTGCTTTTGGGGTACACACAAGTAAATGAATCATGACTCGTCAGCCTATGTGTTATGTAGAACAGAAAATGAGATCTACACAAATTGGTAACAATTCACTAACTGTTTACTAACCTTTGAAATAATCCTTAACTAATTAAACTTACCTTCTAGAAAATAGTTTATGGTTGTGTTATCAGAATCGTACTATTTCAATGAATTTTTCAGTTGATCCTGCTATAAAAAAAACTCACAAAATAATATTCACATCGCTAGCAGCTCTAAGCTATGATATTTCTTTACCTAGATTATCGAAGCACCCATCATCAGAGTGCAGGTATTTAGCATCAAAATCTTGAGTGAAAGATAACTGGAAACCCTAGTCGTGTTACATACACATAAAAAACCTGGTCCACAACATCTTTTCTCCAATGAACTTCTTTTACCAGGTAGATATGAACTGAGAAATACAATATATGGAGCTACACGAAATAAAAATCTGTTGACTTTTCATCATCTTTTTATGTAGAGGGATTCGTTTCGTTGTAGAACGAGTAGTTTTCAGTAGGGTAGAGAAAAAAAGGGCTACTTGGAGCTTCAACATCCAAGTCCTTCTTTTGGTTCAGAGCTTAGTCAACAAATTCGTAAGATAGGTGTGTATGAATGGTTGAAAATAGCCACATTTGATCAATAGATAACTTATACTCTTATACGAATAATTCTTGTCTGCAAACAGCTTAGTATTGTTGTAAAGAAGAGAATGAGTTAGCATGAGGTTTTGAATACATTCTGAAAAATACTTCGCTACTCCCGAGGTGATGACATATTACAAAGAAGCCCAAAATAAATGAACTGCTCCTATCCGTTGATCTCGCATATCCTTTGAACCATCTTGTTCAAGTTGTACTTCAACACCCGAAGAGTTTACGTTCATATATGAACTATAGTAATAAGATGAATTGTGGTATACTCACCCTAATCAAAGGGACAGAAGCTGAATTTTATTGAAAACGATAAAGAAAAGGCAGAGGTTATGGCAGGATATCTCGCTGAGGTCTTTACACAGGAACCTCCTGTGGACACTAATTCAACAGTAGGAGCATCGATGTCCAACAGAATAAAATCTGTGGATATCGATCGCAATGATGTATTTCGGATATTAAGTAATCTCGACGTGGAAAAAATCAACGGGACTGGATGAGCTGCACCCAAGGCTGCTCAAAAAGCTTGCACCCTACGTAGCCGGTCATTGACTACTGTATTTATACTCTCCCTCAGTGAAGGCACACTCCCCCATGACTGGAAAGATGCTATAGTCAGGCCTATCTACAAGACAGGTTTTAGGCAGTACCGATCAAACTACACACCGACAAATTTGTCTAGTACTGTAGTAAAAATCCTAGAAAAGGTAATCAAGAAGGGCATTACAGTCCACCTAGAGAGCAACGCTGTACTGTCTCCTTCGCAATATGACTTCCGCAGAAGCTTTCATTGCTTGACGAACCATCTCACAGTCAAAGAAAGTTGGATTGAGTCAAAGGATAGTAGGGTGAAAATATGTGTCATTTTCATAGACGTGGTAAAACGTTTGACAAGGTACCTCATTGGAGGTTTCCAAGCAATCAGGAAAGTTTCGGGATCACCAGCATTCTGCTTGCATGGATCATAGATTTTCCTGTTAGCAGAAGACAATGAGTGAGGATCAATTCCTCTTGGGGGTCACTAGAGAGTGAAGTGCCACAAGGCACAGTCATGGGTCCCCTGCTACTTCTTCTATACGAAAGTGAGCCGCTAAACATCATGAAATCCCCCAAGGCTTTTTAAGCTGATGTAAAAGTCTGGTGAAAAATTAGGGATGCTAAGGAGCAGCTTGCTTACCTGGTTAGAGAAATGGCTGATGCCTATCAACGAAGGTAAGTGTATGAGCATGCACATGGGGCACACAGATGGCAACACCTACGATATTGGTGGGACTCCTGTACCGTCATTACTGGCCCATAATGACTGAGAGTCACAGTGGGTTATGAGTTGAAGACCACAGAGCATTGTCGATTGGTAGCAGCACGGAGTTTTAGGATATCTTGGGCATTATGCAAAACGTTTACAAAAATAAGTGGTGATGCGTTCATCATCTTATACACTTCCTTAATTAGGTCTGAACTAGAAAACTGTACACAGGTGGCAAATTCTTGTCTGAAAGGTCCATCAGACTTTCTGAAAAGAGTTCAGAGGGCAGTCACTTGCATGATCCCTGCGATAGCTGGTCTAACCTAAGAAGACTGACTTCAGGAGCATAAACTTTTCTCCTTATCCTATTGCAGACAGACAGGAGATTTAATCATGCTACACAGGACTCGAAGAAATTATTTTAGACCTGGTCTACCTTCTCTTTCCCTTCCCACTACGTCGGGACACCTCAGGGGACATAGAAAAAGCATACAAAATCAAAAGACAAGCGTAATCTCTGTAGGGTACTGGTTATCGCGTCAAGTAATCATCTGCTGGAAATGACTCCTAGAAGTAACGGTGTCAGCGTCATCAATTAACTCGTTCAAAAGACGACTGGACAAACACAGAGATCTACTGGAAAAGGATTAATACAGGCTCATAGCCTTCAATCCTCAAACAACAAATCTGAGTCTGTATTATCTTCGAATATGCAACCGAGAGAATTAACAAGTAGGTATGAAAACAATAGTAAAGTTCTCATCAATAATAAACGAGGGTAAAACACAACCAAAGAAATAAGGATAATACTCAATAATAACGTACTGTCTCATGTTGACATGAAATAACATCGTCAATTTCGTCAACTGGAAAGTTAACGCAAATTTACTGGTCTTATTCAAAGGGAAATCAATTTTGCGACCGGACTGAATAGGCTGGTAGCCACCACCACGGCCGCTAGAACCACTCATGTGAGCGAAACAAACGTGACAGACAGAGTTGTTGCTATTCACATTCTCCTGGAAATTCAGAAAATAAGTTTCATCCAGAAACTTGGTCGACAAGACTATTATTTGTACTGATGAAATGTCGACTGAAAGGAACTGGAAGAAAATCGAGAATAAATAGATAAGTGACTTGTCAATCTTTAAGAGAAACATATATATTTCAGTAAGGAAAATGGTTGTTGGAATCGAGGGAAATTTCCAAGATTCATCTTGCATTATGAAGTTGATGTAGTAACAGTTACAAACTGTTAATCAAGAGGGCAATGCTGGATGCAGTAGATAATATTTATCGGAAAACTAAAATCTGTATTGTATCCTTTTTTAAGGAATATTCATCAACCAATTGCTATCACTCCTTGTATTTCCAGGTATAACGCTGCAAGCTAGGCCTATGGACTATTATATGCAGCTGTCAACACACTTATATAAAAAAGCATCCTGCAACATTCGTTACTGTTTCATTTTTATACCGCATAACTTAGCAAATGAACCTAAGCATAATAGTCACACAGAGAGAAATCGTATCCATTACTAAACAGTGATTCTTCGAAAGATGTTTTAAACACTAAAGTAAACGCATTTACAACACAGGAATCCGATTAAAGGTCTTTAAAACACCTGGTGTAGTAAGTAATTTTTATTCCATGTCTACGGTATCGCATGGTGTATCAGTTTTTATTAAATTAAAAATTGAACAAGAAGTTACGACAGCTTATCAAGTGGTGGTGGCCATCTATCTTGCCTGATATTTCATTAAGTACAATATGAGACCTCAGATTCTAGTTAGAGAAGCCTTGGTCAATTGTCAGATGCTATACAGCGTGCATTTCCTTTGCTTTTCTTCTCACCCACATTTGCGATCAATCACTCACATGTTTGCCAAATAGTAAATAATTAACCAACGACTCCATTGGAATTGTTGCTAGCATCCAGAAATATCGACTTGGAATAAAAACAGTAACATGATAATTTTAATTATTAAAAAAGGCGTCACACTTTGATGGGTAAAATATATAGAGCACTGAAACACATATACCTAAGAACATCGTCCCTATACTACTGTATTCATCAAGGATTTCTTTAAACAAACAACACACGGCTAGATAGTTACCTCCAGGATGTCATTAATCAGCAGGTAGAAATAATCCAGAAAGTATCACAATTGTAAATTATCCAACATTAAGGGAGAAAGTTAAGTTGAGAGAAATACAATGGAAATGAAAATACTAACAGCTTTACGAACCCAAGGGAAAGACAAGATAAAAATCAAGGTAGAAAGCAAACGACATAATATGTGGAGATCCAAAATTCGTGTAAATATGAAAAGATGCTGTACCCTAGTTATTTCAGTGCCAGATTCAGATACGTTGGAAAATAGGAATGTTATTGAATACATACAAGGCATCCACTGTTACGCCTACACTTGCTACTCTTTTGAAGCAATGGATAGTGACCTAACAGGAAGAAACAGCCATTGTGATCTACGTCACCAAATTTTGTGACAACGAAAGCAGTACTTAAACAAACAGGATCGAGAAAACTGCTCTCCAAGCCCATCAAAAGACTACTGCTTCAGTGCCCGACCGATAGCTGCTACCTTGACGTGGTGGTCGGGCTTGCATATCACAATGACCCAACGAGCTATGCTGGTGGAACGCTTGTTCCCTCGAGGTCCTACCATACCAGAAAGGTCTGTTGGGTAGTGGTTAGACGAAAAGCAGTTACCGTTATAGTGTAAATTGCTACACTATGATGGGGGTCTGAGGGCGAAGTCGTACTGCTGCTAGCTGGATGGGGTGTGACAGCAGTAAGGTGTTTCCCTTGGATGACCAGCAGTGCCAAGCTGATGCTGCCTTCTCAGTGGAAGGGGGGGTTAGAAAAGGTCGGCCCCAAAAATAACACACTCCACCACGCCCCACGGTCTGCCGGGCCGGCGGTGTTGGTTCACTTGTCGTTTCCTTTCGACCATCCGGCCCCAAAAATACAAAAATTCAAAATAATCATACTCAAAAGGCTGGGTGTGACAGGCCTCAAGCAGATGTCCGATGGGCTCTGCGGTCACACAAATCTCTTTCAGGTACCTTAAGAAGAAATAGCCTTCCACGGTGTGGGCAGCCGGGAAGTGTCAACCGCCCTCACAACTCTGTCAGCACCCAAGTTTCTTCTGACTGCTATCCTCCTCCTCCATCATTACCTTCTAATCTTCCTTCACGTCTCTTAATTAATGATGCTGCATCATCTTCAATTTCTCCTACCTCTGCAGCCTTCGACAACGATCTGAGTCCACAGAACAGCATCCCTGGTCTCCTTAAACCACGCTCCAAATTACATATTGGAGCCTTCAATGTCCGCACCCTCCGTCAAATTGGCCAACAGGCTTCGTTGGCAAAGACTCTAGCAACTCGGGCATGGATGTGTGCTGTGTTTGTGAGACACGCATACAGGACCCAAGTGTGGTTATTCACCTGACCTCTCCTGACCAATCTGGTGAATCTGCAAAATTCACCCTTCGAGTTTCTGGAGATTCGATAGCTAGCTCTCGTGGTCTTGCAGGTGTAGGTATAGCATTAAGCACCAGGGCAGAAAACTCACTACTAGACTGGATCCCAGTTGATAGTCGCCTCTGCGCTATGAGGCTGAACGGCACAGTGAGAACTAAAAGGAATAGTGAGACTCGCCGTTGTCTCTTTGTAATCTCTGCTTACGCACCCACTGACTGTAGTTCGGATGAAGTGAAGGACGAGTTCTACCATAAACTGTCTAACCTCCTCTCGAAAGCCAAACGTTCGGACGTAGTGGTTGTTGCAGGTGACCTCAACGCACAGGTGGGTAGACTGAGTGAGGCAGAAAGGCACTTAGGTGGCACTTTCGGAATCCCAGCTGAACGTACAGATAACGGTGATCGCCTATTACAACTATGCTCAGATAACCGCCTATTTTTAGCCAGCACAAATTTCAGACATAAAGAAAGGCACTGTCTGACCTGGCGTCCACCGAGCTCGACTCAGCGATGGACACAGATAGACCACATTGCTATTAGTCATCGCTGGAGAGGATCGGTGGAAGACTGCCGCTCCTTCTGGAGTACGTGTTTGGACAGCGATCATGCGTTGGTCCGAGCACGTATATGCCTGCGTCTCAATGGACGTAGAAAAAATTTGGCAACAAAACCACTACGAGTTCTGCTGGACAACGAAAACACCAAAGCCGTGTTCAGTGAGAAGTTGGCTAGGCAGTTATCGGAACAAAAGACTGTCACTCATCCAGAAGAAGCTTGGTGCCATCTTCAGTCTACTGTAAAAGCAGCACTGGAGACTGTAGCCGACTCCAAGATAATGGCTAAAAAGAGCCAGTGGATATCAGCAGCTTCTTCCAAACTAATGGATGCACGTGAATGCATCCCTGCAGGCTCTGAGTACAATGAAGAGCGAGCGCAACTTAAAAATAACTGACGAAAAGTCTGCGCAACGATCGTGAACAGTGGTGGGCAGCAAAGGCTAAAGAGATGGAAAAGGCAGCGGCGATCGGTAACAGTAGACAGTTATTTAGACTTATTAAGGAGACTGGGGGGAAATGGTCAACAACAGTTAGTGAGGTTATAGCGGAGAAGGACGGATCGGCGATTCACTCGCAGGGAAGGCGACTGGGACGATGGGCAGAACACTTTGAGGAACAGTTTAACTGGCCTCCAGCCACCATTGCGCTGCCCGCTATCCAGTCGGACCCTGAATGGGACATAGAGACAGGTCCCCCAACACTAGAAGAAGTTGAGAAAGCGGTAGGTAGCCTGAAACGGGAAGGGCAGCAGGACCAGACGGACTACCTGCTGAGGTATACAAGAATGGTGGTAGAGTTCTCTTAGTCAGGCTAACGGAAGTGTTAGCCAGTATATGGGAATCAAATACGATCCCCTCCGACTGGTCTAAGTCACTCATCATCCCAGTCTTCAAGAAAGGCGAGAAGTCCTCTTGTGATAACCACAGAGGAATCAGCCTGACAAACATAGTGTCTAAGATCCTAAGTTCTATAATTCTCCGACGCCTGAGTGGAGCTCGGGAACAGCAAGCCCGAGAAAACCAGGCAGGCTTTAGACCTGGCCGTGGATGTATCGACCAAATATTCACACTGCGCCAGGTCCTGGAACATAGGCATGCTTACAGACGCCCGACAATAGCTGTATTTCTCGACCTGAAGGCGGCATTTGACTCCGTTGATCGAGAAGTCTTATGGCAGTGTCTGTCACTGAAAGGCGTGCCTAGTAAGTACATCACCTTATTGAAAGCTCTCTACTCGAACACTTGTGGGCATGTTAGAGCCTATGGTGAGTTGTCCAGGGAGCTATACTCATCAAGTGGTGTCCGTCAAGGATGCCCACTATCCCCATTCTTATTTAATTTTATCATAGATATTCTTATGGAGGTTTCCCTCTCGTCACCTGATTACACAGAAAATACAAGTTAGATAACAAATAAACCATGAAAGAAGTATGCTTCTCTCAAAGGAGTTTACCTATCTTTTCCTGTTTACTCTCTCAGGTTAGTTATCTCTAGCATGTATAGCTATGTGTGAAGAACTTGTATACCACGCATCAAGTGGCTTTAATCCGGTAAATTTCATTCTTCTTGGCTGCCTCCGTCGGGAAACAAAATAGCATCCCTAGCTTCCAAACAATAGGTGAGGATGGTTCCTTAGCACACGCCATGCACAAGATTGTGAAGTCCCACTTCCACCTTGTACTAAATCTGAATACAATTCTAACTGCGAAAGAGCTGCACGGTTTATTAGCTTTTGGCTGGATACTTAAAAAAATTTCACTTAGAATACTACACTTTGTGAGTGCTTTGTCGTCTACATACCTCCAGATTTTCCGAGAACGAGAGGCATTTCAGGTGCCTTTATTCATTTAACACACTACAACAATGGTTAATGACAACTTTTCACTTTTATTCGTCAAGCAGTTGATTGGGCCCGTCGTAAAAGTGAACGGACCATTCGCATCCCCCATGGGAACACTTGAGACTAACAAAAGAAATCGAACTTTTTCCAGTACACAAATCCCTTTTGATAGTCAAATAAGGTTGTGGTTTTTAAGATCAATGATGTAATTCATTTGGATATCTCTACCTATTCGACTTCTCTCTCCTGACATCACAGGCACCCATAGACTGAATGTCGTCCCCATGTATACATAGATCTGAGTCAAACAACTACCCACAAGTGCCAAGAAGACAGATACTTCTACACACCAGAGAAATCTTTGAGACCTACCGATATTAGTCTGGTTCTCCAAGACTTGAAAGCACACTTTTGAGACGCATTTTCATCCAGACGCCCCCTGACACCATCACTTTTACGTCGAATAACTTTTACAATGCTACGTAAACCAATGTCCGTGACGTGCAACTCAACACTGGTCACCACGGCAGACAACAAAGTTCTTTCTGAATAAGTGAATTCAACGTGAAACTTACTTAGCCTTGGTGTTCCACAAACTACTACTCAGATGTATGGCATCCACACACTAAACCGTTACATTCAAAACAAGATAGCTATTTACCATGCACTCTCCACTTATGAAGGTGATAGTGATTCCATGAGCCCAAATAAATCCAAATCTCTGGACAGTTAGGATGCATGGAATAAATTTACTAAGAAAGGATGACAAGACAATGACTAAAATTCTGCAGCAACTATGTAGAAGTACTCAAAGTTACTTTGGTGTGATGTAAACCGCAAACAGCAGTAGCAGTGACGTAACTATCACCCATTGACTACAAAGCAAGTCTCTGAAGCAGGTAAAACATCCTCCTACCATCACTTCAGACGAGTGTTGAAGTAAGCGCTTCGGCCAGAAGGTCATCCACCTATGAACCCTTTTGCATCCGAAGCAGTGGAACAAAAATCCAAAACAGTAGTGCGAGTAGAGGAAAATTGTGGTTTGTGGACTCTCGCTTCTAGATGTCGAGCCTTGTTTCTTTTCGTTCAGTCGTACTCCTAAGATGATCGCAGAAGTTCTTGCATTTTCCTGCTTATCGCTTTAGAAGAAGTGTTTGTCTATTTGAAGGTATTTTATTTGCGACTTGTAGCTTGGTTTGTTTGGGGGGACGGAGCTGCTGGTAAGATTGGTTAACCATTTGCGATTCTTTTTTTTTGCAAGCATCTGTGAGTAAGTGTTAAGTGTTATACAAAAACTGGTGCGAGAAACGGGGTGAGTGGAGAGTCAGAAAGGAGGAGTGAAAGTTATTTATGGAGAAATGAGTGGCATCGGTAATAATACGAAGAGAAGGTGGATCTTTCTGCAGGTACCAAGGTTGGGGAATAGAGGGATAAGTGAACACGCTTTCAGTTGCTACCGTAACAGTTCATGGTAAGCCATTCGCACCCACGCATTTACTCAGCAGTCATTTGAAGGAGTCAACAGACATCGCTATGGCTACTTCTTAATACAGGGTGTTCCGTGAGGCACACACACTGTGAGAAGTTAGGTCTTACTGTCGTCTTTACCTTCTGGTGTAGTACTAGATACGCGTTTTCCTGAGACAGTTTTTGACAAGTGATGCTGACCTGTTGGGGTGGTCCGCCGTGTGGTTTATCTTGTGGTTTGTTATAAGTTCGCTTCTTTTCCTCCGGTAGCTCAAGGTGAATAATTTTGTTTTTCTAAGGTGGTGCCCACAGTTTTTGGCTGTTAGCGAGACAGCCATCCTTGCCACCCTTCTCTGCGCCTTCTCGAAAGTACCCGCGCCTCTCCATGGTAGATGGGGTGCTGTTGTATTGAACACCTAGATATGATCCAACACAGGTTTTGAATAGTACAGGCAAGCTTCTCAGAAAGTGCACAATGAAGTTCTCTCTTTCCTGCACTCCCTTATAGTTGGGCCCAGTATCTAGTGTGTCAAAGAAGTTTAGTCTTAGGCCCTTCCCTACGATGCCCTGTTGGTCGCGCACTTGCTAAGGGTGTAGCTGGTTTTCATCATCTCACGTGGGTGAAGATATATCACCCTGCAGAGCTCTAGATTAAAGCTGAAACCATTCGCAGCTGAGCGAGTCTGCAGCTGCTACAGATTGTCTCGGAGTATCCAAGGCTCCTCTTCCGAAACCAATATCGTTTGTATTCATGTCACCTTTGCTGTATGAAATATATTATTATTATTATTATCATTATATTCTGATGCCGTCGCAAACAGGAGGATAGACGGGCATTTTGTTGAGGAGATCATCGATGGAGAGCAAATAAAGGAGTGGTGCGGTGGTAGCTCCTTGAGGAGCGCCTGTCCCCAAAATCCTCCAGGCTGATCGAATTCTGTTTATCTAGGTACAGGATTTTCTGTACTCCAGATATGTTATGCATGCTTCAGTGAGCCTCACTTTTCCAACCTTAGCGATCACGGTGTGGTGTTAGACGACATCCAAGGCCGTGACCAAGCTCAGAAAGATGATTTGAAGTGCGCGCTTGCTGTCCCGTCTGTTGGTTCAGTCACCCAAAGCAGCCATCAAGCTTTTAGTTCGTGGCCGTCCGATCACAAGGTGAACTGGGCGAGATGGAAAATGTTGTTTCCTCTCCGAAAATCCCAAAAAATGCCCGCAGCCAGGCTTCCTAGCACCTTTGATAGCATGGGAAGTGACGCCTTCAGTGTATGGTCATGTAGGTTTTCCGGTCTCCTCCCTTGAAGCTCGGTGAAAGAGCAGCATGCTTTCATCCCTTTGGAAAACGACTCACCTTCAACGACTGCTTGAACGTATTGAACGTGGGTGTACCTAGCACCTCGGCGCAATTTCTTAGAACCTCGGGTATTATGTCGCAAGGCCGGAGGTTTCCCACTTACACCATGCCTTCCTTTCGCTCTATATTTTAATTTGGATTGCGCAAGTAACCCAGAACTGTTTTTGACGTGGTCGTCTGGTTAATTTCGGAACACTTTTCGATAGCGCCCCGAAAAACATCCTCCTTATGTATGTAGCGTCCGCCCATCGATAGAGGGTGCAATTCCTGCGGCTGTGTAGCTTTCAAGGGTTCATTGTTCATGAACCAGCAGGCTGCCTTCTAGTAGCAGTGGAGACCTTCTCGCCGGTTATCAAGGAAAATCTCAGCAATGCGTGATCGCCTTTGCCCAGCGGGGGTTGGAAACAGATACTGTCCACTGAGAGATCATCGTCTGTAAGAAAGCAATCAAATCGTGATCCCATTATATCTGGTCCTCATCTGGTACTCTCTCCAGCTTTCTCTATCGGCCCCCCACCATAAGTGTGTTTCGAACCCCTTGTTCAAAAAACTTGTGTCTACAGCTTACTTTCCATCATCGGTTAAGTGCAAACGTGTTGCAGTTTCCCGTGAAGACTGCATCGTCTTAAGCTGTTAAGGCGAATGCCCAAACCGTGATCAGCGGCCGTTCTTGGCTCTCTGTTGCGCATACTAAAGACCTGCAAACCATTCCTAGTGGTTACTTATCTGGTTTGTGGTGAAATAGCCCCACAAAGGGTCTGATAGTTTGCTAGGCACATTATCACTTGCCCCCTTGACTCAGCCCCGTGATTATATATACATATATATGTATATATATATATAAACCTTTTGAAGCCCCACTGGAAGCTTCATCCGAAACAACGGCCACCCGAGGCATGCTGGTGCCTGGGAGTCAGCTCATCGCACCAGATAGCATTGTAAGTGTAGATCAACAAGGGCTGACCAAGCATATTGTTGAAGGTACATCAGTTGCCACCGTCTCACCTACCAACAAGGTGGCAAACACTGTAACCGGAGGTTAAATCACCAGTTATATAGATTTATTCTTGGATGCTGTTGATTTAGGCGGAAACGGCAATGATATATCTGATATGCGCTTGAACCCGCTGGATACACAGACAGCCTGAAAATCCTAGTTCCGGTTTGTTAACAAGCCCACGGCACAGAAGCGAACGAGTCATTCTCAAAGTAGTTACGCATAGTCTATTAAATCTAGTGGTTACAACGCCATCAGAAGAGTGATTTCGTTCCACTGCACAGGCACATTCACGACGTCCATTGGTACGACGCAGGCACTGCGGCACCTTCACTAAACAATAGAAATTTAGGATTCATAAACCATAGTGGTAAGAAGAATGGGTACATGCGCAAGAATATTTATAACGCAGATGCTCCCCATAGTCAGGAGACTAGGGCTACGGGGAAATACTAGGTTTTCCCCCTAGCAACCATCTGCACATCATTCGGCTCCTATGTATGCTCGCCCCAATACGATGGTATCGCCCCCAACTAGAGACCTGCTTTTCCGACACAGCCAATGATACTGGTTCCCTAACGCTATGCGCCCCACCCTTTACCGTCGGGCAGTGAAACAACGGATTTACAAGGCTCGCTTTTAGACATCTCCTGATTAACTAGTGCCCTGGTTACCAGCCTGTCCTGGGCCCGGATAAAGAGGGAAGGTTGGGCATAGAGTTAGCAACCCTACCCCGCAAAACTAATCCAATTGCCAAAGAAACTCCAAAGCACAAAAAGATAAAAAATAAAAACAAAATTATTCCTCGCTTGAATCAAGGAGACAAAATAACGCTGGATGGTGAAAGCCTTCGAGAAGCCAGTCGGCCAATGTGTCGTCAACTGTTTACCCCAACTTCATCGACCTTGAAGTGGCCTTCGACAGCATCGACCAAGAAGTAATTCGGCAACTGCTTCAGCACTATGGAGCACCACCACAATGGAAAGCTCATTGACGCCTTTGAAGTGAGGACAGGGGTGAGAAAAGGCTGTCTACTATCACCCATGATCTTCCAGATTGTGGTCAACTGGATCATGCAGCAAACCGTGAGGAGCGAGGAGAGGGGCGTATGCTGGTTGTACCGATGAAGAGACTTCGGAAGAAGATTTGGATTTCGCCGCCGATGATGATTTACGTCTAACGTCTTGTCGCACAAACTTGAAGATCTACAGGCGAAAACTAACAAGTTGACAGAAGAGGCAGGGCAGTGCGGACGGGACTTCAAGCGAACGCAGAGAAAACGGAGGCGATGAAGATACCCGGCGAACAACAGCTTCAACAACAAGCACCAATCGCTATCAGTGAGAGAAACCTAAAGGAGGTAGTCTCTTTCACCCACCTTTCGAGGCAGCATCGTTCCAACTACAGGTGGCACAGACGGGATGTCGAAACCAGGATCGGAAAAGCAAGACAGGATTTCATTGACCCGAAATCAACGTGGGGATCTACTCCACTGCACCTAGTACAAAGCGTGAACAAGATTCGGATTTTTAACACGAACTTCAAGTCAGAGCTACTATGTGGCTCAGAAACTTGGCGCGTTACGAAAAGCATTTCCATCAAACTACAGACATTCATCAGCGGCCGCCGCTTACACCCACTCAGTGCTGAAGATCAGATGACCAGAATGATAAGAACAAGCAACAAGGAACCCTGGTAACCAACCCACCAAGGGCCTATTATCCAACAAATATGCAGAAGGTGGGGATGGATTGGAAGAAGCATACACTGAGAAGGCCGATTGGAGACATCACGCGCCAAGTCAGGCCCTGGAGTGGGACCCAAAAAGAACCGACCAGTTGGG